AAAATTCGAGGCAATATTTTCTACTCCGAATAGATATTAACAGTCGTTGGGTGCTCCTGAATAATTGGGGAAATCACGCCTAGCCTTGGTCTGCTTCACAGCCGTTCTTTGTGTCGTCACGCAGCGGAGAAGCATTGCGTGACGACACAAAGAACAGCTGTGAAGCAGACTAATGGTATATGTTAATTTGAAAATTTTAAGATAAGGGGAGGGGGGGGGGAGGTCTCCAAAAAATTGTGGGCCTCATTTTGGTCTAAAAATAAGATCCGCCACTGTTACCTCCAACCGACGTTTCGGCAATGCTGCTTTCTTTAAGGTAGAAGACTAAAATTGGACCCCAAGCAGACTAGCCTCCCCTAGGACTCCCTGATATGGAAGGACTAATTCCGGAGTGAAAATAACCTGCCCTACAGAGCAGAGCCCTTTAAGTTAAAATTGGCTCTAAGCTGTAGGAATTTGGAGTACTGACTTGAGTAAAAGAAGTATTATTTGGCCTGTTTGACGTCAGTTATGGTGTAAAGCTCCTTGGTAACAGGGTACAAGCGGTAAAAAGAATCTGCCGCAGTTCCGATCACGAGATCATAATTGTATCTCGAGTTGTTACTTGTTTTAGTGTTGTTCGCGCTGTTTATATACCACAACGGGTTATTCTTGTCATGTAGTATATTCTCATTCTGGGCAAACAAGTTTCGTTTGGAGGCCTGGTATGGAGAGATAAATTTTCAGCTTTTATCAACTTTTCTTTTTGTTTTGCTTCAAATCCGCGCATCTTACTTAAAAAAATAACTTGGTATGTAGGAAAGCAAATTTTCCATATAAATTACTCTTTTACTTTGCTTTGTTTCTGAATCAGATCTCAGTGGAACATTGCGTGAACTCATGTTTGTCACGCGACCCATGACGAATGGTCAGATATGACGTAGAGTCACGCGACCACTGGAGACACATATGAAGAACGCGGGACTGTTAACGGGACTCTTCAAAATGGAGTTGTCTTTTTCTTCGTATTGATTAGCCAAAAGCTTCTGCTCTGATTTTTCTGTACTTCTAAGGAGATAATCTCAAAGTAGGCCCGAATTGCAAAGATGTCAAGTCGAGGATCGACAAGGAGAAACTCTTCATAAGGAAAAATTTAGATTTGCCATCGATCGAGGAGGACTGCTTTCACGGACGTTTATTCAGAATGTCCAAACGGAGAAGTTAGAGCAATGAAACTGCTTTCCGTAGATCCTGCATATCCTGATGCACCGAGAGAAGGAATAAGAAGAATTCTGGAACAGGTAAATCGTAATGTGATGCTAATTTAAAAGTGAAGAAGGTCCGCCCGCGGGATTAGTAAGCGTCCGTCCCTGACAGGAAAATAATGAATTTTGACAGAGGGCACACTTGACATCGAATAATTGTGACCACATCTTACTTAGTAACGAAATATCCGAATACAAGAAAACGTATATTAATTAGTCGAGCTTGCGGTAGCCGAGCGACTCGAAAAATGCTGGCGTTCCTTTCGAAAAAGGGGGCATAGTTCCAGGCCTTCCTAGCGGAGATCCTAGAAACTGGGATAAGAATCGTCACGACTTTCATTGTATGAAAATGAGTCTCGTGATGAGCATGCGGTTTATTTTCGGCGATGATTGAAATGACACGCCATGTTCTATTAGGGAGCTTTAGCATCGACGACGGCAACTGCAGCGAAAACGTCAGTTTTAAAATGAATTCCCGGTTTTTCAATCTTTGTCGCGTTTATTCCAATTTGCTGAAAATGGCAATTGTAGGCGGATTTCCCTGGAGTTGATTTCTTAAGGACCGCACTCAAGTTTAGAGAGAGAAAAAGAGATTCGTCGTCGCTTGTTTACGTCGTCCATAAAACTTGCAATTAGGCATTTTCCCGTCATAGTCGTGCAAGGACGGTAAAGAGATGTACAAAAAAGAGTGATGCATGTGCAAAGTTGTTGTTTTGCATAATTGCTGGTTTGCACGTGACGTCACGGCGGCCATGTTGGTGGTCAAGAACAAAAGCATCTCTCTCCTCTGGGAACTAAACTCTATTTTCATGTAAATTCTTCGAGGAAATATTCTTTTCTTTTGACCCCCAACATGGCCGCCTTGTCACGTGGTTGCAAACCAAGAATAAACCTATTGCTTTTTGGTCGTCCTCTTTGCCGTCGCCGTCGTCGTTGCTAAAGCTCCCTATTGTTCCCGCTCGTGAATTAAAGCGTAACTTTCAGAGCCGAAAGAACTGTGTTCGATACCTGTGACGTTACTTTAGTTTGTGTTCGTGAGGACTGGGACTATCGTAATTTCTGTCCAAGATTAAGCACGCAATTGTCGTAGCGAAATTACCATATTACCATAATAAAGATGAAATGTTTTGAATTTATGCAAATTTGTTACACTTTAATTGCATGTTTACATAGTAAAAATGACAGATTCGTGTCTGCATTTTCTCACATTGTGACTTTCAATGTTTAATACTTCAAACAAACGATTAAAAAATATTCATTACTAGTAGAATTCAATCAACACATAACGGCTTTTACGAATGGACAAAAATAGCAAAAAAATTAATCTGTCCAAATTCAATTTGAGAATTTCTGTAGAAGTTTAACTATGCCTGTGGCCTCCAAACCAACCTTACTTGCTACAGTGCCGGTGCGATTTAGCAGTCACTACATAACGTGACTGCCTTGAAGAACGATTTTGTTTGCAAGCACGTCGGCCCGTTGTCACTTGTCCGCGATGTTTCGTTACATACGTTGTCCACAGATAACGCACGGCAAACATATTGGCAATATAAAACGAACGTGTTGCAAAAACAAGGTACACTGAGTGATACAAACTATTAAATAATTTAAATTTCCTCGTAGCACACAACATTAAATGTTTATGCTTAGCACCATAGGTATCCGTCATTGCCCTTTTCTTTGTACAGACTGTTTATTGCAAGTAAGCTAATGTCCTCCCAAAGGACTATTTTTTCTCTCTTGCAATGATGCAATTTCTCTCAATTTTCATTTATTAAAACACGACTCAATCATCGTCAGGAAGTGAAAAACTTTTAGCAAGGAAATCCTGTTTCGTTGAGAATAAATCGCCTCCTCACTTCTTATCTGTTTCCAAGCAAGCGAGACTTAAACGCTTTTAGAGCGTGCTTGTTTATTTATAAGAATTGTCTGGTTGAATGAGCAGAGTTGGCACTCGCGCACGATGACTCGCAGTACATTGTTTCGTACGGACAAAGCCTAGACTTAAATATAGTGTGTGACCAGAGGTGTGACAAAACCCACAATAGCTTGTGTGACATCTTCAAAATGTGCTTGTAAATTGCAACGGACGGCTTATGGTTGGGGTGGAAGAGGGGTGGGGGGTTTGGGGCACTCACAAAGTCTCCGCCTCAAGGTTCAACCCCTGAAAAGGTACCCTGCTCATATACCTTCAATTGACAAATGGTACCACATAATTTAGCCTGCCAAAACATCCGTTTCTCCTCGCTCTTCGCCGCAGGAGACGTTTCACGCGGAGGAACGTCTGCGACTCAGCGACAGAAATTCCATACTGATGACGGAAATCAACGTTCACATAATAAATTCGGTAGTCATGGGATTCCAACTGTAAATGTGTCCAATTTTACGTGTCTAATGGTCGATTTTGGAAAAGTGTTGTGCTCATCTGCTAACGAGCTCCAACAAAACTCAAATGCTTCTTTTAGAGAAGACTGTATTCCACAAATATTGACTGGTTTGTAAGAGATTCTTTACATTTACATTCGACCTTTGTGGCCTTTTGTCTTTTTTCTGTCATTCGTTAACAATAACTAAAACAATGTAAATACTCCGTCGACCAATCAGCGCTTCTGACCGGATTCTGGACATATTTTATGTCATCAGTATGGAATTTCTGTCGCTGAGTCGCAGACGTTTCTCCGCACGAAACGTCCCCAGCGGCGAAGAGCGTGGAGAAACGGATGCCGTTTCGCAGGCTACACATAATTATGTTCAAAAGAACACAGTATATATATCTCATTTACTGTGACTTTTCCACCTATTGAATGTGAATAAGTTCACTAAAAGAGAAAGTGTTCTTTTAGCTCCAGTGTCATAAGGTGAACAATATTATAATATTCCTTTATATTCCCTTTCGGGCAGATCCTCCCTATAAAGGCCATTATAGGCGAATCTTTGCTGACGTCACTGTTTACATTTTTCCTCATTAGCATACGACTTAACTCATAGAAGCCGTGGCCGCACATATGAACTAAATGCAAAAGTTGAAAGAGCTGATTAAGTTGAGCAATTTGTGCAATTTTCAGCTCTTTGCAAGCAACATTGAAAGAAATATCAGCAATCAAAAACTGCGAATTTGCTGTGTGGCAAAAAAGTTAATGAGCCATACATTCTCTGTAAAATTTCGAGTTTTCAGAAGAGAATTTCTCCGAAACCATTCGGTGTTTTGGGCTCAAATTTTCAGGGATAACTGAAACTGTTATGTTCTTTCAATATTCAGAGTTTTTATTTTATTAGCGTCATCAGATAGTGGTAAGCATATGTTAATGAGGCAAAAAGTGTAAACAAAGATTCGCCTATAGGGAGTAACCCCACCCCCCTCCCCCGTGATTGTTTGTAACACAATAAACTTTCCTGAAATATTTCAATGATTCCGTTTACGGTTTTGCCAGTTTGACTGTAAGTTGTCTATGACTGTGATAAATGTTATGATGTGCTGTACAAGGGGCATGGTACCCACACAGGTAACCACTACAAATAGCCCAAGTTCTAAATATGAGCTTCGGCGAACATCAGCATTGGTGCGTAACATTCGAAATATCAAGGATTTGTATGGACCAAAACCTATCGTTTCTGTAACTAACGAAAATGAAAGGATTTCAGTAAAAAACAGCTTACCTTACATAAAATGTGTGTTAAGTCTCTCCTGAGTGGTCCATGGGCCGATTTATAGGTTGTACTGTAAACGGTACATATAAGGTTTACCAAGGCTGTCAAATGACTTGTCTTATGGGAAAAAGTACCTGTACCCAGGCGAAAATGAAAGGCAGTGCAGTTATGGAATGTGAACGAGGTGCGTGCGAGCAGAATTGTGTATCTAGGGGACAATGCAGAATGAACTGTTCATCGAAAAATGTGACGTCAGGAAGCTGTCGGCAAGTGTGTAATGACAGCAATTGTGAATCAATGGTCTGCAATGCTGCAAAATGTACCCAAACTTGCTCTTATGGAGACTGTAACATGATTTGCCATCCCACAACAAACATTTGTTTCCAGCGTGCACAACTAGGAAGGACAACTCTGCAATGTGATGGTCAATTTTGCGAGCAAAGCTGTTCTAATGGGGATTGCAGCTTGAGTGCCCCGTTGGAGTTAAAACATGCGAGCAGAGTGGGGTTGGTGGGAATATAACAATGAGATGCCAAGGAGATGTTTGCAGGCAGACTTGTACAAGTGGTAGCTGCAACTTGATGTGCTCTGAGAATGTGAAAGAATGTCATCAAGCATGTTCTACTGCATATGTAAATTGCCATTTCAAGTGTGCAGCAAAAATGTGCGAACTTACTTGTTTAGGTCCAGGGGGTTCATGTAATGCGGTCGTTAGCGATGGCAATCTTTCAATTAGGTCCTTGGCGTTTTGGGAGTTACTGTTGGTAGTAGTTTTTATTGGTTACCATTGCGATTCTAAATAACCATTTCATTTAGAGAAAGAAAATAGCACTCCTAGCATCGTAGGGTCACCATGGCTACCTGATAGAAAATTATGCAAGACCCCTTACTCTCACGTAAGAAAAACGTTCTTTGTTCCCACACAAACTTATTTTTACCATTTAGCAAGTTCTGCGGTATTTAAATGTCGTTCTTGTTTATGTATATATCTTCTAGTCTGACGTATGGTTTGATAAGTGGCGAAATACAGCTACTGTCTTTTGTTTGAATTATGAGTATATGATGCAAATACTAAGATTTCAGTTATTTCGTCACAAATTTACTTTAATTATACCTGTACGATCGGTCTTTATTTTTTCCTAAAAGGGAGACAATATAATTAACTGAACTGTTTTTGAGGTAGAGCAATCCATGATGAATAATGATTTTTGTTGGACAAGAAGAAAAACAATTCAGAAGCGCCAAGTTTGTTACGTCGCTTTCCAAAATGCAGTGCAATCGTCGGACGGGTACTTTGTTTGCCTCTTTTTTGTGTCAGTGACAAGAAGAGTCTTCCCTTATAATTTTTGCGACTATGAGACATGCAGAACCAAGGGAGTCGCCTAAAGGGATGTGTAACAAATGGTGCTTTAAAGCGCTAAATCACTGCAAACTCTAATAAAGTATTGTATGTCATGCGTATATATCTTAGTGACGTTTTAGTAGATATTTGAAAGCTTGGGACTAAAGTGTCATTTTAGCGTTCGTATACCCACCAGAAATGATTCAGGATCCACCATTAGTAATAGTCGCTTAAGAGCTGTTAAAATTGACAGAAACAAAATCAAATTACTAGCTCTGAAAGTTGTTGCAAACACTTTGCGTCGACATGATGTTGAAAAGAGGTTTCGACTCAGTATGGCTGCGAAGACAATGGCCGTATGTGGTGCTTGCTTGGCGGGAGAGCCTATAAACTAAAGTAGGCGCAAACAAAACTATGAACTAGAAAAGGCTTAATTGCCGCCTCAGGGCCAAAGCCTTTTTCCGCGGTTCGTTGGCACTTAACACTGTGTCTATGCATTTCCAATACATAATATTGGGGCTCCCTGCTGATCCACAGCAATATCGAACTGAATATTGTTATATAAGCTGTTTGGCTGCTATTGTTGAGAAACGTGACCGCTTTCCTCATCTGAACATTCAATTTCCTGGGGCTTGAGAAATCACAATGCACTTGTCAATATCGATACTGTCTCATTTCTCGAAGAAGGTAGAGAAGGTAAGGTTGAAGGTCTTTACGCTGATTTGCACCGTACGTGGACCCCGTAGGTGACTGAGGACCCGCACTGAGAATCCTAGTTTACGACGCCGACATCATAACTTACACTAGCTTATCACTGCCAACTTATGGTTTACATTTGTATTTGACAAGAAACTAATGGACCGAAATTTTAACGTGTAAACTTAGCACCTGTTTTAAACGGTGTAGAAGTGTTACCTGAGTGCAACACAAACATCACTTCATCTCATCATGGAAAAAGATGCACTATCTCAGTGCAAGGCTTCAGTAACCATAGCATTTGTTAATAACGAAACTGTTTCTTCCATCCTGTTAATTAAGTACGCGTTAGTAACAATTTATTACTTGCCGGCAACATTTGCCCTAGGCCAACATATCTGAATGCGATAATAGGCTTAAAACGCATTAAGTTTTGAGTGGCTTTTGGCAGATTGCCTATGTAAGTTAGTCATCCATTGTCATAATTTTGATTACTATGAATGCAGATAACTAACAAATTAAGGCGAGGGGATTTCAATTCGCCACTTTACAAACGAGAAAGGAACTGGGCCTAGAACACTTTCGCAAAGACGTCTGGGGTTGTTACCAGGGACAGGGAAAAAAAATTGGCCAATAGCTGACCGACGCTTCCCCAGTAACGATCCCACAAGCAACTGCGCGACACATTTTGGCTGCAGTTCCCTTACTCGTTTCTGAGGGGCTGTTTACATGGAGGGAGGAAGATCCTAGTATCAGGAAGATCCTAGAAGGTGGAATCTAACTTTACGTTGGATTTACATGCAGAAATTTCGGCCCGTGAGTTGTCCAAGTAGAGAAGGTTAGGGAAGGAATCAAAAATGGGGGACGAGAAAATCAAAAATGCAATTTGGGTCCTTCTACTCTCTTTACTGGCGTTAATCACTACCTTTCAGCTGAATTAACACAATAATCTACTCGTGGATTACTCCAAACGAAATGAACGGCATTTATTGCCGTAATTAGCCACTGAACGACCCGCCGACATTTTTGTCGCGTTTGTCCCTAGTACTAGGATCTTCCTAGCGAAAGCAGTTTACATGGTGCTAGGATCTTCCTACCGCTCAGCTAGGAAGATCCTAGTACTAGGAAGATCCTAGCATTAGGGACAAGTACACCCCTTTGCATATAAACTGAATACAGGAAACATATGGCGCTAGGATGATCCGCCCTCTAGGATCTTCCTGGTACTAGGATCTTCCTCCCTCCATGTAAACAGCCTCTAAAGTGGCGAATGAGACAAAGCTGAGTCACAGTTAATTTCGGTTCTACCTTATTCTCCTTTATTTTCGCGGGACTTGAATTTCTCGAAAATTTTCGCGGCACATTTCGCGCATCTTTTAATTTCGCGATCGCGGAGAAAAATTGTGTTTGCAGGGAATTTAATTTCGCGAAATTGACGGTTAAGTGACCTTATAAATTTTTTTTTGACAAAAATTGTACGTTAATCAACGACGGTGCAGGCTTTAAGATGGCCAATTCTAATCAAGATTTCATCAAACATTCATTTTTGTGTGGAGTTCGTGGATTCCATGTTTACAAAGAAATCTGGAAGCCCATCTTCGGAGAGCTTTTGAGATGTTCTCACGAACGAAACGATATCGTTACGCAATCGGAGCTAATAAACGGCTCCGTGGTCGCCTGGCCGATTCGATTATAGGCCATTTGCCCAGAGAGATTTCTAGAGCTACTCGCTTTTTCTTATTGAGAGGTGGGATGGTTCATCTTAAAGTTACTGATGAAAACTATCGTCGATCTCCATTGATTCAGGGGGGTCTGGAAATTCCTGTTGAGGTGATATGAGAAATGGACGATACACCAAGGAACAGGGCAATAATGGAAAGATACAAGACACTCGTAACTATACATTACAAGGAGCCAGGACAGGATGGTCAATTTGACGACTGTACAAAGGATGTATTGGAGGAACTGTGCCAAGATGATTACTCAGATGCCAAAGAAGAACTTGAGGCGAATCTTGACACTGAGTAACATCTAAAGTTGACAGATGATAGCTCCTTCTACTAACTCCTTGTGTTAAAAATTGTTTAGGACCCTTGAAAACACAAATACATGATTTTTCTATGTCCATTAAATTTCGCGAGATCAAAGTTCGCGGTTGTTATTTTTCGCGGGTCTTTAAGTTCGCGAATTTTTTAAAATCGCGAAAATCGCGAATTTAAGAACCCGCGAAAATTAAGGAGAATAAGGTATTTTGAGACTTGGAAACTGTAAATCATTCAAATGACGACAAATGAGACAGGTACTGCTGTAATAAACTTGCGGAGGTAGCCTGCGTAGCAAGCGTTTCCTCGCGAGGTTCGTCTAGAAAGCTGGGGCAAGAGCGAAAAAAAGAATGAATGACGGGGGAGGGGGAGGGGAAAGAAGAAAACACTTGCTACGCAGGCTATTGCGGAGGCTACTTTCACCTTCACTTTGAAGACACTAGGGACCTTGGCCCGGTTCCTCGAAAGACGGTTAAATTTAACTCAGGAATAAGTTTAGGCAAGCTTTTCTAGTCTAAGAACATGAAACTCGAGCTTACAAAATACTGTAGTGCCTTTACTTCGAAACAAAGAAACGATAGCACAAGATGTTTCTCTAGGCAATGCACAGGAAGTTAAATACAAAAAGTGGAACAAAATTTTAATCGTGGATTAGCGCTTATCGGCCTCTCAGGAACTGGGCCCTCTTGGTCCTTAAGATTCGACGACGGCGATGGCAACGAGAACTTCAAAAAAGCAATAGGTTTGATAAGCAAAACAACAACTTAGCACGTGCATAACGCTTTTTTGTAAATTTCTTTTCCATCACTGCGAGACTACGACGTCAAACATCCCAATTTCACGTTTTATGGAGGAAGTGAACAAACGACGACAAAATTTTCTTTCTTTTTCTGAACTTGAATATTGCTCTTTTGAATTCAACTCCAGGAGAGTTCGCCTTTATTTGACGAAGTAAGTGAGTTGGAATGATATCGTTGACGATTGATATAACGCGAGTTCACTTCTTAAGCGACGTTTTCGCCACCGTCGCCGTCCTCAGATCTTAAGGTCCCTACTATTTTTACATCTCCCACTGGAGACGAGATCGCCATTTTACGTGGTCATCCGCGAAACGCGAAGGTCAAGCTGTTTGCAAAGCAAAGGCAATACCTTTATTTCTCAGTTATTTTAAGGTTCAGAGTACTAGATCGAGCCCTCGACCTCCTGCACTACAGTCATGCGTTCTATCGACTGAACTAATCCTGCCGCGGTTAAATAAAACGAAACGAACACTCCTTCTCACTGATTAGAAAAGTCGGCTCCAGATGCAAAGTGAAAACAATGATATCTTTTTAATCTTTTAAATTTGTTTCATTTGGGGCAACAAGAAACTAGCAAAGAACGTTTAAAAGAAGTAGAAGTATAGTGCAAAGGCATGGCAACTGCATAAGTGCATCGATGGAGAAAAAGCACTTTTCTCACCTAACACTCCTCTGGCATTCACTACGATGCTACGATGGTGTATACTTTTTATTAATTTTGAGTGATCGCGATCTTTTTTGATCCAACGTTTAGCAAGATTGATCGTACACGGTGTTTTGCAGTGGTCTTGCACCTTAACCTTTCATGAGATGTCCTTGTTAACCTTAACAAAACTTTTGTCTGTAATGCCCGCCTTCATCTCACTGACTCTCCCTCCGATCCTGTGGTGTTTTCACATAACATTTATTATATATGGTGATACGCATTAGATGTGCACGACTTCGTTGTACCTTAATCGGTTCCTTTATAACCGTTTTACTCTGCTAGGTTCTTACATGCATGCTCTGACTTGGAAGGACGATGTTTCTCTTGGTGTTTGCTGTGTTCTGCGTTTCGTGGCCTCTGGTGGATCCAACAAGCAACAAAATTGACTGTGATACAAAGCCAAACAATAACTCGTGTAATCAGGTATCATGTGCAGAAACCCCTTGCACAATGCAATGTGGACTAGAGACCCATAATCAATATGACTCATGTCGTCAGATTTGTCTTCCAAGCAGGTGTGATGCTCTTGAATGTCGCGCTTCGGAATACTGCTTACAGTTATGCTCACTGAGCAACTGTGGGTCCTTAACCTGCGATGCGATGGCCTGCGATCAGTCGTGCTACATGGGGAACTGCAGTAGTCTTACATGTGGTAAGACCTCTGCCAGATGCAAGCAAAAGTCAGGGAGTGAACTGACTTGTGAAGCAAATGCTTGTACGCAGTCTTGTTTCAGGGAGGAGTGTCGACTAACGTGCCCTTTAGGTGGAGCCAACTGTACACAAGAGGCATGGGAAAGTAGCGCAGATATGAAATGTGACAGAAACGTATGCGAGCAGCAATGTTCCTTTGGTCAATGTAACATGAACTGTTCATCAAGTGTAATGCCAGCAGGACTTTGTCGACAGGTGTGCAATTTTGGAACGTGTGGATCTATGACCTGCAATGCAAAACAATGTATCCAGGTCTGCCAAGATGCAAATTGTGCTACGACTTGCCCGCGTGAAGCTAAAAAGTGTGCTCAGTTCGGATATGTACCGCTTCTTGGAAGGATAACAATGAAATGTGATGGAGTCGAGTGTCAGCAAAGTTGTTACAATGGGGACTGTGACATGATCTGCCCTCATGGAGTATCAACTTGTACTCAGGAAACATACGATGGAAACATGACACTCACATGTGACGCAGATGAGTGCCACCAAGTTTGTTACCGAGACAACTGTATCATGACCTGCTCTGAGAGAGTTAAACAATGTGATCAGTTCTGCTTTAAAGGAAATTGTCAATACAAATGCTATGCCAAAATTTGTAAACATTCTTGCTTAGCTGGTCCGTGTAAGGAAGGCAATTCCCTTGTATCTACTCTCCCTCCCGTTACAACTACAAGAACAAAGTTTAGTGGTGCTTCACTTCAAACAACATCCTTTCTTTGGGGTGCTCTAATCATTACGTATAATTCACTCTTTGTTTAATAAATCTCCTGCGCAAGGCTTCTGTTACATCTATTAGAAGCTGTGTCATTTTAGGACTTTTCGGGGCCAAAACTTAAAAAGGGAGAAAACTGTATCTATTGTCGCCTTCTAGATCCTAGAGGTATGAAATAAAGTAATAAAAATGAGGCACGATAAGCAAGTCCTTAGTATCAGAAAAGAATTAGCAACAAAAACGATTTTTAGACTTCATCGTTAAGCATAAATAAGCATATATTTAATAGCAGGGGTTAAACTGGACTAGGAGCTCCGACCAAAAGCTGCAACTTATGGCCGGGTGGAGTATGTCTTGGACTTTGATTGCCATGAATTACCCGAGGGGAAAATAATTTTGACGTGTGGTGGGTGGGAAAACTTACTTGTACAACTTTCCAACGAAAGATACCTCGAAGTTGTTTTTTAAATTAAAACTTATTCAACTGTCTCTTGTTTTCTCCGCCCACTTATTTCTCAGTGCAGTCAGTTTACTGACACGGAGAGCACAAACAGATTGCATGTGCAGTCGAGACTACATTAAGATCTCAAATCGCACAACTCACAACCTGTGGAAATAATAATAATAATAATAAAAAACGACTGAGTTCAAGAGCTCGCTCCTGAGAGGAAGCGTAATGAACAAATATTCGAATGATATTCACTTCCTGTCGTGATTCCGGTCCTGACTAGCTCAGAACAGGAAGAGACAAGTTAACTGAGTTAATACAGCAAAAACCGCGCGACTAAGGATCTGAATTTTTAGAACCTGTTAACCTAAAATTTAAGCCCTCTCTATATAAAAATCTGTTTAGCCTAAAATCTGAAACAGAGTTTCTTATTTTCTTAAATAAATGAAAATATTATGTACAGTTGGGCAAATAAGATAAGCCAACATCCAGAATTCTCATAGCCGCGTTATTACTCCGACTCCAATGTAAATGCTAATGTGTAAATCAAATAAAATTGGTTTTGAAACAAGTACAAATTAAATACAGTTCTACTTTTTATGTTCATTTGTACATAACTGCTTGTTTGGTATGCGGATTTTATTTAAGGAATTGAGCTAATCTCGTACCCAGATCTCCCACGGCCAAGGGAAAGTGTAAAACAGAGTGAGATCTGGGTGCGAGATTATAAAAGTCATATAAAAGTCGCGGGGATGCTCATCGAAAAGTTCAAATTAAACCCTTAATTGAGACCAATTTGGGTGTGGCTGGAGCTTAAATTGACCTCCAAAGGAGATTTTTGTGTGGTCAGTCTCAGGGTATTTTTTGTAAATTTCTTTATGCACAGTCATAAGCGATACCTGAATGGGCAAATATAGTGACTTTCCATCCCAGACACAAAATCTACAGTTCAACACCCCAAAGCGAGACGACGAGCATCCCGGTCACTTATATGGTACTCCCCCCTCCGGGTCCACACGGTCTATCACTGTTATTTGGAGTTATTAGCTCGGACACCCATAATCAACTATTTCTCCTGACAGGCGATATGATGGCCAAATATTCTAGTTTTTTGCAATTTCAAACACGTTTGACCTCAGAAAATTTGATACTTACTTCCTGTTTATGCTTGAGGCCCAGAGCACGTAAAGACAAGTTAAACATTTTGCAAAGGACAGTTCTTTATTAGAACCCGAGACGAATTACTGATTCAGCTGAATGGCCTCGGTTTAGAAGTAAATCAAATACTCTATTTGATTCAGTTAATGTTTAAAGTTAGTAGCTGTCACGGCAAAAAAATGAAGCAATCGGCAAGGAAAGAAGAGAACGGAGCGAGTAGACGACAAACAGTGGACAGCTTGAGTTGCAAGTCAGCTTTGCTGTTGTCTGTTGTATGTTGCATCGCACTGATTCACGTGGAACTCAGAATACAAGAGCATCATCGACTGATATCATCTTCAGTAACATACTGTGGCCAGATGGAGAAAAACATTCTTCAAAACATTCAGCAGAATAACAAAGATTGGTAAATTACGAAAGGAAGCCATTTAGCGGGTCAAAGAGAGCAGACAACGGGTAAGTTTGTAAAGGATATTAATGATAAGGTTATGTTTGAGCCAAAAGGAGCAGTTGTTCCCAAGTTTTGTTTTAGAACCAATGTGTCTTATGTGTTATGGAACGCGAATAATTTAAGTAACTATAAAATATAACCAAAAATATTTCATGGAGGGAAAGCAATCTTTAGTGGGCAATTCCATATTTTTACGTTTTCATTTGTTAACTTTATTTTGTTTTTTGTTTTTTTGCTATTTTTCAAAGCCCCGAAGTCATCAACTCAAGACAAAAGCGTGCATCGCCTGTTAAATCACAACAGAAATCCGCACAAACAACCTCCAATGTAAAAATGCTGATTAAAGAAGAGCTGCGACTGTTACAGAACCAAATCTGTGCTAAAGATAAAACGCTTTGCCGCTCAGGACCAAAAGGTAACACAGGACGACGAGGAAGGCCTGGTATCCGAGGAAGACCAGGTCCCCCAGGGAGACCCGGGTCTGAGGGGCCTCCTGGTAAACATGGACCAGTTGGACCACAAGGACCATTGGGTTTAAAGGGGGATCTTGGAGTTTCGGGTGACCCTGGTCAGGTGGGGCCTCGGGGTCCGCCAGGCGAGAAAGGCGTAAAAGGTGAGCCGGGCCAGTCCATCTCAGCTCCATCTCTGCTGCAGCGTCCTGTTGAAACCACAGTCAATGAAAGTCAGACAGCCATCTTAAAATGTACAGCCGACAGTAATCCATCACCAAAAGTCACTTGGTCTAAGCTGAACTCATCACTTTCCGTGGGGCGTCATGTTGTGGAATCCAGTGGCGTTTTGACTGTGAAAGACGTCAGGCCTGGAGACGAGGGCGACTACAGCTGCAGAGCTGAAAATTTGCTGGGAAGCGTGAACGCTACAGCGAAAATTATTGTTCATTGTAAGTTTATATTTAGCAATTATCCTTTCAATTTTATTAGTCCTTATCATATATAGTCATATTTGCTAAGATCTGGCCTGCACTAAAGCACGCCACTTGAGTAGACATTGCCCTTTTTTTCCCCTAGCTCACCGTGCCTTGGAGCATAGTTATTATATGGCCTTTAATTATAGACCCATTTTTGTAATAAAGTTGACGGCACATCGCGTTGATTAAAAGGCATATGTAACAAATTAAAGGAGGTAAACACTGCAATATCACATAGCAGAAAAATCGTCTTACGTTTATTATTGTCTATGTTTTGCTTTTTTTATTACAAAAAGGAATAATTCATTTGTATCTCTTCATCTCCCACGAGATGATTTAATCCCCATGTTTTATTTGATGGTATTCATAAAAAACTTTCGAAACTTTCTGAACATTTACTACTTGAAAGCAAAGGGCCGGTTATTTTAAAAACACTTTGCCCGATGCTTTTATCTTGACTCCGTTCATGGAGGTTGGACGAAAGGAGTATTTTTATCTTCTTTAAACCCAGTTTGGAAGAGATTTGGAAGTCCAATGATTTCTTGCACCGCGTTCTAAGTTAGACTTCTATTACATATTCGACCCAGGGGGTCCTGTTTGTACTTAGCAGGGCTAAGCTTGTTTTACTGCAGTTTACATGAACGCCGAGTGCAATATTTTTTTTTATGATTTATTTTTTTTGGCAGTTACTCCTCAGATCTCTTTGTCATCCCAAACATTAATGACAGAGGAGAAACAAAACATTACTATTGTCTGCACTGCTACTGGTCAGCCGCAACCCAGTATCAGGTGGTCTAAGTCGATCGGTTCTTTGCCGAAAGGAAGAAATAAAGTGGTACACGGTACTCTGACGATCCACAATGTAACAAAGAAAGACAGGAGAATATACATTTGTAAGGCAGAAAATATTCTGGGATCAGCATCAGACACGGCTCATCTGATGGTTTTCTCTCCTCTGCGATTTAAAGATCTCCCTCCCCGAACGGTGACACCTTTCATTGGTTCCACGCTCCTTTTTCCGTGCGTGGCCGAGAGTGACCTAAGACCCTCAATTACCTGGACAAAAGATGGAATGTCGCAACTTTCAGTATCCTCGAATGTCCTTACGAATGGCTCTCTAGCTCTTACTAACATCAAAAAGGCACACCAAGGATCTTACACTTGTAGGGCCACCAATGCTCTTACAAAAATAGAAGCTAAAGTCAAAGTAAATTCTCCTGTTACAATTGATTCCTGTTCTGTGATAAGAAAACACGTCAGCAGTGTAAGCGGAGGTTATGTCATTGATCCAGATGGCGAGGGAGGCCTGGCACCCTTTACTGTATATTGTGATATGGCTGACAAGAATGGAGTTGGTGTGACAGTCATCAGTCACGACAGTGAGAGCAGAACAAAGGTGCGTGATGGTCTCGGTCGGGGAGGTAAAGGTAGTTATTCACGTGACATTCATTACACTGGGGTGAGTCTGTCTCAGCTGGCAAGTCTGACCAGAGTCTCCTCACACTGTGAACAGTTTATCAAGTATGAGTGTTATGGCTCGGTCATATTTGGGTACGGTGGATTCGCTTGGTGGGTGTCACGTGATTCTTCTAAGATGACGTACTTGGGTGGAGCATCTGTCGATGGAAAGTGCGCATGTGGGATGACCAACTCATGCGCAGACTCCAGTCTTGGCTGTAACTGTGATAAGAATGACGGTGTATGGCGTGAAGACAGCGGTCTCCTGACTGACAAGACAAAGCTTCCAGTAAAAAAGCTCAGGTTTGGGGATGCAGGCAGCTCGGGTGATATCGGTTATCATAGTCTTGGAAAACTGAAGTGTTACGGCTCATCATAGATGATAACCATTAACATATCGCGTAGAAAAAAACGACAACACTGTCACCTTTTTTTATTTTAGTCCTGTAGCCGAGGTCGGAAAATTGTCGTTTCGTTCAACCCACGGGTCAGAAAAGGTTGGATAACGCAGTTTGGTAGCACAACACCTCCTGATTATTGCCTAATAATTTGTAAGGTGGATTTGTGGTATGGGTTTCGAGTAAACGGCGTTTTTAAGTAAATTCTCCTTGTAACCGAAGTCACGCGTATTAGTGTCCAACCGCTTTATTTTAGAAATCACACTCCTACGGTACTGTACAACCAAAAATACAAAGAATACGAAATTACGAAAAGTGTAGAAATCAGTACAAAATAACAAATACATCAAAGAAAACTGAAAAGCGTACAAATGGCGTATGACTAAAATTTACCTTAACGGTTTCTTGACTTAACGTTAAAAGGAATGAGCTGCTCTTGACCGATAAAAACTGTAAAAAACACTGACCGACAAGACTAAGTTTATACCAAAAAACTTGACAGATTACGTAACATTACGCAACGATGGTGACACCAAAAAGAAAGTAAACAACATAACAAAAGAAAACTATAAACAATTACAACTAATTGCAAGTAGACGCGAACAAAAAAAAAACAAGAAAACCCTAAGTTCTAGAAGTTTCGCTTTAACACTCCTGTTACAATTGATTCCTGTTCTGTGATAAGAAAACACGTCAGCAGTGTAAGCGGAGGTTATGTCATTGATCCAGATGGTGTGGGAGGCCTGGCACCCTTTACTGTATATTGTGATATGGCTGACAAGAATGGAGTTGGTGTGACAGTCATCAGTCACGACAGTGAGAGCAGAACAAGGGTGCGTGATGGTCTCGGTTGGGGAGGTAAAGGTAGTTATTCACGTGACATTCATTACACCGGAGCGAGTCTGTCTCAGCTGGCAAGTCTGACCAGAGTCTCCTCACACTGTGAGCAGTTTATCAAGTATGAGTGTTATGATTCGATCATGTTAAGGTACGGATACGCTTGGTGGGTGTCACGTGATTCTTCTAGAATGATGTACTGGGGTGGAGCATCTGTCAGTGATAAGTGCGCATGTGGGATGACCAACTCATGCGAAGACCCCAGATATAGCTGTAACTGTGATAAGAATGACAACGTATGGCGTGAAGACAGCGGTCTCCTGACTGACAAGACAAAGCTTCCAGTAAAACAGCTCAGGTTTGGTGATGCAGGGGACAGCGTCAATCAAGGTTACCATACTCTTGGAAAACTGAAGTGTTACGGTTCATCATAGCTGATGACTATTAACATATTAGGTAAAAAAAACCTTGGCGTTTTAGAACATTTCAAGACAATGAAAAACAAAAACAAGCAACAAATACTTAATTAAATATAACGGCAGCTCAGGAGAGATAACAGCCTTACAAAACGACAACACTGTCACCTTTTTTATTTAGTTTTTGCGTCAGTCTCATCAGTTTAACACCAGCAACAGTTGCTGTACAATAGATTTACCTTTTGGCAAATGTTTAGTTTAATTCACCTGTAGAGTTGCTTTGGAACCGATTCCTTTTTTTGTTCCAAAGCACTTTTTAGTTAGTAAGTTCTGCCGCTTTTACCTCTATGGCATTGTGAGTAAGAACTGGATGAAACTAACATACTTGTTTTAATGAACAGAAAACGGCAAGGAAGTGCAAATTAAAATCTTTTATCAATAATATTCTTGAGGTAACTGATCCATTTTGAATACCTTGCAAATGTTGTGGCCCCTAGTCAACCATCTGTTAGCCTAGAAAGGGTGGGGGAGAAAAATAAGATGTTTTTCTCTCCGCCTTTCCCATGATACCTAGCTCGGAATCAAAATCGCTCCAGTCGCTCTCGAATCCGCAAGAATGTCCCTGGGTACGAGGTTGCCTAGTCCCTAGGCCTCATTATTCCGCGTGTTAAAAGCGTTCTGGGCCACGTGGTCAAAGTGAAAATGTAAGTTTACAGAGAGGGACTTGGAAAACGTTGTACACGGACTAGGCAAGGTATGAGGCAGTTCAGTAAGCGAGACAGGGTGTATTTCCGTTTCATGAGGGGCAGGCGGCGGAATTTTTTTTCAAAGTTGGGGATGGGGTTGATTAACGTCTTCGAAGGAGGAAGGCTGAGGAGACTTTCCTCTTACATTTTCAAGAAAAAGTGTGTATGTGTGAGGGGGAGGGTGGACTGGCCCTCTTAAAGAAGTGCTGTATTATTTGACTTGTTTGACATCAGTAATGGTAAGAAGCTCCTTGGTAACTAGCCTGTGTTGCAGGTGAAGGCGCTTGGAAGAAATGGGTGCAAGAAAGAACGGGACGCGCGAGGCTTCTTGCGCCAGTTACTTCCAAGCGCCTACTACGCAGCAGTAACAACTACTTAGTCCCATTGAATTAGTGAACTCCAAGATCTGATCTACCATTATACCATTTTGTGATGTAATAAGACCTCCGCTGTTTTGTATTGTATTACCAGTTTAAGGAAACCTCCACTCTTACTACAGAATAAGTTTAAATCGAATAAAATTATGTTGATAAACAAATTTGTTCGAAATTTGTCTTAAAAAAAGTGTTTACATCAGGAAAAGTGAATTTTAAAATCGCTTATTTTCACTTTCAAATTTCGCGGGCGCCGCCATCTTGAATAATTGTGACGTGTTACGGTTGCTCTATTGTTCTGACACAAAGAGCTTTTGTTTAATAACAATAGGGCAACCATTACACGTCACAATTATTCAAGATGGCGACGTCCGCAAAATTTGAAAACAAAAATAGGCGAATCTAAAAGTTATTTCTTTCGGGATACAAACGCTTTCTTTAAAAATATTTTAGATTGACTTGACTGTAACAGTTATTTCCTGTGATTTAAAGTTATCTTTTTGTTGAAGTGGAGGTTCCCTTTTACAAACGATCTCGTGTTTTCTTAACCTGAATTTCAGACGATCTCTTCGAGTCGTTTTTACTCCCTCAGGGGAGAAAACGACTCGACGTAATCGTGTGAAATTCAGGCTAGTGTTTTCTTTGATTGACAGTTTTCTCGCCTAACGCGAACACGTATCCCCTTGGGGGCCTCATTACCAATAGGAATTTTCCGCTCTCTCAGAAAGCGAGTAAAAACGATTTTCAAGGGCCTCCGCGCCCCCCTCTCCTTTCGCGTCGCCTGCTACGCAGGCTAGTTACTGGCCTGTTCCAAGCGTTCGGATACCAGTGTAGTGTGACAAAAAAGCCGGGGTCTCCGCGATCTGAACGCCTGGAACAGGCTAGCTAGGTAACGGGGTACAAAGCCGTAAAAACAAACTGCTGGCATTCCGATCACGAGATCATAATTATATCACGAGTTGTTACTTGTTTTATTGCTGTTTATTGTTGTTTGCGTTGTTACCATAACTGGTTATTCCTGTCGTGTAATATGTTTTTTATTCTGGGTAAACAAGTTTCGATTAGAAGCCTTGTATTAAAAAACCTTTCCGTACAATATTCCTCTTCAAATCCGCGCATATTACTTTAAAAATAACTAGGAATGTAAAGAGAGTAAACTTTCTTTGTAAATTTTGCTTTGTCTTCAGTGGAACATTGCGTGAACTCGTGTTTGTCACGCGCCCAATGGCGAATGGTCAGATATGACGTAGAGTCACGCGACCAGTTAGTGGAAAACGCATAAGAACGCGGGACTGTTCACTGGAGCCTTCACAATGGAGTTGTATTTTTGTTCGTCTTGATCAGCCGAAAGCTTTTGCTCTGATTTTTCTGTACTTCTAGTGACATAATCTCAAAGTAGGCCTGAATTGCAAGGATGTCAAGTAACGAAGAATCTCTTCATAAAGAAAAATTTAGATTTGCGATCGATCGAGGAGGAACTTTCACGGACGTTTATTCAGAATGTCCAAACGGAGAAGTAAGAGTAATGAAACTGCTTTCTGTAGATCCTGCATATCCTGATGCACCGAGAGAAGGAATAAGAAGAATTCTGGAACAGGTAAATCGTAATGTGATGCTAATTTATTAGTCTAAAAGTGACGAAGGACCGCCCGCGAGATTAGCTAGTGAGCGTCCGTCCTTGACAGGAAAATTGAATTTTAACAGAAGGCACTTGATATTAAATAATGGTGACCACAACTCTCACAGTAAGTTATATCCGAATAAAAGAAAGTCAAAGGAATATTAAAATAGTGTTTATGAAAAAAAGTTTTAACGCAACTCATACATATGTTGATTTATTTATAAGATTTTTCTTGTTGAATGATGGGTACTGGGTTGGCCGAGCGTGCGCACCTCAATATATTATTATATTCTACGCAGACCACGACGACTCCCAGTACATGGTTCCGGAAGCAGGGTTGTCACTAAGATTTCAAGTTGCCGGATAAACACAACAAGTAGGCGGGTAATCAAACGGCTAGGGATTTCTTTTGGTTCTATTTTTCTTCTGTTTTCCAATAAAAGTAGCCGGGGGCCACTCTCTTAGTAGCCGGGGAAAATCCCCGGCCCCCGGCTCTTAATGACAACCCTGCGGAAGTATAAAGCCTTAACCAGATTACTGATAAATGTCTGGTTTAAATAAAGTGTGTGACCAGAAGTGTCACAACACCCTCAATAGTTGGTGCAACATTTTTAAAATATGATTGTAAACTGCACGGGAGGGAAGGGTGAGACTCACACAGTCTCTCCCTCAAGAATACCCTATCAAATTACCACTTGACAGAGAAGGTACCGCTATCATATACCATCAATTATCAAATGGTTACCCCTTCACACACCTAAAAAAGAACACAGGATCCTATTTACCTGCTGTAACTTGTCCATCTCTTTAATGTGAATTAGTTGACTTTTGGGGAAATCTTTCTGATACACCCTGTACGCCGTTATAGAGAGTAAGCCCAGTGGTGGATCCAGGCGAGGGGCCCGGGGGACCCCTTATTAATTTTTTGGACCAAACTGAGGTCCGAAGTGCCAAAAAAATTTTTTTTGGGGGGGAGACTGGGTCCCCCTTAACTAAGGGTCTGGATGACTGCCCCCCGCCCCCACTCTCCCCCCTTATCTCAAGGTCTGGATTTGGCACTGAAGCCCCCCTCCTCCTAGGCCCATTGACTTGCCTAAAATGTATGGTTGTGCCAATGGCTGTTCTCTATTTCAGCGGGAATGTTTTTGGGAACAACCCTGAGGAAGTTGTGGGTATCAGAGCAAGATTTTCACTAAGGTCAATTTTCCAATGAAAGTTACTTTCCTCTAGCAGTTTAAAGGAATCATGCTTATTGATAATTTTTAGTTACAGTACATGTAGGTGTTACAGTCAAACCCAGGAAAACTGTTTACAAATAAAATAATTTATCTCTGGAGTGTTACATGTATTGTGTTCCAAGAAAAAGCCAATCAGGTGTGGGAAACTAAACCACAAGCAAGAACAAGAACAACAACAACAACAACTTTATTTGTACCCTACATCGATTTCCATGATACAAAAAAAAGATTACTTTAAAACATCGAGAGAGTACAGGCTGCCCATAATAACCATTGAGGACTAAAAAGATAGGGCACCCTAACTTAGATTATTAATAAATGATTACTTGGTAAGGTACCATCTTGCCTGACTGACCACTGACTCTCCTCATTAATTAGTTTGTGGTTTTGTGGCAAGCTCACATGTCTTGATCTCTTCTGTGATTGGTCACAACACAATCAACATTCCTGAAATATTTCAAGTGTTCATGGTTTTGTTGTTTGACTGTCAGTTGTCTATGTCTGTGATAAATGTTGTGATGTGTGTTGTACATGGGACATGGTTCCACATGGGTAGTTGGAGGGTGGATGTTGAGGGAACAATTTTGCACAAATGCAAGACCCTAAAGAGTTCTGTGATTATAATTATTTAGATTATGTCATTTATTTTTCCAAGGTGACTGGAGTAAAGATGCCGGCAAATGAACCAATAGATCCTAAATACATTGACTGGATCAGAATGGGTACAACTGTTGCCACTAACGCTTTGTTGGAAAGGAAAGGAGAAAGAATGGCGCTGGTTATAACTGAAGGATTTCATGATCTTCTCCACATTGGAAATCAGACAAGACCAAATATATTTGACCTAGTGAGTGAGAGATTGTAATAGTTTATTATTCAGTTAAGCTTTGCTCTTAATGAATAGGCATCTACACCTAAAACAGACACCTTGGAATAGTTCCTGGCATTTGTCAGTTTATTAAATCCATAACTCTTTATGGGCACCTCTGTTAATGTTATATGGACATTTTGCATTCTCCTGTTTTATTTCCATTGTCTGTCTGCCTCTGGGTAATACATTCTTCCTCTGTTTTTTGTCTTTCTTTCTACTTTCATTGAAATGTTGATGTATTGTCCAGGTGTTCATGGAAAGTTTTTGTGTCTTTGTATACTTGGCATTATCTTAGAGTTAGTATCCCCAAAATATTAGTGGAGCTCCACGCGTGGCGTGAAGCGCCACGCTTTGGCGGAGCCCCATAACTAAGGAAATGTGTTAATCTACCTATCCGAGAAAATTTGGTAATCACGTGACCGTACACTGAGCGAGCGACCATCCGTCCGCACCACAGGCATACCAGTGTAAAATAACTCAATCAGCAGGTATGGCAACCCAAATGCAATTCAAAGTTTTATTTGGAAGGAAATCACATGGCCGCCTGGACTTTTAGAAAGAAAAAACAACAACAAAGTCATGTCTTTTTGGCGTTATTTTTTATGTTTACACTGATGTGGATAACAGAGAACGAGCTAGCTAGAGCGAGTTATTGAAAACAAAGGAGACGAACAATTAACCCTCATAGAAATTCAAAGCGGCGGTGAGAAAATGAGAAATGCTAGCAGCCAGCAAGGTGAAAATGAGCGGCGGTGAAAAATAAAAGCGAACTTGAACACAGGAAAGAAAATATTGGGTAAACACATGCGACAATTCCTCCGTAAAAATAATGTGTAACTAGGAAGTTTGACGTTTTAGTCACTTTGTAGTCGTGCAAAACAGTGGCAAGGGAAAGACAAAAAAGCGTGCTGCACGTGCAAATTTGCTTTTTGCTAATTAGAAGAAAAAGTGTGCTGCATGTTCAATTTGTTTTTTTGCTAATTAGATCTATTAGTCTTGAAGCCATTTTCATTGTCATCTCCGTTTAGCATTACACGATTTAACTTTTTCGTTTATAAGTATTAACCAGAGCTTCGCTTTTAGCCCTTGCTGAATCTATATACTCCTGGTTTCTGTTCTATTCCAGCTTACCTTGCACAGGGGGTGGCAATGTTTATCCTAGATTTTAGGACAATCAATCAATTATTGATTGATTGATTGATTCTTTCCACTCTATAGGTAGACTGTCCAGCTACACACATTAGATATGTGCATCTTGACAATATAAAATACCAGTAAAGTAGGCAGCGACTCTACCAAACCATTTTGGGCCTGCTGGTATGATGGAGTAAAACCCCTATTATTGCAAACTATTTTGTGGCATACACTGTAGGTGACTGCAGAATGATATTTTAATAAAATGTTTTGCAGAAAGTAATATGTCCAGAGGTGTTACATGAAGATGTTATTGTAGTTAAAGGAAGATTGGTTTTATTTCAAGACGACAGTGAGATTCAAAGACCTGAAAACAGTAATTTTGTCACTGGAAGTACAGGAGAAAAGGTATGGCTTGTGGTAATTAATACTACTGCAATACTTTATTGTTAAAGAGAGTCAAGTCGTAGTGGCAGATGTATCAGACCTTTATGGTAGCACATGGCTGTAAAACAGCAAAATCATTTTTGTTACGTTGTACAATAAATTGTAAAATTATTTGATTTTGTGTTGATTTTGATTCAACTTACAATACTTGTGACATTAGTTGGGAGAGCAGTGGTATTTTCTCCCCCCTCAATGTTTGTTTTTTTGAGTTGGGATGTCAAAAGGAAAAAATCAACACTGGGAGGGAAGGAGCACAGGGTAAAGCACAGGGTGTCCCAACTTAATGAGACGAGGATTGTAGGTCTAGGTTAATTCTCAACTATTTCAGAACCTACCTTGATTAAAATATTTTCTACCTGGAATCAAATTTGATCTATTATTATTGTTAAGTAAATTTTTACGAAAAAAAAAAAATTTTTTTTCCTTTTTTACTGGTTGCCTGTGTCATGCCCAGGGATGCTATACTTTCAGTTAAATCTTGTGTTGAATAATGGCAAAACTGTGCCCTAACATACATGGTACAGTAACTGGTCATACATGTAAGCTCTGTATATAATCTACGACGACCATGCTAAGGTGGTTGACCTATTAACAAATTCCCAAGGTTTTCTCTGCAGGGGTTTTTATTACTTGATGGCTCTTAAAAGTAGCTTGGGAGATCTAAAATTTTAATTGTGTTAAGGTAATTGAAAGAATTATTATTTAATTAGTACAAGTTGTTGCAGTTAGTGTTTTATTTGACACAAGTTTTGATTTCCCTTTAGCTTGAGGAATGGGAACCCTTAGATAAAGAACAGCTTAGACAGGACCTCCAGGTAACTGAATATTATTATGAACAAAGTAATAGGTTGTTGGCATTAGATTAAAATAATGTGGGTATACAGGGTGCAAAAAAAATCATTTTTACAGCTTGCCATTTGGGCAAGTTGAAGCTAGCATTTACATGTACTAGCCCTGATGTCATTTTCAACTAGCCCTAAAAGCTTTTTGATGAGCAGAATTAATTTCACAGTTCTTCTGTTATTCAAATTCCTCAAAAAATATCACTTGCCTGTCAGTTAAAAACAGAATTCACTAGCTCCATAGCAAAATCCACTAGCCCCAGGCTATCGGACACTACTTTCTTTGAAAGCTGAGATATATTAGCTATATAGATACCTAATCTTAAATCGAAGATTGTGGTTTTCATTATTTTCATTCATACAACCATAGTTAATTGAGTGGAATGGTTATGAAACCCGTCAGACTCCTTTGTTATATGTTTTTGTGGACCTGAAAGTGCACAACGTTCAAAAGAATTCCTATCATTTTAATTGTATTGACCAATAAAAACGTTGCATTAATTTATTCCGTAACAATTTGCCAACAGAAAACAAAGGATTGTGCACTTTCACGGTGCTTTGAACATAAACTGCAGCACTGTTGTTTTTATCATTGATGTTTGCCGCTTTTCATAACCAGTCTCCTCTATTAACTATGATACAACCCTGAAATAACATAATTTGTTAATTATTTATTACAGAGAGTCCTTGACAAGGGGATCAAGAGTTTGGCTGTTGTATTAATGCATTCATACATGTAGGTACTGGTATCTGATTTTGTGTTAAATAATTAATAAATTGTTAAGAATATAGTGAACTTTCCTAATTTCCATATTTCCACACTGTTCTTCTAGTGGTGACATTAATGCATGCCACAATTTTTAGGGTTCTCTCTCAGTGATCATGCCCTTAATTCCTGCTACCTCCTAAATAAATGTATTAACCCTCTTAAGTTTGAAGAGAAACCCATTTCAATTTCTCCTGACAATTTCAATAAAGTGATTAAGAGAGAAGGTTATGAAAATTATTAAAATGAATATCAAAGGAAAATGCTTTGATCTGTATGGAGACCCGTCTGGATAATTTGTATGTGAAAATTCTGGGCCTAAAGGGTTAAGAATTAATGATGTTGACCTCTGTGTTAAGGTCTTAGAAATGTATATAATTTTACAAGAACTGCTACTTTTTTTCAGGTATGATGTGCATGAGAAAGAAGTTGGTAAAATTGCTCTGGAAATGGGTTTTGAGCAGGTGTCGCTGTCATCAACAATAATGCCCATGGTGAGGGTTGTGCCTAGAGGGTATACAGGTAAATTAAACATTCTGATATGGTGATCTACTTGTGCACTAACAGTAATCTTTACCCAAAATGGGTGCAGCTTTCTGTTTGGATTAAAAATTTCAAACTACTGTAGTTTGATCTTGTTGTCATTTTTCTTAGTTTGTATATAGCTGTGGAATGAATCTAGAGTAAAAGAGAAAATATTTCATAAAAAAATCGATATAATACTGACTACCTTGTTTTTCAGGTAGATTTTCTGTTTAAAGTTCTCACCCCACTGTACATGATGATGCTTAATTTCCATGAATATTAATTTTTTTTTGTATTGTAGCCTCTGCAGATGCCTATTTGACTCCATGTATCAAGAAATACATTCGAGGATTTACTGCTGGTTTCAAAAAGGGTATTGAAGTATGTGTTATGGCAAACAGGGTGAATTTGTATTCTGGAAAAAGAGTGGTATCTTGGGATACCAAATCTTGGAATATCTTGCAATGATCAATACATCTATTATGGCCCCATCCACATGCATCAGGATATCCTCCCTTTTCAAAAAATATGCATCCACACGTAGCATATTCAAATCATTTTCGCCTGTCCACACAAAAAAGCTGAAACAATGGAAATACAAGAGCATCCCTTTTGAAGCATGCGTCATGCTTGAAGTATGACATCAACATATTTGAAAACCTCCATTTTTGTCTGTCCACACGTAAATGAGAAGCCAGCGTTTTCAAAAACCCTACTCTGGAGAGTGTTTTTGAAAAGATGTGTTTTCGGTGACTGTTTTCACTGTATACGTGTGGATGGTAGGCCAAACTGGAGATAAAAATCTCCATTTTCAAACAAAAATGGATATGTGTGTGGATGCATGGGGTTATGTGTTGCAACAGTGAATTGGGTTCAACTGGCATGCCACTGTAATTTGCCTTAAATGTCTTGACAAAATTGTAAACTGAATTCTTACTAGTCAGAGTGGTCTTAAACTATCAGATACTAATTAATTAAGAGGCTTACATAGCTAACCCGAAGGTTATTGAAGCCTCTGTTGGTGTTTTACATTTTGTATAGGTAATAGCATGATTTGTAGTGATATTTGGCAGAAATACCACGAGTGATATTTGGAAATTGTTAATATAACGTAATTTCACGAGCCGTTAGGCAAGTGAAACTTGAGACAATTTTGAAATATCACGAGTGGTATTTATGCCAAATATCACATACAAATCATGCTATTATTTGTTTATACCACTACCAGCAAAAGGTTTGTAATTTTCAGGGCTGTGCTCTATCAGAGCATGGTGGCCCCTGGCACCTAACTTTTGCCCTCGGGCAACTAGAAAATCTCAGATTTTTCATACAAATCATTTGCTGGGCACCCTAGATTTTACAGTTTCAGAGCACTGGGCTCCCTTCAATTTTCCAAAGAGCACAGCCTTGATTTTCACATGTAGGTATTTCAAATTAAGCTGAAATACCACTGCTCTAAGCCAATCAAATTGCAGAAATTTCTCATGTAGTGGTATATCTGTACAAATACCACACAAAAAACCTTATAGGAAGTGAAAATAAATCTGTTAGTTACTAAACTTTTATTAGTTATAGTTTAGCGGTCACATTAAAAATATTCCTGAACCTTAATTTAACAATGAGGGTTGAGTTGCTCAAAGCATGGTTAGCTTTAACCATTGGTTAAGCAGTATCAAAACCAATACGTTGTCAAGGTATTTTACGCTGGTTAACGCTAACCATGCTCGAGCAACTGGGCCGAGGTTGTCAAAATAAGAAAAAAAACATATTTTGGTCTTTTCTCTTCCAACAAGGAAAAAGTTCTTTTCATGCAGTCTGATGGAGGTCTGACTCCTGTAGCCAAGTGAGTTAAAATTTGATATCAATAATTTTGAACATACAACATGTTGTGCTTATTAATAAAATTTTATACTACCACAACCAGAGCAGGGCTGTCACCAAAATTTCAAGTTGCGGGGTAAATACAACAAGAAGGTGGGGCAACAAACAGATAGGGATTCCTTTTTATTCTTCTTTCCTATGAAAGTAGCCAATGACCACATTCATAGTAGCCAGGGGAAGTCCCCGGCCCTGGCCTCATAATGACAGCCCTGCTAGAGAGCTGCAGAAATTTCTCTTTAAGTGACTGGATGCAATCACATCTTGGGCACTGCAGAATTGACAATTCTGCCACAAACCTCTTGTTTTAACCTCTCTCAATTGGCCTCCTCTATCTCCACAACAGCAACAGCTACTCAAGAGCATTGTAACTGCCTTTTAAAAGCAAGCAAATATGTATGCAATTTGGCTGGGAAATATATTTACGCAAGTTGATGTCACATGATTATGAGTTTTGTACACATCTGTCTCAGGTTTTATGGATCAAGGGCTATTCTTTCTGGACCAGCAGGAGGTGTGGTAAGGTTAAGATCTATTAATTTAGCTAAAGCACACATCTTAAAATTTTTGTGGTGGACCCTAGGGGAGGGTACTCAATAGAGTTTTACATGTGGAGGCTCCTCTGAGAGGTCCAATCCCCTACTCTTATAAACGATACCCCTTTCACTGCCTAGTTTAGAACTTTACATCTCTTTCAATTGTTTTAAATGCACTGTCTTTTAACTACTGATAAATCACAAAACCAGAATGTTTTCTTGTCTCTTTCGAACACGACATACACCTGTTAGGGCCTTTTTATAGTCAGAAATGACAGATTTCCTTACGCTTCTCTATACTTCATTTAGTAAAATCCCTACCCTTTCATATAACTGAAGCCTGAAAAAGTTACCCCTTTTGGGTACAACCTTCTTGTATTGGCCATTATAGGGAGTACCCCCAACTCCCCACCCCCACCCCCCACTGCCCCATGCTAACAATAAAACGTGAAAAGAAATTATAGTTAATTTAATGTTGCAAGCTTTTCTTGAACATCTAGAAGTAAAGATAATAATTATTAATGCTATTCCTGGAATTCTTTGAAAGGGAATAGTTATTTACTTATCCATTTGTGATAACATGACTTCTCCAAAACTGCATGTATGAACTGTTTGGTGCAAGTGTTGAACCTGACAGAGGTGGCTTTGTTTTCTTAAATTGAAATCCAATCATTCTTGGTGAAATGCTGCCAAAATCAACAATATTATATGTATTACTACAGTTTTGCTCATGAAATGAACTGCTGAAAATTCTTAGTGTATTTTTAACAAAGTCAGAAAAGCCTTTTAAGTAAACCTCCCCTCAAACTAAAGCCAGCAATATTTTCACTTAATACTGTGGATGGTTTAATTACCCAGGTTGGCTATGCAATGACAACTTTTGAGAGAGAGACTGATCAGCCAGTTATTGGATTTGACATGGGAGGTAATGTGGGACTCGGAGACTTAATGAGTTTGTATTATAAATGATCATTTCAATTACAAAACAAATTTAAGAAGATTATATTAATCATCGCTGTCTTGCTGTCCACTAGTAGATGTGAGTATTTTATGATCCCCATTCCACTGCTGCTATTGTAGTAAATGATGAAATCAGCCATCTTCTGTGAAATTCTTGCATACCAGGCTATGCCATGCTGATCGGTGCTTAAAAGAATGATGGGGTAATATGTCTTTGCCCTTGTATACAGTGTAAGGGGCTCACACAACGTGAGTGTTTTGTTGAGCCGAGTATATATGTAGCTGGAGAAGTAGTCTAGCATGAGATAAGACCTTGGTGCAATCCAGTCCACAGGAGCAACCTTAGGGATCATAATGGTGAAGCTTGACGGCACTACCTCTTACTTCTGCCCAACAACTTTTCCAAAAAACAGATGTGCAAATAGACTAGACATAGTAAGATAAACATTACAGAAGCTTTAACTTCATCGTTAATTTCTCTGGTAATCTCAGGAACGTCTACCGATGTGTCTCGTTTTGCTGGTCATTTTGAACACGTGTTTGAGACAACAACAGCTGGAATCACCATACAAGCACCACAAGTAAGTGAAATGATTATTTTCATGTCCTTATTGAACCGTTTTTGACCAGTTTTAACTAACTGCACTCTTTTATTCATAGTTACTTTTCCAAATAAACCACTAATGGTGGATTCTGTTCCCTTAACAGCTAGATATTAACACTGTAGCAGCAGGGGGTGGATCGCGCCTGTTTTTCAGGTCGGGACTGTTTGTTGTTGGACCTGAATCAGCTAGCGCCCATCCGGGACCTGTATGCTATAGGAAAGGTAAACAACGATTTTCTTCTTAGTATTACTACCACAAATGATCTAATGGATACTCGGGGCATTTATTTGATTTTAGGGGTCCAAAGGAGGCGTTTAATTGGGTTCGTCAGAACTAACGCATCCTCATCTTGGTGTGCCTGTGGTACAAAGCCACAAATTTTCGAGGTATCAGGGGCGACTGCTGATTAGCCGCCCCCTCTGATTTTATCAGGGGCATCTCGGCAGGGAAACTGGACTCCTCCCGTCTCGATTTCGTTTCCGTAAGAGACGAACGCGGATCCGTAGTCAATGGTTCCCTCTAGTAGATAGAAGGCGTTTAAAATGTAGAGTCATCTACAGTGGCGGATCCAGACCTTTAGATAAAGGGGGGTGGGGGCAGTCGTCCAGACTCTGAGATAATGGAGGGGGACCGGTCTCAAAAACAATTTTTTCGGCCCATCGGGCCTCTTTTTGGTCTAAAAATAAGGGGGAGGGGCGGGCCCCCCGGCCCCCTCCCCTGGATCCGCCACTGATTTATTCACATGACTGTAGCAAGCTCAACAAAACTAATATGCTTCCGGCGAAAATATCAATAGGGTTTTTAAATTTCCACTCCATCAATTGATACGTCTAGCCCTTGTCATGCTTGATATTCATATTGATATTCTTTCACTGATCTCAACCTCAATGTCAGAATCCTTATTCAGGGTTATGTGCTGTCATCATTAGCCTCTCCTTTTTAAGAACTTGACATTGAGCCAAATGCAATGCACAAACCTTCGCTAATCAAGAAAAGAACTGAGTAAATTGAATAATGTTTTTTTTCCTATTCCTTAGTATTTTGGAGTAATTGGCATGGGCGGCGTCTGTTAGACCGGGGGCGTTTATTAGAGAGAGGCATCTAATTTACAAACTTGAAATCGTGAGAAAGTCGTTTCTTAGACAAGAGGGGTTTATTTGTGAGGGGGCGTCCTTTAAATCATGTATGGTACCAGTTGGCATTTTTTATTTCAAAAACTCTTTTAAGATACTCTGCATAGTAGCTGTATTAATTTTGGTGGGCAAAAAGACACGGTACATTTTTTCATGTAGTTTCTTGTGCTAATTTCCTTACTTGTTGTGTAATTACATTATGGTTTTTGTTTTTCAGGCGGCCCGCTTGCTGTGACAGATGCAAATTTGGTGCTAGGACGAATTCTTCCGGAGTAAGTTCATTCTTTTAGTTTCTTTTTCAAAAAGGTTAACCACCAATCTAGTTACTTTGCGCCTTTGTCAATACAAAATTGAAAATGCAAAAATCAAGAGCGACTCTTTCTTTCTGTTATCGTTTCTTTGAGCAGATTCTTCCCGAAAATCTTTGGAAAAAATGAGGACCTGCCTTTGGATTTTGAAGGATCTTGGGCTGCTTTCAAGAAGCTTACAGAGGAGGTGATTTATTTTGATTATTTTTTCCATTTTTTTGCTTATTTGTTGTTGTTGTTGTTGTTCATGTTGTTTTGTTTGCACTCTACTTGCCTTCACTTATTCCAGTAATAAAGTTGTTGTTGTTGTTGCCATCCCTCCAGAAAGGCGGATGGCGTTCTGGTCACCAGGATAAAGCATTCGTGCCCTCTTATATTTAGAAACGGCATATGTTTAACAGCTGCGCGGTTGCATTGAAAATGCAATTTGCAGTGGTGTGATCCATCTTCTGTGTAATGGAAATTGATAATTTGCGTGACCAAACCTTACCTTAAGAAAGTGCGCAGACGTAATCGAACTCAGTGGCGCAGGCTATGCTTCATGGGGACACCCCAAAGAAGTCTTAAAAGAACAAGTGAAATTTCCATCCTGGAAGACAACTGCTTATGTTTAGAAGTTTTTCTTGGATAGGTGGTTTCACAAGTGAAAATAGATTACAAATTTTCTTACCGCTAAGATTTTTATTGAATTGTTCTGCTCCGTGGGAGGAAAGGTAGCGCTAGATGTGGGCTGAGGTGGTTTCTGATTATCGCCCTTGCTCCGAGAGGTTTTTCTCAATTCTCCGGTTTTCTCTTTGCCTCTAGACTGTTCACAGTCCCCTTTTTTTCGTGAGATCATTTAGATATACGGCGTCTTACCGTCACGGCTTTGTTGATTTTCAAATGTACAGAGGGGGCGGGCGTCGGGGATTATAGCCTTAGTAGTTTTGACACTCATGCGAGATGGCAGCCCGTAACGCAAAGCTCTCGATCTCGATGATCTTACGGGAAAATAGAGGACTGTGAAAAGTCTACCTTGCCTCAAACACCAACACTTCCAATTCCGATTCTATGTCGATTACGCGAACAGTTCGAACGAATTCTTGAGGACTCCGAAGCGCTTCTTGGGTAAACCAATACATGTAACACTTACATTACATTTGTTACCAGGTCAACGAATTTCTGTCAAGTCAAGATGAAGGTGCTAAAAAGGAACCAATGAGTGTCGAGCAGGTTGCCATGGGTTTTATTACTGTTGCTAACGAGACCATGTGTCGACCAATCAGAGCTCTAACTGAGGCGAGAGGGCACGACACCGCCCGGCACGTGCTTGCGTGTTTTGGTGGAGCGGGTGGCCAACATGCGTGTTCTATTGCCAGGTCTTTAGGAATGTCAACAGTCTTCATTCACCGGTGAGTGGAAATTTATATGCTTAAAGATGTTTTATGTACGATAAGTAAACGACGTGGAATGGCACATAAGGCGAATTGTAGGTTTATGTGAATAGCGGTAAAAATGTTGCATAGCGTACATGCACCTCTTAAGCACGCATTGGCAGTCGGGGTAAGTCTTAAGTGGCATACCTCACACCTGAGTCCTTGCGCCCAAGTTAACACCCACAAAACAGTTAATCTTTTCCAGACGTATAACTTTATTTGTTCCGTCCGTGTTCAACCCGTCTCACCGCGTTTTTTCCCTAGGCAATAAACTTTTCTCCACTTTGTTTCTCTTCACCCAGGTGAAAAACCAGCGACATACTTCCAGGGGTACCCTGGAATTAACTGGCATCCCTTTCGGGGGTTGGGGGGCGTTGTAATACTCCCTAAAGCTACGGAAACTGTGGTAGGCTGCGGCCACGTGGGCCGCGTTGGCTCGGCGATGCGCGCAAATTGTTTCAGTCTTTCCATTTTAACCCCATTGCTAAACGGACCTGTAACAGTGCACACTATGGTACCCAGTAGCTATTTCTAGGAAAATTCCTCTTGTAAAATTTTTTTGAGGCAGATTTTTTCGTTATGGTGTATTGTTTGTCAGGTTTGCTGGTATCCTGTCAGCATATGGACTGGCTCTAGCAGATGTGGTGCACGAGGCCCAGGAACCTTGCGCACGTGTTTATGACAAAGGTAAATTGATTATGAGAAAGGATAGCAACAATGTTTTTTCATTTTTCCGTTTTCCAAAATTCTTCGTTCTTGGTTCTTGAAGCTATTGTCTCAGCACAGAGCTGCACATATCTGACTTTTGAATGGTCGGGTTTAACGGTTTTCATGTAAAAACTTTGTTTTCCTTGTTTACAATACAGGGTCGTTTAGTTATCTTGATGAGAGGATTGACCACTTAACACAGAAGTGCGTCGAGGAATTGAAAAGCCAGGGATTTGAAAAGTAAGTTAACTGCAGAACAGCGGCGACAAAGCATCGAGCAGTAGAATTGAGAGGTGCCTGGTCCAGGCGTTCAGATAGTGGAGTGTGGCGCCAAGTCAGAGAGCAGAATAAAATAAGGAGGGAGAGGGCGAGATAGGGGAGGCCTGTGATGGTCATTCAGCTCTCACTCCCTACCCCACCCCCTTGCTTTTTTTTCCTGCTCCCATCTCTTTGTGTTGTCCCCACAATCTGAAAACCCGGAAATACAGCTGAGAAATGGTAACTTCATCAGTTGTACCTATCAATTACCGTAAAATTCCGAAAATAAGCCCCGGGGCTTATATTTTTCAAAGGCCCTTTTTGAGGGGCTTATTTTTGGAGGGGCTTATATTCGGAGGGGCTTATGTACGGAGGGAAATTTGCGTTTCAAAATCGATTTGGCTAGCCTTCTTCTTGGAAGGAAATTTACCGGTTTTTTTGTTTTATTTTTGTATTTGAGGGCAATTTCCAAGTACAAGCCCCCCCCGGGGGGGGGCTTATATTTGGAGGGGCGATTCAACGGAGGGTTTTTTGCGTTACGAGTTTGGGGGGCTTATACATGGAGGGGCTTATTTTCGGAATTTTACGGTACTTCACAACTAATTACAAATTTTAGCAAAAATGAAAAAGAGTGAATGTTACCCTAGATAACTGGGAAAGTGGGGCGGCCTTTCTTGGGAGATGGGACATAATTGGGTCAGGTACACATCACAGAAACACATACACCCAATAGATCTTCGATCTCGTATAAACAATCCTGTCAGTGTCTCAAGCTATCGCTGGCCTTTTTGCAATAGCCCCAACTGATTAAACTATCTGGACGAAGTATTCGTCTACAATCGGCGACAAAGTGAGTTGAGGCACTTCGCCCGAAACTGGGCTTTTTTACGTTTTACTAACTTCAGAAGGAGGAAATATAGCTTTTCCTCCCCTATTCCCTCCCTGAGTGTTTTGCCCATATTCGAGCTACCTATAGGAACCAACAAACACCCCAACTTTGAATGGAGGGGGCAGGGGAGGGGCTAGCCTGCGCGCAGACGAAATTAAACTCCGGTTAACTCCGTCTGCGAAACAGCGCCGAAATCCTTGTTCTGGAATTTGGTACGGGATTGGCCAGTTAAAAAGGCCTTTGTTTTGTTTGTCGTGATCGCCAATCAGGTTGAAGGGAAATTCTTTTCGTTGAGTCCGTTGGGGGTCCAGAACAAGGATCTACGGTACTAATTTTAGTTATCGTCTGCAATGCCTCAATTCTTTTGTTCTCCGAAGTTACCCTATTTGAGTGCAATGCCTCAACAATTTTGTCGCCGATTGTAGGTATCTCTCTGAGGGGGGATTGTGAAAGGATAACTGGGAAATAGATATTTGATTGTTACCCGTAAGAAACTGGGAAAAGTTGTTCCTGGGAAAGTCTCTTTTTCCGCGTAGTAAGAAGCAGATACTCCGGCATCTAAGGCAAACCATTCGTTCGACGCACGTTTGAACATAAGGTACATTTTGCTCTTTAATCGGCCGTACAAATTGGCTCCTTCACCTCCGTGGGTCACCGTATATTTTTCGACGAGTATGTGTTCCTGTTAAATCCTTACCTTCCACCAAACTTTGTTCAGCTGCTGCCTTCAGTTTTCAATCATGTTCTAGACTAGACTTCATATAGCCTACATTTCTCATACTAATAATGAATTTTTTTCGGAAATAATGCCCTATTATACACTTGTTTAACGGTCCATTTTTTTTCAGGAGTCAAATCTCCACGGAAGCTTTTCTTCACATGCGGTACAGCGGAACAGATTGTGCTCTCATGTGTACCGCTATACCCAAAGACAATGCACAGGTAAATCTTAATCTTCAGGTCTTCATTGTTTTGCTTGACTGATATTTCTTGCATTCTTTTATGTGTAAGTAAAATGAAAGAGGTTTATACATTAGACGTTAAAGTTCTCAAGAAATTGAAAATAGTAAAAGTGGACAAGTTCGAGAAATTTGTCCTCAAGAACTGGAACCAAAGGTCCTGCATTCTCCAATAAAACCGTGGCGAGAAGTGTTCATGATTTCTGTCACACTGGACAATTTTTCTTGCGACTTAAGTCGAACCAAATTGGCAAATTCTCTTCCAAAGATGTTGAAACCATGGTCCTGAAAATGAGCTTTTTGAAAGCATTGTTAATGTTAGTTTTTTCTCATAACGTATCACTTGGTTATTTTTTACTGAGTTTCTTTACCCAGGTTTACTCTTGTTGCAGTCTACTGCACATTTCTTAGCTGCCTTTTTTTTTCAGCCAGGAGAAGTCTGTCGTCATGGTGATTTTGGACAAGCTTTTAATGAAAGGTTGGAAATTGTCATGCTGTTTGCTATCTTTTTAAAAAGCTAAAACTTTTCTCGCGTCCATTGAATACCAAAAATAATAGTCCAGTTTTGTTATTGAAGATTATCTTAGGCATTGAAGCTATTTCCTGTCGTCTGTCACTACGGATGGTAAGGAGTAGACATGAACTGAAATTTGAAAGTTGTTCCAGCTATTTTAAGTTCGATTGCTATGCCTGCCTGCAAAAATCACCAAAAAGATACTGTGGTCAGTTCTCCATGATGAAATTTGGTCGATTTCTTCTTTACAACTTCACAGGAGAGTCACTCAATTGCCGTCAATGCTCGAATTAGCGCCCGCGGCGCTTGTTTAATTTTCTAAGGCAAGAGGGGGGGTGCTGATTCGAAGGGGGGCGCTTATTTCGTTTATCAGTTTTTGGCCTCAAAATGGTACTATCTGTATTTCAAGTTCACCCAAACTGTAACATAAAAAATTGAAAAAACGCTATAGAAAATTACTTTTTGTGAAACTTGCAACGTTCTCAAGACGAAGCACCTGTGAAAGTGGAGCACCTATGTGCTCACATGGACATTTCTATCGAGGAAATGAGAAGCAAACCCGAACGACTTTGAAGAACATTAATTTTGTACTATTTCGAATGTCACATTGATTAAAAGTACCGTATACGTCTCGTATATCGTACCGAGTACCGAACCTCGAGAAGGGGGGCGCTTATTCCAAATTTTAAGTCTTAGGAGGGGCGCTAATTCGAAGCGGGGCGCTAATTCGAGCATTTACGGTAATGACTTCAGTACAGAATTGTCGCGAAACAGCAATATCCTCGTGTCATAGCCCCTTTAAACCCTTGAAGCCAGAAACACTTTGGTTTCCTTTGCCAATAGGTACATGCGTGAGTTTGGATTCACTATCCCTAGCCGCCAGATCCTCGTCGATGATATCAGAGTGAGGGGCACTGGGCACTCAAAGACATCATTAGCACATGAAGTGCCAACAGCCACTACTCCTCCCCCTGTGAAAAAGGTATTATTTAGCTTCTGCGGAGGAAAGTATTATAGGTTATGACTAGATTAGGTACTCCTAAATGAGGTAGGTGCCTCATGTTTCTTACACAACGCAATACTCCTGGTGAAGAATCATTTATTGGGAAAAATGTGAAAACCAGAGAGAGTTAATTGTTCAAGGTAAAGGGTTGATTATAGGGCTTAGCACCGATGAACGGTGATAGGGGCTTAGCACTGTTTTAAAAAGTTTGACTTTCAAATACAAAAGTGGAAGCTGTTATCCATCTCGGACTTCGGGCTTGGTGGATAAAGCCCTCCTCAAGCTGCATAATTCTTCATATCATGCTTACCCTGGCTCCGGAGGTCCGTTCTGGAAATACCTAGGATGAAGTAAAACCGTGCTCACGGCTTCGTCGCGAACTATCAGAAATAAGATGACAAAAACAAAATCATAGGCACCCAGGGTATATCGTGCTCAGCCTCATTCAATAACTATTAAATATACTCTAGAAATGTTTTTGCTATTGATTAGCGACCATTCAACCAAATAACGGTCTGTTCTTAAACTTCAAAAGGCATCAAAGTGTTATTTTGAGGATGGCTTTCATGAGACCAACATCTACTTACTTGAGGAGTTATCCGCTGGCCACACAATAGAAGGACCCGCTGTCATCGTAGGCAAAACCAGGTCAGTCCGGTGACTATAGGAAGTGGCACCATTTTAAAACTTGTTAAATTCGTTAAGTAGTCGCCGTATGGGCAAGTTCACTCGATCAGTCGGACGGTAAACTTGAAACCTGTTTTAGTTCCATTTGATCGCTTCTATTCGTTCCCCGGCCAAAGAAGCAGGCCCTTTCTTTTGTCGCCTGCCCTGCAGATTAGTAAGGATAAGTTATTTTCGTGACTTTAATTTTACTGATACACCAATGAAACCGTTTAGACATGTTCAAGAAAGTTAAGTCCTGGTTTTAGATTTGACTACAAGTACGAAATCGAGTGGGTATGTCAGTACGAATTCGGAATGGAATTCCCTGATTTATAAATCTTTCCCGTTGCTTGCAATAAACGCTAGGGATCAGATTGCTGTGATATATAAAAAGAGCAACACGAATTTCATTGGAAAACTCATAATGGTACTCAATCTCGTCCTCCTAGTCTGTAATATCACGATGAGCAGAGCATAACCAGTGCATAACTTCTACCAACGACAGTTGCTCCTTATTATTAAAAAGTCGTTTTCCCTATGAGAAATATTAAACATAAAATAACGGAGAAATATTTGTTTAAATCCGGGCACTCTGGCACGGTTGCCTTTGTAACGGTAAAATTTGATTTTTTTTTTTTACAGCACTATTCTTGTTGAGCCCCTGTGTAAAGCTGTTGTTACAAAATCCGGAGATATCAGAATTGAGGTTTGTTATTTTTGTGCCTGCTTCCTTGCTGTGATATATTTGTTGTAACCAAAGTATTTCAACTTGATTCCACATCACTACATAATAACGGAGTTTGTTTATATTTTGAAATAATTTTTTTTAATTCTGCGTTAAATAGTCTCAAAGTATAGATGTTCAGCCAGAAATAGCGCAAAATGACCCTAGGGAAGGCACCCGTGACCCTTTTCAGAACAATATTTGCAAAATAATCAACGAGACAACGGAAACGGCCTGTGCAAATAAGAAGGGTATACCAAATAGCGCTTTGGTTCAGTTATAAGGTGACAGGAGAGGTAGTTGATATTCAAGAAGAGAAGAGAAAGATGGTAAAGGGATTCAGGAGAAAAGGAGCAACCCTTCCCTAGAGAATACACTTTTGCAAAATGAACTCCTCTCTTCTCTCTCTCTCTCTTCCGAGAGAGGAAACTTCCTCCAGAGTCAGAGAAGAGAGAATCGACACACTCTGTGTTTCCCTTGTGTAGGAGGCCCTCTTCCGCTCTGGTGAATTGCTTGCCGCAGGTTGGGTTGGCATTGGTCGATTATCGTAGCACTTGAGAGGGAATTTATGTCTTTCTGCAGGGTTGAAAATAGCAGAATTTATTTATTTCAGATTGGTGGAAATCAGGGCAAGAAGAGCATTGGAACTGAGCTAGATGCCATACAGGTAACATGTGTATTTGTTAACACCCTCTTAAAGGCTCATGTGTAAGGGTGATTTTTAAAGCGATTTCAAATCGCTCTTGTAGACTGCGGCCATTTTGTGGCGATTTATTACTGCGAGATTGCATTTGATTAGTGCATTTCTTCTCGAAGGTAGCAAAAGTCGTAGGTGTTTTAGCGGTAAGTATTTAAGTTAGATGCGCTCCCTTGTGAGATTCACATAAAGAGTGGAAAATCGCCTCGAATTCGCATCAAAAATCGCAGCAAATATCACACACCTTTACATGTAAACGTTCACCCCGAACTTTGCAAAACCGAAACGGATTTTTTTCGCGAGTTAACTTTCCGTTTCATTCTGTTCGTCTCAGTCGTTACAGTCCCTCACGAACGTAGGTGAGAAGTAGTCAGTAATTTTTCCCACTATTGTATTAATAATTATTGTGTATCGTTTCTTTATAGCTTTCAATATTTTCACATCGTTTTATGAGCACTGCGGAGCAGATGGGTCGGTAAGTAGGAAGGACTTGTTATATTTTGGTGACTTAAAAAAAATTAGAAGGATCAGTTGAATGACTTCTCTTGTGCTTCCTTTGACAGAGTTTTGCAGCGCACATCGATTTCAACGAACATCAAGGTGGGTCAAACGGATCCTCTGCAGCTTTATTTGTTAATTAACATCTATTCTGAGGTTAAATTTAATGGCAGTAAACCAAGGGGACCAATGCCCTCTAGCCGTTCATTACAGGAATGGCTCCGAGCCTTTCAAAAGAAAACCGCTGACTGCGCTTCGGAAGGAAACCGCTCATCCCTCCGACAGCTCAACGTGCCTTGTTTCACCGTCATCCCTTTTCCATCTCATACGTCGATGTATCGTGTGTACGTTCGTACATTAAAACGTTTTTTCTTTCGTGTTACAGGAGCGGCTTGACTTCTCGTGCGCCATGTTTGGTCCCGATGGAGGCCTGGTTGCTAATGCTCCTCATATTCCAGTCCATCTCGGTTCAATGCAAGAAACTGTGCAATATCAGGTTTGAACAATGGTTTTTTTGCGATCCAGAGTTATTGGTAATCACGCGAAAACGTGTTTTCACCAGCAGTTAACTATAGTTGTATCTGACGTTAAACCATAATGTTTTTTATTAATATCATTGTAGATTCGCACGTTAGGGGATGATTTAAAAGAAGGTGACGTCATACTTAGTAACCACCCCAGTGCAGGAGGGACTCATCTGCCTGATTTGACGGTCATCACGCCGGTAAGTAACGTCATCTGTGGCCCGTCTACGTACTGATCATATTAACTATAAGGGCGCTTAGCATGTGTGGGAACTGCCTGGCCAGACTCAGTCCAATTCCACTATAATCAGGACTATCCACCCACATCAGTCTGGACGTAAATAATGTGCACGGCAGTTATGGGTGTTCTTGACAGTTTAGTCAAAGACTTATTCATTTGTTTGGTCTCTATTTTACTTCGGCAAATCGTATCAGTAATCAACTAACAAACCTGAGGCCGATGGTGCGCTCATTTTAAAGAAAATGTTCCAAAGAATCTTTAGTTATAATTCCAGCCGGAAAAGAAAGCTTTGAGCGATTTTCTTGCCTCGAGTTCGTCTTTTGAAAAAAAAACACCGGGAAGCTGGCCCCCTCTTTTCATCAGTGCTCCGTTTTACGGGTTTTTAAAGCTATTTAAAGGTACACGGAAAGGAACCATTTGTAAAATAATTTATTTAGAATAGTGTCTATTATCTTTAATATATTATAAATGTTTTGTACATTGTTGATTTAGTCTTTTATGGTTAATGGCAAAATAAGTGAATGAATGAAAGAAGTCGAAAGAAGGATTTGAGGTCATACCTGGGAATCGAACTCGGAGCCACTGCGAAAATTTTGTGAAGAGACTAACATTTCCATTTTAAAATAACCGGTTTGGCTGACCATTTGGTAACCTCCCCGGGGATTGGTTACTGCATATATTAGACAAGTGAGAGAAATAGTCAAGTTATATTTCCTGTCTCTTCTTCACATGTCTTCTGCTACCCGCCAATAATATTTGTACGTCTCTTTCGTACAGAACTATGACAGAAAAACTACGATCACTGAACTTATTTTGTTTCTTTTCACAACACTGAAGTCCTTAAAAGCATTGTATATGCTTTTTCAAACGTCTATGTGTTTTTTATTAGGTGTTTTATCCAGGACAAGCCAAGCCTGTTTTCTTTGTTGCCAGCCGAGGTCATCATGCCGACATAGGAGGTTCAGCCCCAGGTACGAACAAATTATCGTCACCCAATATCGTTACTATATAACAACTTTTTGTTTCCTAGCAGCTTAGAGCTAATCAGTGAACACTGGCAAGTTGTATTTGACCAATATATTTGCTGTACTACATGATCAAACTTTTTTTGGGGGAGTCTCAAGGTCGGACAAGTCATGAAACCTACAAACCGAGGAAATCCTACCTACACGCGCCAGAAATGACTCGAAAACATGCATGACATTAAGGCGAGGGCCTGAAAATAAGACTCTAGAAACCACTTTTAGCTGTGACAATTGTGTGACAAGTAGTGCAAACGATAGATTGCTTCGGAGTCACTCGGGCGGGAGTCACATAATTCTCGTTGAAGAGCATTGCGTGACTCCGGCCAGAGCGGCTGCAAAGGAGACTATGGAAATGACCAACTTTTCATTTGACATTTTTTAATTGGCACATAAAAGTTGGTGTGCCAGATTTTTCTTTTTTTATTTTAACAAGTGCATTTGTGCCGAAAACTTTTTAGAATTCATTAAGTGTGCTGGTGGCTGGATGGAGCTTGGGATGTGCGAGTGACGATGCCATAGCGAGAAGGAAAGGCGGAAGATCTCCATTTCTCCTTCCGTCCTCACCCCTCGCCCCCCCCCCCCCCCCCCATACTTCCCTTTCCCGTTTTCCCTCTATGGCAGCACGTAAAAGACCTCTACAGAGGGAAGAGGTTGGAGAAGGGAAATGAAGTTAAGTTCATCTTTTTTCGTAACATTTTTCTTTCAGGTTCAATGCCTCCTAATTCTCATTCCATTTTTGAGGAGGGCGCCGTGTTTAAGTCGTTTAAAATTGTCAGTGAAGGCGTTTTTCAAGAAGAAGGTAAGGTGGTGACTCTAAATTGATTTTTTTCATACGATCACCATTTTTCTACTGACGAGAAATTATTGATGCTTTTTAATGAGTGCACGATACGTTTGGTTCAAGCTATTAGTTCTGCTTACTCAATTTGTTAATTGTAGACGAATTTTCTAGAGTTAAATTCTTGAGAACGCACACCCAGGTTTACAAGGGAAAGTACATAAAGAAAATTTTCGTGGTGTTGTTAACTTCACCACAAAAAGAGGAAGTAGATAATTTTGCGACGTAATCGTGCGGAGGAACGGCAAGGAAATGCACCAGTGAGCGGGATACTCGTGCAGAGTGATGTTTTGCTTTTTGGCCTAGTACTTTTTCGCCGTTGTCGTTGTCAAGTCTCTCTAACACGGTTGCGGAAGCAAACGATTTCGTGGCATTGTTGTTATTATTGAAAAATGATTGTTATTGTTCAGACAAAAGTGCGCACAGGCGCTGGCAAATGTTCTGACCTTCGATACATCATCAGTATTAAGATTCTGACATACGTTTCAATTTCGTTTTCTGAATGAACTACTTTTTTTCCTCTAGCACTCACCGAAAAGTTAAAGGAACCTGGAAAGTATCCCGGATGTAGTGGTACACGTAATCTCCATGACAACTTGTCTGACCTGAAAGCCCAAGTGGCTGCCAATCATAAGGTAACTCGCCTTTCTGGAAGATGGATTTTTCCCAAGTGTCTTTAGTACATTTGAATTATTTTTTTCGCTCATTTAATACGCGATGAACGTATTTCCTTTGGGAAGGAACGTAATTGTCATGAAGTTGTATCACGAAGGACGTTTTTCATGACAATGTATTTGTGATTTTATTGTCTAGATGTCTTATAATTGACAGTTGGCCGTAATAGGATATCATAAATTTTTGCAACCAAATTTAGTCTTAACGATAAAACGAGTTTCGATGGGGTTGCAAATCAATACTCTTTTTCAGATCTAAAACTCTTCAACAAGTCTGTCTGAATTGCGTTGTTTAAGATAGCATATCTCAAACATTTTATTGTCTTTTCTTCTGCAGGGTATCAAATTAATCACAGGTTTGATAGAAGAATACAGTCTACCGGTGGTTCAGGCGTATATGAAGTATATTCAGGTTAGAATTTCTACTGATTTCTTCCATTACCCTCTGCAAAGGTAACATCCCTTCTCTAAATAATTTGAATTTTCATTCCCCTTAGTCTTATCGAGAGAAGTAGTGACTATACTCAACTGAGCTACTTATTACTTTTTTCCAGTCCAATATTTTGCTTTGATGAAATGAATACTCCTTTCGACTTCTTAATTTTAGCACAACGCTGAAGTAGCTGTCCGTGAGATGTTAAAAGAAATCGCCGCGAAAACTAAGGTAAGAAAGCACTTAATCATTTAAGCTTCAATATCCAAATACAAGTTTTCCAGACTGATCTCCATGCATTTCCTTAAAGAATAAGTTGAGAGAATTTGATAAAAGATCTGAGCATTTTGCCTTTCGTGATCATTTTATGTATTCTTTTAACCTTTCGGCCTCTTGATAATGTACAAATACTGGTAGAAGAAACTTGATGTCCGCCATTCTTTGAACTTTAAGAATTACGTAAATAACTTGTGCTTCTTTGACTTGATGAATCGAACGCTTTCTGTCAGCATTTGAGAATACAGTTGTTCCGGCTCCATACGAAAGTTCAATTCAACGCCCCAGCTTAGATTTTCCACACCTTCGAAAAGCCCGTTCTGGGTCTTACGATCAGTTGAAATTTTCAAAATTAGTTTGATGAGATGTAGCTGCACAGTAAATAGAATTCTCATGCGATTTCTCTGAAATCGTCTGCATGGTAGCCTAGAAACCCTAGGTCCTACCGAAACTGTAGTTCGGTCGAAACCACCCAACCAGTGATGTTGTAACAGGGCGCTTTGAAAGGATAAAACGTGCCTCGCACTTAGCCGGTACCCGGCCCTCATATGGTAGGAACTTCGCGAAATAAGTGAAGCGAAAATAAAACACGCTTGATCTGGGGAAGGGGTAGTCTCCTTCGCAACCGCTCGGGCTCCGCTCGGGCTGGAGTCACGAGCGGCTGCGCAGGAAACTAGGGAAGACGGCACTCTCCCCAGCTTTCGACGATCTCTTCACATTATGCAATGCTATCTTGGAGCAGCCTGAAATAGGCTCCTTGGTACAATATTAATAGATGTTTCGGCCTCGAAATCGTTTACTTTGCTTCTCCCAAACTATACCATACACTGTTTTCCTTAGTAATGCCCGTTTTTTAGACAAGACGAGACTTTTTTGGAAGCTATAATGACCCTTTTACTGCTGTTACTCTATTGCGGCTGTTATTTGTAGGAGCGCACAGGAAAAACTGTCTTAGCTGCAGAGGATCATATGGATGACGGCTCACGTATTAAACTGACTGTGTCCATCGATGAAAAGGAGGTATGTGGTATAGGTAAAAGCAAACAAAACAATAGTAAAAACTGGTTGGTAGTGGAATTGTTACTTACATGAGACACACCACACAAGAAACTTGAAAAGTATAATCCAGATGGAATGTAACAGGGATAAAAACGTAAGTAGTTGGAATACAAGTTTCGTCCCGAATAGGACTGTTGTTGACTGGGTCTACTGCATCGGTTTTCAAAACATCAGTCACCGTCAAAAACTATTTACTATGGTCCTATTCACAGAACTTCACTAACCCCGAGGATCATATTCCACCGGGTACATGTGTACCTATGAAATAACCCTCAGGTTCAAACCTTTCAAGCGCGGCTAAAGTTGAACTCGTGGTCAGGTCCGGGACAGACTGACCACGTGATCATGAAGTATATCGATCAGTAATTCTCGGTTGGATCATTGGATGTATTTACAAAGTGTAAATGAATATAGCGTCCACGATCCTTTCTATAGGATAAGCCCACGAGAAACAACTATTCGCCCCGATTAGATCGCTCAGATGGAATTGTCCAGGTACTCTCTTCACAGTTTCCGACTAAAATTGTCTGTTAATTCTGTTACTTTTCCTTGATACAGGGTACTGCAGTGTTTGATTTCACGGGAACTGGTCCGGAAATGTACGGCAACCGTAATGCACCGCGCGCTATCACTTTCTCTGCCATCATCTACTGTTTGCGGTGCATGGTCAAACACGATATACCGCTGAACCAGGTAAACAAATCTCAAGTGTTTTAGTTTGTACACTTCGCTTTTGCCCTCTTCCCCAAATTGTAATTAGCGTGCTTTTTTTTGTAAAAACATATCGAAGTTTGTCATTCTAGCTTATCGAATTGCAGACATATTTATCGCTCAGCTAGCACAGTATATAAGTGTATAGCAGGGGAAGGTTCAGTTTGTCATTTCATTGTATTTCAACAGACAAGATAAAAGTACGAAAATTGTTTTGTTGATGTATATGATGTCACATATTTGTCTTGTTTAAAAAAAAAGAGCAAACGCTCGAGTTTGGCTTGTTTTTTCCTCAAGACGTCTTTGCTTAAGATTTGAACTAACGATACTTCAAGAACCTGACAAACGCGTTAGGCTTCGACGCCTAAAAAGAAAAAAAAATAATCGTTCACAGCTCGTTTACTGAATTGTTAGCTGCTTACTTTTCCCGTCTTTTTCCGCCATCAGGGTTGCTTAGCGCCAGTGCAGGTAATTCTCCCACCTGGAAGTATTTTGGATCCAACAGAAACCGCAGCTGTTGTTGGCGGGAATGTGTTGACCAGTCAGAGAGTTGTTGACGTTGTATTGAAAGCCTTTGAAGCATGCGCTGCGTCTCAGGTGGGTCACCATTTTGTTGATTCGCATTTTTTATGAGAGATAAGTGGGGTTGGGTTCCTGTAATATTTAGTCAGATGACGAAAAAAAGAACTTAAGATTAACAAAAAGAGTAGCAAAAATTGCAAAATGGACTACAGTGGAACCCCGTTATTACGGTCACCAAGGGGCCAAAAGATTGGCCGTAATAACGAGGTGACCTTATTGACGAGGTGGCCGTATGGCGGGGTTCCACTGTATTAAAATAAGGCTCAAGACTTATGTTTAAATTTTTCTTTTTAAAATAAAACCATAGCAATTACCTCTCAGCAATCATCAGTCATGGTTTTTGATAGCGACGGAGACAGATTCGGAGTGTTATCAGAAACATAGAGTGTTATAATCTAGTGAAAATCGCTGATAACTTCTTCGCTTATGATTAGTTGTGGTGAAAACTAGGCTGTCGTATTGGCTAGAAAAAGCGAAAGAACTTAACCTCTCACAGTGTACCCACAGTACGCAAACGAGCATTGTGATTGGCTGACTGGAGTCGAAAGAAAATGGAAACGTTCTGATTTTTGCGAGTCCGATTTCGAGGAGCTTATGAATCCGCTTACGACACTGATTTTTTTTCCCGATTTTCATCAGGTCATAAGCGCTCTTAAAGGGGCTAGGTCACGCAATTAGCTCTCTTTTTGAAAAGCTAAAACGTCTCTTCGCATCAACTGAATTCCAAACATAGTGGTCCAGTTTTGTAATTTAAGATTATATTTAAGTATTGAAACTGTTTCCTGTTGTTTGTTGCAATGAATTGCCAGTATGGACATGGATTGAAAGTTGAGAGGGTTGGGCCAATTTTTCGAGTTTTTAAGCTAAGGTAATCCCCCCCAAATATTATGGTTAGTGCTCCCTGATGAAATATGTTTGGGGGGGGGGGGGGGGGGGGGGGTAAAGCTACTAAGTCATGACATTTAGCCTGCGTCGCAGAGGTAATTAACCTTGAATAGTGACGTCTGCGAAGCAGCGCCGAGATTCTTTGTTCTGAACCCCCAACGGACTCAATGAATTACCGGAAGTGCGTTTCGAATGTCCCTTCAACCTGATTGGCAAACCGACAAAGGGCCTTTGTCACACGGCAGCCATTTTGTCCCGAGAGACTAGAGTAGCTTTGCTTTACCTGTCTAGCCTCGCTCCCAAGATTTTCACTGCCAGGTCGAGGGTGATAAAAAGAAGCTTTTTCAGTCTGTCGGGACAATATGGCCTCCGTGTGAATAAGGCCCGTGGCTTTTTGAACCGGCCTATTATCGCTCGTTCCTAAATCCTGGTACACAGGTATAGCCCAGAACAAGGATTTTTGCGCTGTTTCGCAGACGGGCTTAACCAGAGTTTATTTTAGTCGGTGGCGCAAGCTAAGCCCCTTTAAGACTCGGATTTATACGGCTCCGACTTCGACTCCGTCGCCACAGTCTTAAGAACACGTTACGTTTATATTGCTGACAACCGAGCAACATCGAAAACCGCTGTATTGTTGTACACCGCAGGGTTGTATGAACATCACAGCTTTTGGTGGTGATGATTACCAATATATCGAGACAATCAGCGGCGGAAGTGGAGCGGTGAGTCGTTTCACTATTCTAATACAATTCAATTCCTTCACGTGTATGGCAGGGTTGCATGAACAACACCACGTTTGGGGACGAAGGATGCGGATATTACGAAACGATTTGCGGGGGAGCTGGTGCGGTGAGTTTGAGCATGCGCAGGGCGCCCATTGCTTCTTCTTGGATGCCAGTAAACAAACAAGCAAATCGCTAGGACGGTTTGAGACGCTTCTGTAGGAAACAGTTTATGCGATTTGGTAAACCTTTAAGGACGTTAATACCCTATTAGAGTAAAAACAATTCGGACAGTTTGTGTCAACGTTTCGAGAAACGTGTTTTTTTATTATTGCTAAATGTTAGCAAGTTAGTAGGGCCATAAGAAAGACTACAGTCTGACTGTAATTTTACACTGTTCTGCAGCATTTTGTAATGACGACGCATTTTGTAACAAGGGTTGCGGCATGTGTAGTAACGACGGATTTTGTCATAACTTACGCATTTTGTAACAAGGGTTGTGGAACTTTGTTATAACGACGGATTTTGTAATAACTTACGCATTTTGTAAGAAGGGTTGTGGAACTTTGTTATAACGACGGATTTTGTAATAACTTACGCATTTTGTAACAAGGGTTGTGGAACTTTGTTATAACGACGGATTTTGTAATAACTTACGCATTTTGTAACAAGGGTTGTGGAACTTTGTTATAACGACGGATTTTGTAATAACTTACGCATTTTGTAAGAAGGGTTGTGGCATTTTGTAATAACGACGGATTTTGTAATAACTTACGCATTTTGTAACAAGGGTTGTGGCATTTTGAAATGACAACGCATTTTGTGATAACTTACGCATTTTGTAACAATGGTTGCGGCCTTTTGAAATAACGACGCATTTTGTAGTAAATGAAAGCTACGCAGATTGTAATAAGTTACGTCAATTGATAGTACTGTGTTTATGTCAAGGTGGGAGAGAGAATGGGGAGAGAGCGAAGGAAGAGAAACACCTTCCGTTCTCCCTCCTTACCTTACTTCCCCTTCGTCCTTTAAAACCTGCTAAGGAAAGCCTGATACCTCGTGCACCCTATTGAAAAAGTGTCATTCATTCATAGTAAATCCTGTTTTACATAAAAGGGAGTTATTGTTTACATACTGAAAACCCTTACCCTAACCCAACCTCTCCTACACTCACAGATCAAGCCTCCTAAGATACAACTGTAAAATGGGCTTTCACAAGTTAGTCAACATTCAACTGCCATGTACGTAAATCGTGAAAGGGTCGCTCGCGCAGCCATACCACAGTTGCGTGTTATTTTTGATCAGCTAGCAGTTCGTATTGAAGTGTTTTGTTTTTCCTTCTCAGGGTCCAACATGGGATGGACGTAGTGGGGTCCATGTGCACATGACAAATACTAGAATAACAGACCCGGAAATCATCGAAAGGAGGTTGTTATAAATGATTCCCTTTCGTATTTTGAAATTGCCGCAGAATACAAACACCTGAGATACATTTGTTAAGGGTTTTCTTCAGTTTGGGAAAACACCTCGACTTGAAGTCAGGTTTGTGAGACTGCGAGAATGAACAGGAAGCCCAGCCAAACCCATTTTACGAAAACCACTGGTCGCTAAACCTGGTTTCAGCCGATGCTCAATGCCTGCGAAGTAAAATATCCACGAGGAACTTGAAATCTTAAAATAAGACAGTCCATAGAGTTGTTATAATTTCGCCCTTTTGCAGGAATTCGACTCTCACCCGTTCAGAATGCGACCTCAGTGCTTTTATTCCGCGGGAAATGGATAAATGGCGTACTAAATATTTCAGTAAAAACTATTAAAAACTCTAGAGACTGGAGTAGACTTTTGTGGCGTTTCGACTTGTTCAAAGAAAAGAGAAGCTAGGCGGCTGAAACACTTTTAATATTTGCGATCATTTCTTGTGAACTAGGTCGTTGGTGAATGTTTCTTGCTTTTTAGGGATCCTCGGCCGAAAGGCTGAATTTTCTTTCTGTTGTTAGCATTTTAACTTTTAGAGTCTTAACTTACACATGTAATCTGTCATATGTCCTGAGTCAATTGCCAAATTCCTTTCAAAAATCTGCCGGGAAATGCTTTTTTGCGGTGCAAGGTGTTTGTAGCATCTGCGTTTACGAATCATTGAAATCCTCAACGTGAGTGTGACGATTCAGCTGAAAGTCACCGGGCAGTACTTTTCGGTGGTGTTGTTTATTGTTTTATACAGTCTTATCTGTCTTAGCGTACACGTCCCTAAAATGGACACCTAGCGTTAGACCTTGCCATTCTTGACTTATTTTCCTTGAGTCTCTATGTAAAACAGGCAACTTTTGAAACTGGACACTTAATGTTGGCTTCAACGGTGCGTCGTTTAAAGAGTTGACTGTTCAGGGGGTTCTGATTTGAAAAACTGCAAACGAAATCGCTTAAGAGCGTGGACGTTTCGACCTGCCCAACCACCCCTTCCCCCTAACCCCACGTTAACAGTCGTACTGAGGGCAAAATTTTGGGTTATGGGAAAGATAGCTGGGCAGCTTTCCAGATTCTTATACAGAACCGTGTCCTCTGTGACTGTTTGTGATTTTAACTTTGGCACCATTTTTGAAGGTTTCCAATTATCTTACGCCGTTTTCATCTCAACCCTGGAACTGGTGGAAATGGATTTCACAGGGGAGGGGATGGGGTGGTGCGTGAGCTGTTGTTCAGAAGGAGTCAGGTTCTTTCAGTTCTTGGCGAGAGAAGAGCCTTCAGGCCTTACGGACTTAAAGGTATGAGACATTGATTACTATGTTGTTCAAGGAAGTTTTGTGGTTAAAATATTTCTTCTGGGATGGGCAAAGCATCTCCAGCTCACAAATTAAAGAGCAACCAGTAAAGAATGTTTCCTTTTCGTCAATTTCTTTTCCTTTTTCAATTATTCCCTATCGGTAGTAATGAGTGATCGCGCCGAAGTGGTCAATTTATGAAAAATTACAGATGATTAGTCATACGCCTTCCCGAAATATTGACTAATTGAGACAGCAATCCGCACTGCAATTAGTTCACGGTTATCTAAAGCCCGGTTTTAGTACTTCATGTGGGCGGAATAGAATTCGAATTTACCGAAATCGAATTTAGGCTGACTCAAATCAATTTAGGCCTGCTGACTTGATTCACACGTCGATCTTTATTTCAGCCGAGCTAATTAAATTCAAAAGGGAAAAATGCGCATTTCGGTAAAGTTTGGCGTCTGAATCAACGCCGGTCCACAGCTGTCATTCGCGGCTGACCCAGATGTGAAGAACGGCTGAGCCAGGTGTGAAGAACGGCTGAGCCGTTCCAAATTCATTTAGCCCGGTTTTGAATTCATTCAGACGCCGTACTTTTTCATGAACTTACTTCATAAATTCGATTTGGCGACTAATACTGAACTGAACCTTTGGAAACCACTCAGCTGTCAAAATTTTGGCAACAGCGCAAACGATAATAGATATGTTAGGTCCAGTTCAAAGGTCGAACTTTTCATGTACCGAACTCAATACCTGTTTGGGTGGACCCAAAGATGCAATTCCAACGGTCGCCGGATTCAGACGGCGAACTTGCAGAGCTTAATTATTTGGACTCAATTCATTTTTACGATGTACAATGGTCTACAATGCTTATAAGTAAAGATAAATTACGGTGATTTATGCATTAGGTTTGGCACGTGAGAAGTTCGACGTTTCAAACGAAGTCGCTCCACAGTCGAAATTCCCATGTAGGCCACTCGACCTTTATAATTCATGGGTCGATGCAAATTCGATATGTCGGACTTAACTGATTCAAACGTTGATCTCTCCATGTTCTCATTTGAAAGGGATTTGGTTCGGTACATGAAAAGATCGACGTTTGAAGTGGACCCTAGTGACAAATCTCTGTCTATTTTCACCTGTGTTTCCAGAGTGGTTGAAGAAGTTTCCTCTTTAATACGAGCAATCACCGGTCACTTTCTTAACAATGCTCTCTTGATGAATAATTTTTTGTTTAGGCGGTGAGCCAGGATCTCCAGGGCTTAGCTTGCTTCTCAAAGCGGATGGAAGAGTTATTAACTTGGGAGGCAAGGCTTCTGTCCACATGAATCCCGGGGTAAGTCATAACTCATGTGCAGGAGTAGGTACTTCGAACATCAGTTAGTTCGCCCCCTGGTGAATTAACCCTCTAGAGGTTCGCCCCCTTCGTTCGGAGTTCGCCCCTTAGTGAGTTAGCACCCTACTATCCTATTTTTAAAATAGCTCTACAATGGTTGTGTATTCGTGGATAACCAAAACGTAAACCCAGGTTAACGTTATCAATAAATCGATTATCCCCGCCTACGCGTGCGAATTTTCGAAATGTTGCCTTTACCATGCTCGCAAGCACTACAGTTTCGGCAATTGTTTGTCCTTCTTTCGCCTCGCGTCCAAGTTTAGCTTTTCAGTAAGTCTAGATTAACTTTGAAGAAGTTTTCATAGGCGACGGAGTCTGAGTCGGAGACGCTATCAGAAGCGTTGCACTTATAACGATGTAGTGAAAACAGCGAGCGTCCTCAGTGATTCCGCTTACGACTCTGTCGCTTACGCTCAAGTGAAAACTACGTGGTCGAAGTCGAAAGCAGAAGAAGAAGTAAACCAGTCACAAAGGGTGGGAACGTGCATTGTGATTGGTTTATCCTTCCGCTTCTACCTCCGACTCCGACACTCTAGTTTTCACTAGATGGTAAACGGAGTCGGAAGAAAATGGAAACGTTCTGATTCTTCCATCTCCGATTCCGTCGCGCTTATGACTCTTACGACGACCAGCATTAAACTTTTGTCTTTTTTTAGGACTGTTATCGTGTTCAGACCCCAGGCGGTGGTGGTTATGGATCACCGACAGGGAGCCTGGAACCAGACAAAAATGTTGGTGACCCACCGACAAAAAGTGAGCCAGGAAATCCACAATACTTTGCGGCCTGCGGTAGCTTACACAATTATAAAATGATGCAAGAATCAGCCTAAGCTAGTGATTTATGAAAGAATTAAAGGGGTTAGGAATATTCTCAAGGACCCATTCAACTATCTCAAAATTTTCCATGGGGACAAAAGTCTTAAATTTTGTATTTGATTATCCCAAAAAACTTCCCAATCGGGGTGAAATAATACGGGATTTTTTAGCTAATTCAAAAGGGATGGAGTATTTAGCTATTTATAAATTTTAGTCTTTTTGGTACCATTACGAATTCAAAATAAATATATTATAGACGTGCTTTTCATTCAACGTCGGTTTTTCACTTACGGTAAAAAAAAATCCATATGTTCACTATAAGAACTGAATAAAAAAATAAAAAGTTGTAAAGGAACTGAAAAAAAAAAGAACTTAAAACGACACGACTAATATATTTTAAAGTAATTTCTAAATGTCTGACGCATCCGCTTGCCGTTTACCGACATGTCTAACGCATCCAGTAATTTAAATTTTGAACAAATGGCACAAATAAAAGGACTTCTTGGATGGGTATGTAGCGTGATTGTCTGTCTTGGATGTAGCAGCCACGTTCCAGGTAACCAGTCAAGTCGCCCAAAACTGAGTCATCTCGCCCGAAATCATAATCACGTCACCCGAAATTTTATCAGGTGTAACAAACAGATAAATATAGTGGAATAAAGCGGTGTCTATAATATATCTCCTTCTTTTAGTCATGATGAGACGAAACAGGCGCCATAAATGTGTAATCAGGTGCAATGTATCTCATTCTTTAATCCTTTTTGAGGCGAATCAGTTAAGCGCGGAAAATGGGTATTAGATCTCGTTCTGAAAGCGATAGTGAGGCGAAACAAGCGCGATATTAAAATGTGCAATAGGACTCTACGATGTTGTTGAGCAGGATAAAATTTCGGGCTGCAATTTCGTTCAGCATTCGGGTGACATAGCTCGGGTTTCCGGCGACTTGAAGGTAAACCGAACCTCCTATGATCGTTTGCCTCTCTTCTCCTTTCCCACCCAACCTCAAGTGTCATGGAAACTTGATTTTCCAGTGCTCAACGGCTTCGGGTATCAGAAAAAATTACAATCAATTCTTAACGTAGCGGCAGATTTTATAAAGAGCTGGAGGAAAAAAAAACTAATTTTGGCCCACAAATGAGAATGATTACGCCATTTGATGGTCTTATGGTAATGAACGGAACGCGAAAGTTTCTGACGGGTAAGGGAGAACGGGTAGTGTTAATCCGTGAAAAGAAATTCACCTCCGAGGATTTGAAAATGCATGATGGTAGAAAATTGGTGTTCAGTCCCATTTCAACACCCTTCACGATTATTTGTTTTACCATTCGTATATTATGTGAAAAATTTCGTCCACCTTGAGAAACTACGATTACGTTATTTTACTACGTTATTGGTTTAAGTGTTACTTAACCAAAGATACATGTGTGAAGGCCCATAAAGTAAAATCTCAAGTTATTTAACTTTGCATCTCATTAAAGTCGGAAAGTTGAAACGATTCAAGAAAAGTTTCAAGTGACATTGGTTGTCTTTACACTAGGGTGTTAAGTAAGGCTTCAGAGCTGCTAAGTGTTACTTGACCAAAGATACCTGTGTGAAGGCCTAAGTAGAATCTCAAGTTATTTTACTTTGCATCTCATTAAAGTCGGAAAGTTGAAACGATTCAAGGAAAGTTTCAAGTGACTTGAAAACCATCCTTAAAACCGACTTTGCGAGCTTGTGGTTTCTTGAGCTTTGAGAAAGGCGAAGCATGTCAATCAATCTTAATTATGTTGTCTGGAAAAAACCTGAAGTAATAAAGATAGGTTGTGTATGAAGCTTCTTTTGACTTGAAGAATTTAAAATTATTTTACTGGTCTTGAAATATCTCTTAGCTTATTTAGGCTCTAGTGTGGAGACTACCATTGCATGACCTCGACGCGCTTGTGACAATTCAAACATTTTCCAAACCAAGACGAATCAAGGGCCATTAGGTCACTTGATTGCTGTCCCATCTTGTATTTTATTTGGAAAACCACCGGTACCAGTTCTTTTTGCATTTTTTTTTCAAAACTCTCGTCAACACGTATCGCTGTGAAATCGCTTTTGTCCGCCCACGTGTATCCGTTTCTTTTCTGAAAGCGGATATGTACATATCTTTTTAACATATGAACTGACTATAAATACTTCTGCAATAATTCCTCCTCCAAAATGATTGTTTGTTGTGTGGATTAAGTTATCCTACCCGGCACTTGTAGTACGTCCGAGGTCTTGCTTGTTGACCTGTCCTGGGAAGCGTTTCTAAAAAATTACATTTTCGGTAACCGTTTTCATCGGGTAAGTGTGGGCTGAAGCCGAATCCGGAGTTTCCAAAAGATGGAAACTTAATGACGGGGCTAGAGTTGCTTTCAATTCGACTTTCTTTCAGGGATGAAGTTGCAAAAACGAGCTTCGAAAGTCACGAGAAGAGATAACAGAAATTCTAGAAGTAGGTCATTTAACCTAAATACCAAATTGGAGCCCTCTTGGGACAGGATGAAATCTAAAAGCAAAGAAAATTAGGTAATTATTACAGTCAAGAAAAGCAGTAGTTTGTAGAGTTGCTATTTTGAGGTAAAAGCTGCTTAGGATACATGGAGTGCTCTTGGTGCCATATGCTAGTAAGGATCACTGAACTATTTTTTTGGTATTATTATAGAAGCCTATCTTCTTAAAGGCAAAGCCTGTCGTTTTGGACACTACTTGCGAAGGATTATTGAACAAAGAACTTGGACAAAAGCGAAGCAGAAAATAGATATGCAGAACCACTCTCTGAGAGTGATTAGATGAAAACAAAGCTAGTGAAACAATTACTTACAGTTTCGATATCCATTTCAGCTAAGTGTTTGTACGTCGTTGCTTACTGTTTGCATTTCATTAACTGAAGGAAACATGTAGCTAAAATTACCATCCTTGAGAGCATTTTTGTTGATCGCTCAGACAAAATGAAAATATTTGTTTGTCGATTACATGGCTAGACGACTATTTTTAGCAGGAACTAGGCCTACACACTTGCCCAAGGTTTTAAGTCGGGACTGATACACGCGAAACTAGTTTTCTTGCAATAGTAACAAGTGCATATTAGAACAAAAGTTTTGTTAAAACAGTAAACAAGGGCATATTATAGTTCAAAAAACTTAAAAATTTGTTGAACGTATTTTAAAAACGGTAAACCTATGAATCGAGTCAGGTAGTCGGTTATTCAGGATAAAATTCTAGGGATGACAAAGTTTAAAATGAAGTATACCATTTTGAAAAAATCGTTGGTCCAATCTTACAACAAATTGAAATCGTCTTCCGAACAGATGATGCCTTGTTATTATTGAATCCAGTCAAGACAGGTTAATAATGACAAAGACGAAGTGAAAAACGACGCTGATTGAGTATTTATTTTCGATGACGGAAACGTTCTTAAAAAGGATAGCCCGTAGTGTGAACCATAACCTTCCATAACTTTTACACTTGCTGTTACGCTAACGACGTGATTTATTCTCAATTTCGTCTTCTGAGCCTAATTAGAAACAAAAAGAGCACCTAACCCTAATCCTAACCTTGAATCAACTTAGTTTTAAATGTTACATTTTTGGGGGCTTATGATTAGGGTTATGAAACAAGGAAAATCGGGTTGAAATCGTTTAATCTAAACCACTAGAGCTAGATCGAGTGCATGCTCCCTTGCCTGAATGTATTTTTGAACTAATATACATAAAAAAGAAACAGTCGACTAGAACCCTCATTGATCGGGAATATTGTTTTCTCTTACTTGTTGAGCCGCGAGCGGACTTCCGCTCTATTGTGGCAGTTTTAAGCAAAGCAGATCACCTTATGCAAAGAAATTTTCCAGTTAGGGTCTTTGTCTTGTACCCTTCAAGCAGAGGTTTCTCTCTTGCATAGCTTCGAGGGTTAACCCTTTAATACCTAAGAGTGATCAGCATCAAATTTCTCCTTGTAATATTATTGCTTTGTAAAACAGGGTGGTCATGAGAATTACGGACATGATCAAACAAGTTGAATTTGCTTGATATTTTATCAACTACTCCCCACTACTTCTGTAGGAAATGAAAATGGGCAACAAATGAGAATTCAACTTTTGATCTTAGGGTTTAAAGGGTTAACGAAGTCGTTCATGTGGCATGTCTGTCGCGTGGTTTGTTACAACCAACTACGCGACTGACAAGCCACTCGAACGACTTCGTTAACGCTAAAAGCCATGCAAGAAAGAAGCCTCTGCTCGCAGGGTATTGTCTTGCGGCAGTTTGTGTGCTTTTTGCGAACGTCATCAAAGTGGGATCTAACCGGAACCGAGAGAACTTAGTAATCTCAACACTGTCCATAAACCGCTAACACTCAGCGTACCTGACGGCGTCAGGAACGTATGCGGTGTATCACTGACTCTGACTTTACCTTACACTGTAGCTTGTATCTCCTACCCCACCCTCAGACAAGAGAGGAACCGATGCGTAGGTCGCTAAGGCGCGTGACTTAAGTGTGTTTCCTCGATGATGCATGTGATTTTTTCTAAGCAGAGTATTCCACGTATGATGCTTAAAAGACTGATTTAAAGTACATTTGAAGCTTGCAGTTATAAGCTTATAGTCAGTTATAATGTTCATTCAAAGAGCAGAAGACCATTCCTATGTCTCATTCTGACCTTCAAATTCAAGGCAACCGTGCGTTTCATTTGAATGCTTGGAATTCCAAGAACATTATTGCTTCCAAGGCCTCTTAAAAAGGGGGCGTGCGCCAAGTGAGAGACTTGTGCCTCGTTCATGTTGGACTGCATCCAACAATTTGTTAGTTTGACCACAGAAGCAGCAAAGTAAAATGTTGTGTGGATTGGAATTCTATAAAATAAAAATTTAGAACAATGTTAAGGCTTAAAGCCACTGCGGAAACGCATGAAATGAAGAGAGACTGTATAATCCGTCTCCCACAGTCCGCCTTGGCGCACGCTTGTACCATGAGAACGGTCTGCCCCCGCTGAAGAGAGCAGAAATCAACAGTTTTAGTTGAGAGACCATTAAGTATGGCAACGCAAATAGTTCACATTAAAATGAAACTAAAAGCAAAATTAAATAAAGTAAAATAAAAAAATCAAGGGCCATTAAGCATGAAAAATACTAATCCAATTTAAGCCCGGACAAATGCCCAGCGCAGTAATAAAGCGATTGAGACATTGAGATGTATGCTGTTTTTTAAAAAGATGCTTTCCGGCGACTAGAACAATTACCACTATATACCACTGTTCTTTTATCGAATTTCCCGAAACTTTTTTAACCTTTCTTTGAGATGCGAAGCAATTAAAAACTCTGTCAACCGTGATTAATAAGTAACATGCCACGTATTTTCATTTGCGCGAGCTATTGTTTACCTTCAGGGTATCATAATTTACATGTATAACAGGGAGCTGGCTGAAGATTTTAGATATTTTATCATTTTAACATCAACTATGACATCTTAAGTTGAAGAATCTCGCGACGTTTTAGACTTCTACAAGAAACAAGAAGAAACGAAACGCTGATTTTTGTACTGTCGAACTCATTGGTGTAGTTTGAATCCAAGGAGCCGAGTGTCGATATTTGGTAGAATACCTTCCAAAAACTGAGCATTAAAAACAAAACAGTTCTGTAAGCTGTTATTTCCTCCTGCCTTTTGCTGTAAACATGAAAAATATTAAAACGGGGGAGTCTACAACACATGCAAAGTAAATACGAGATGAGCCCGACTGTCTGAGAAGCCTTTCAAGTGATTCCCGGGGGTCGATTTCGCTTGCTCTGATTGGTTGTAATTATGGCGGGTAATTTGTTCAAATATGACACGTGCAAAATGTGCAGCTAAATATTCGCGCAAAATCTATTCATTCATTGCGGTAAAAGACCTGAACCCGCGAAGGTCTCGCTACGTAGTCAAAGCTTTCTTCGGTTTCACTCGTAAAGAAGGTTTATTAGAGGCCTAAGCTGCATTGTCAGTCCACTTTTCATCAAATTAGTAAATGGCAATTGGAAGGTAAGGGTAGAAACTAAATGATTGTTTATTTTGCGAGTGCAAACTCAATGCAAACGATCTGTAAACTTTGCTCTTTGCCATTCGATATGGATCGATTTTGATCGAGATCCTTCGCTTCCATGTTGGCTTATTAATCTGTTTCTACTTTGTTCTAAAATACGGAAGAACCACTTATTTCATTTATGAATAACTGCGGCAAAACTTACGATAGTCGCTTTGTTGTTTGTAGTGACTGTGCGGCAAAAGACCTTCGGCATTTCAGCTTGGAAGCGTTGGCCGTCGACGAATCGACCACGAGAAAGAGAAAGGCAAGTATAGAATTATCACCTTCATACTTTTCTTGCAAGGCAAGATTAAACGTATTTTATCAACTTATAGAAAGATTCGACTTCAAGAGGAGCCGTGAGCAAGCGAAGCAGAGCGGGGCAACAAGAAAAGGTAATACAATCGACCCCATTTCCCGCCATGTCCTAAACACTCCCGCCATTTTGGAATGGGCACATTGTTTGTTGTGATTGCTTGATTCACAAAGAAAATCAAATTCTTCCAACATGCATCGTCTCCTTTATTTAATAACAAGCCCTCTTCTTCCTCATCTGTTGTGGTGACATCGAAATTCGAAGGTTTGACGAGAGTTTTCGACGTTCACATTCCCTCGATTGTTATATAAACACTCGTTCCTATTTCAGCAGCTTCAAAGCGAATGCAGCTGATATAATTGATTCTTCAAAGGGACCTTTGTGATTTCTTTAGAAGTATGACATAATATTTCATTTAAAGTTATTTCGAGAATTTTAAAATGTATTTTACGTTCATTTGATTGCTTAAACTTTGGCGTGGCTCGGATTTGATTAGCGCCCCTGATCATCATCACTGAACGGGTGGCTTCTTTGTTTGACTTCCCCAAGCAACAAGTGCCATGAATTTGATGACTGTTTTGAGCTATTCTTCCATTTCGTTATCTCAGATGAGTAGTATCGAGTGAAACAAACTCTTTAATGCTCAATCGCCTTGCATGTAGAAAGTAAGTTGTATTGAAGCAACGTGACAGTAATTTTAATACAAAAAATACAATTTAATTAATCTCTCAAGGAGCTTTCAACAGGTTTCTTATTATACCAGAGATTTTATCCTATATATTTAGATATTTGGTTAAATATGAAAAAATGCTTCAGTCTCTCTTCCCTTAAAGGACCTGTTAAAATTTAATACAGAAAACAAATAAACTATGACTGGAATATATATGAAATATAAATTTCTTCAAAATAATCCATTTCACGTTAGGCCTTAATAAAGATATTTTCGGTTAGATTGCCAGTTTTCTGTTTTTTTTTTTTCACTTCTTGTGGTGGGACAAAATATTGATCAACCATAAACATATTTTTTTCTCGAGTTTTAAAACTATTTTTTTATTAAACATGCCAATCTTTAATTAGTCAATGAACACTGTTAAAATTGAAAATTGAGAATTGGCGAGATAAACAAGCCTTTTTACAGTGTATGTGCTGTGTGGTCCTACAAATCTTGAAATGCCTCAAAAATTATTTTTATTTCTTAAAGTAGAAGTGATACAATTTTGCCAACCAAGCAATGCGAAGAATGTTCACAAATCAGGAATCAACTTTGGTACATCAATATTGAAAGATTTTTTATTCATAGCATGGCTTAGACAGTTTCGTTTTTCTTTTCTTAGTGTACTATAATGTGTTATTACTTCAGTAATAGATTTGTAATTTGCTTCCCCTGAATAACATACTGTCTTGGAATATAAACTGTTTTAAAAAGCTAGCTTAAGTTCTTTTCATCAGTGGAACTTCTTTGAAGCCCTGGGGACAAAGAATAAATTATATTGCCCCGGATGAATAATAATAATAATATTAACAGTCAAACGTCTAAAGGATGTTCCATGGTACAGACACATTTTATATTAGGGACAATAGACCTTATTCAAGATACCCACCATCTTTGTATGCACTGAATTTTATGATTGATGGAATAAAAGTAATATCACATGGTTTCTCAGGGGGTAAACAGATGATAATATTTGCCAATACGAGTAATCACCGTCAAGTTTATTTGTTTATTGGCTCAAAGTGAGACAGCAATTTAAATCATGCAAAATGTACAGTTTGAGTTTCGAAAAGTTAATTGCTTGCTGTAAGGACATCTATGGTCGTAGCTGCATCCCAAAAAGTAACATTGATCAGTTCTACCCACAATTTGCCATTATCATCTTTAATGGTAAAAGTTCTTAATGAATTATTTTCTGTTGTTTAGAATAAGTAAACTTAACTGTGCTTTCTTGAATTAGCAGAGTTTATCAGTTTGTTTGCTCCCTGAGAAACAATGGTATCATGAATAAGGTCTATTCTCATTGTCCAAAAGACATCAAGGGTGGTTTGCATCATCCAGGACATTGACAAGCATCACTATGACCATGGTTACATGGAACATTGTTTCACGAATAGGAATGATGTCACTGCTATACATGTAGATATAATCCATTCTTAGGTTAAACCAGTTTTAGAGTGAAGATAATTTCAGAGTCCTCATTAAAAGCTGGCAACTAGCTAAAAAACCGGCTCCTCTGAGGTCTGAGCCATCTACTTTACGGGGTAAAGTGATGAAGTGAAAGCCTCATATTGCCTACAGCACTTGATTACCAAGCCGCCTCCTTTTATATCCTATCTGTTTACTTTAAACCTTAATGAAAACCCAGGTTAGAACCCCAGCAAAAGCTAACCTGAAAAGGTTAAACACCGGATTAACCTGAGAACAGATTTTAACTGTAACATGACTTCTTTTTAACAATTTTCTTCTGACACCAAAGTGTGTATTGTTGTTTTTACTTGAGTTTTTGAAGATTTTGGGAAAATGGAAAGTATGCCAACTACACACATTTGAAAGAGTGAAACTGAAGTGTCTTGTCTGTATAAGTTTTCTGATTGCAATAAATTATATCAACTTTCTGGTTATTTCTTGTGAAGTAAAGTTCACAAATACACCTGTATGTTTCATTTTCTACCCAAATTTGTTTGTTAATCAAATAAAAGAAAATAAACATTATACGCTTACATATATGTAGCTCTGAAAACCTTTTGTGTGCTCTACACTTATCTGTTATTTTAGAAAGCACTTTACAAATGAAGACAAATAAACAATTAAAATATCAAATAATAATTAAATGCTTTTAACAGTAATTCATTTCTTAATTGTTGTCAAGAAGTTTTCCTGGAGATACAGGCTGTAGTCATGTTCAAAATGAATGTATGACAAGTTGATATCCTTGTACTGCATGTACGTGATACTTAAACACCTCTGGGTCACTTATTCCAAAAAACGATACATATGAATATTTGCATTGGCCAGGCATCAATCTCTATAAACCAATTAATGGTAACATGTAATATGTTATTATAAAGGTAGTGTTTTATTCTCTAACAAGACGTATGTGTTGTTGTCTACAGATAATAATAATCAGCTTTTTTCTTCCCTTTGGTCGAACTTTAACACTTTATTGACATTGAAGTAATCCTTGTGCATTTTTTGGATCATGTAATTCTTTGTTGGCACAGTGACAATGTTTAAATTATCTTTTTTGGTAAAACCTGTAGCAGCAGTGAAACAGGTAGTAGGTCATGGAATCCTAAGTAAATGTGCATCCAAGTGAATTCAGGTCAAAATATGGGTTGCACAACATTTAAAGAGAGAGATGATGCGCTGTAAAAATGTTATTAAATTTTTTTTGAAATAGATAGTGATGAAGAGAAATAGATTTCTAGGCAAACTAAACCCTCACAGCTTGCAGGAAAAGGGAAATTTAACATTGTATAATGACTGAATTTTTTTGGTAGATTAGAGTAAAGTGGGTGGGAAAACTCCAGCTAAATAAACTAGATTCTTTTGTCTCAGGAACAATGAGATATGTAGTTACGGTCTAGGTAGCTTTTAAAGATTTGCATTAAATTGCCAACTGTAGCTCTTTTCTGCAAACAGAAACTATACTTGGTTATGTTTTTTAAGTCTGCATGCTGTGTTCATTGTTGATTGCAACATTATTTTGTATATAAGCCACACTGCAGTACATTCACACTTGTAAACTTATTGGCCTGCTTGTGTGTGATGTAAATTTGCAGTGTACAAGACAAAAGCCATTATAATTATGTTGAGATAAAATAAGGTTATGAAATGAAAACATTCTATTATAAAGTTATTGTTTATTTTTTATAGAGAACTCACATGTCAATGCAAGCTCCTTGTAGTGCAGAGGGAAGTATTGGAGGCCTTTCGAGGGTAGAAACAAGGAGTCAGCGACAGTTAAAGGCTTTAAAAGAGCACACTGCAAGCAACGAGATACCAGAGAGAACAAAATCTGCTAATTTTACATTCACCAATTTTTTTCTTCCCGTTGTTAAAAATGTTATTCCTCTCCCTGAACTTGACTGGGCTGATCCAAAAGAGGTGTGGTCAATAATGTTACACAAGGATCGCAAATACTGCCGTGATCCATTGTATTTTAGAAGACATTCATTTCTCCAGCCAAGAATGCGGGCAATTCTACTGGACTGGCTAACAGAGGTGAGTTTGATTCTTGGAATCATGCATCTTTAAGTTACATGAACCATGGTTGGTCACCTCAATTCATAAAACTGTATGTTCATTACACTGTTTTGCGAAAGTCCAAGTAATAACACTACATTTTCTGTTTTCAATTTCATTCCTGCATTGTACATGTTTGTACAAAACATTTACACTGTAAGGCTGTTCTCACACTATGCAGGATAGCTTTTGCGTGGGCATGAAAACCATACCTTATACATGTAGGACTTCTTTTCTCACATAAGAATGTTGATTTTAGCATGATTTCTGTAGCAAAGCAAAGCTGCCCTGCTCTGATCTCTTCAGTGGAGAGTCTTATATCGGATAGGTGTTCATATAATTATGTACTACATTTGTATAGCTTCTCGTGTGGGCATGCAAAGTTATCCAGTTTAGTTTGAACATAGCTTCAAATACCCAGCCACTTTTACTGTGATAATTGCAGCTTTTTTGTAAATAATAACTTTCAGTGCCTTTTGTGATATAACCTGGGTATTCTGTTGTTGCTGTAGCCCCCACCCTCAATTCCACCCTTTCTGTCTTGCTTCCAAGAAGTGAGCGCATACTTATCAACTGTATGTTCCTGTCATTAAAATTGACAACTCCTGTGTACAAAAGAGGCCATATTGCTGACATTGTCTTACTGACAACTTTCATGTGTCAATTTTCTAGGTGTGTGAAGTCTACAAGCTTCATAGGGAGACGTATTATTTAGCACTGGATTTTATTGATAGATATCTGTCTATTAAGCATGATATTGCAAAACAAAGATTGCAGCTTGTAGGAACAACAGCATTGTTTATTGCAGCTAAAATTGAGGTAAGACTCGATGCTTGTTTGAAGTGCTCCTCTCGCCCTCACTCAGACATGATTACCCAAGAAAAAGATCTCTGAAGAAATTATCTGCTTGTGTTACTGAGTTAATAACGGCCTGTTCCAAATGTTTTTGTTGTGCGAAATTTAATGCTAATGAGGAAAATCTTAGTATTGCTCTTTCTTGCATTAGATTTGGTGCATACGTAGTCCGACATTTGAAGTGGGTCTAAGTGAATCCGCCCTGGTAAAGATAGTGCTAGTTTGATTGTCTAAATACATGTAGCACAATAATCAAACCTCTCAGGTACATCAGCCATTCCATCTAGGTTCACAAGGCCAGTCTGAGCTTACCCCATTTCCAGGATGGTATGCAGTCTTATGTCAAGGTTACCGCACCCATCATTATGTCTCCAGTGCCCATTTACACAGGGTGGAGCTATCTGATTTTCCTGACAAATGGCTCTGTCCCTTTAGTGTTGTTTTAATTACATGTACAGTGATTCTAACACCACATTAATTTTGGAAACACCATACCTGTACCGACCTATTGTGAGATATGCTAGGATTTGCACCCCCCAAATTTAAATTCAATTTAATGGAGCAGATGCCAATAATAATTATTAATGGTTTCAGCTCCTGTAAATCTGATTACACACATTCTAGGCATTCTATAGATATTTCAAGCAACAACAATTTGTTGTCATGTCCTCTTTGAATTTAGGTCCCTAAAGTCTTGATCATGATATTGAAAAATTACCAGTACAATTGAAGGCTGAATCTGTGAATGTTATGGGTTCCAATGTTTGTACTATTTTTTTCTTTCAGGAAATTTACCCTCCAAAACTAAGTGAATTTGCATATGTGACAGATGGCGCTTGTACAGAAAATGAAATCTTAGATGAAGAACTTCTTATGTTAAAGGTGAGCCATCAATCTTTGTGTTTGTGATTACACGTACTTTTTGATCTATGAATTGACTGTGTTCTCTTTTCCTTTTTCTCTCACAGGCTTTAAATTGGAATCTATCACCTATAACAATCAACTCTTGGTTAAATATTTATTTACAGCTCTCTTGCTTAGCAAGTAAAAATGGCAAAACACCTAACTTTCACTTGCCCAAATATCCACAGCAACAATTTATCCAAGTTACACAGGTATGTAATGTGATTTTTTACGAGATGTTCAAAGCATGTCTTATTTACTAGTACCAAGTGTAAGGTCAAGATGGCTGGATATCGAGACCAATGTCCAGCAATCTTGACCAAACAATCTTGCCCAGTAAAGGATTTTTGTATGTGGCCACTTTGTCTTGGCCACGTGCATATCTAATCATCAAAATAAGCATATATTAGATAACAACTCCAAGTCAAGTGTAGTAGCAGACTGGCAAATATTGAAAAGAAAATGAGGGCAAGACGTTGTTGGAAGAAGAGAGCAAAATTGTATAGATGGTTTTCACAGTGATATCATCAAATTGTAAAGCGGTCAAAATAGCAAGGTTTTATGAATTCTTATTTACACTAGGTTGAAGATAAACAAAAAGTAAGTCTTTGTACAAGTTTCCATTCCGGTAACATGTTTCATTTTGAAAATACAGCAATTTGAACTTCCCAGTTTTCACAGTGTGTAGGAATGCTGTCTTGTTGAAAAAAAGTCTCTCCTCTTGATTTTCAGCAATATAACCATTTCAGGTATTAGAAGATATGTTTTTGTGCATGTATGCTAGTTCTTGAGTGAAAAGAGGGAGCTTTTAAAGAAAAAGTGAACTCCAGATGTTTTTGTTGATTTCCGGCAGCCATATTGGTGCACCAAAATGGCACACCAATATGGCATCTCCATACAAAGCTCTACAAAGGTGCATAAAATGTTTCAGCTAATAACTGAGAAAATGTTGGCCACAAAGACCTAAGACTTGGACAAATTGTTTATATATTAGTCTTTTATAACATTTCATTTTCTTGGCTTCCTCCACTGGACAGTGAAAATGATCTACATCAGTCATGTATACACTAGTCAACAAGCTTTTAGCCAGGAATTGCTAAGTGGCTGTACCACCTTACATCATCTACCTGGTTTAAAAATACCTTGCTCTAAAATATTTGATTAACTGTTAGCGCACTTCTGTTTTCCACAGCTTTTAGATTTGTGTGTACTGGACACAGGTTCTCTTCAGTTCTCATATAGCATTCTAGCAGCATCTGCTCTGTACCACATGCTTCCTGTTAATATTGAACAGGTCACAGGTAAGAAATCTGAATAACTAATGAAATAATATTTATTTTTTTTAATAACTAAATAGTTGTGTGAAGAACATTTGCCTTTGTGCCCATCATTGTCATAAGAAAAAAGACATTTCATTGACATAATAGATATTTGATTTTTGATTAAAATTTTGTAATATTATGCAGATTTGTTCCTAATGCAATTCAGGTGTATCACATGGTTACAAAAGGCTCTGAGGTGGTTACCTAAGCATTTGATGACCTTTAGTTACCCCTGTGAACATTAGAACTGTATGTGTTGTGCAAGAAACAATCGTCCATTATACCTAGTTGCATAATGCATACCAGCAACTTTGAGACAGTACTCCATTGTATTAGCATAGATCACAGAAAAGTTTTTTTCCACCTAAGTGATATGGACATTTCACCTTATGGTCATTTTTTTCCTTTCTGTTATTATGTTGAAGACGAGTTTCATAAATCTTTTCCACAGGTCATAGCTGGGAAGAGCTATACCCATGTATACAGTGGATGAAATCTTTTGCGGATGTCACCATTGAGAAAGGAACACTTACACTAAAAGCTTTTGAACATGTTTCACGTGAAGATGCTCACAATGTCCAAACTCATGCTGTTGATTTAGCTTTACTGGTCAGTAAATTAGTAGTGTAATGCTTTTCTTCTTGCTATCTCTGCTCCTGATCATTGCATGTCCCTAAGATTTTGGATTCTATAAGCAGTGTCACAAATTTGGAAAAAATGAAAGAAGAAAAATAACCTTGTATGGTGTATTACACACCTGTTGTACACATGCACCATAAAATAATGTACATACAGCCATGTTTACATGTTTCCAATGTCACTCTGGTGTGCAAACCATTTAAAGCAATTTCCACTTTATTGCTTCATGCTTATTGTATTGATATTCTTGCCAGAACTAGATTCAAAACCAGTTTTATTGTGTCTTGTTTGTGTTGATTTTCTCCCACCTTTTCTCAAGTGAAATGTATTTACTTCGAAACCTAATAATTTAATTTGAATTTCTGCACATAATAAAATTATTGTAGTTATAAGAGTAATAACTTGTCTAAGATCATGTTTACACTATACCAGATAGTATGAACACCTATCCGATATCTGAATCTCCACTTCACAGATGAGGGGCAGGACAGAGAAACTGCTCCAAAATCACTATTAATATGTGTGAACAGTAGCCCTATCCACTATGATTATTTTGCATGCTGGCACAAAAGCTATCCAAGTTTGAACATGGCCCTTAGTTAGATTCACAAGATTTGTCTGTGTTAACTGTACAATTTTTCGTGTTTTCAGGATAAAGCTCAAGAACTTCAAAACAGCAGATGTTCATTTTCATCAGAAAATAGATCAGTGTCACCCATTGTGCAATCTTTCAACCCACCAACTCCGCCGAGCAGTGCAAAAAAACCAGCAGCAAATACTGTGATAGTCATAGATTGAAAACGGTTTAGTGAAAGAAATTACAGTCTTAATCTTAGCTTGGGGTACAAGTGTATACACAAAATTTTCTGACATCCTGATTCTTTCACTTGTCCTACACATGTCATAAATACAGAATGTTTTCTAAGAAAGCTTGTTTTCCTACAACTTATGAGCTTGTTACAAGTAGTAAAGTGGATGTCAATTCCCCACTTAAGACTCCTGGGATTATTACTGCAGATGTGCGACTCAGCTGTTGGCTTTCCCGCTCTGTCCCCAGTAACAGCTTCAAAAAAGGGGCAAATCAACAGAGAATCCATCTTTTGTTGTACCACCAAATATAGAGATTTCATATAGCAATTTTTGATTAGGAACATCTTTGAGTGGAGTTCAGCAAGACAAGTTATTTCTAAATTAACTTTTTTGTTAGGTTAATTTTACTTGAACCATGAAACAGATGCTAACAAATAATGCAAAAAAGCAAGAGGTAAACAAAAGAATACAAAAGAATTAGTGCGTAGTATTGTACTACCTATTTCACGGTTCAAGTAAAATCACTAAAGAAGCTAACTGCTTAAAATGGGTCTACAATTAGATATAGAAACCTGGTGCAGCAAAACAAGATACATTATTTCCAATGGGATGACGTGTTTAATGGTTACTTGTGACAATGCACAGTATGGTCTTCAAAGAAAAAAAAGAGGAAAATAAATGGGAAATTTGGCATTTTCACTTTTCATCCTAAACTGAGAGGCGCTAAATTATAACATTTTGTGGACAATATTGGTCAACTTGAAACTGCAAGTAAAACAGTTTGTTCAAGAAATGACTGATCAGAGTGTTTTTGATAAACCTTTTTGGCATTTTTGGAAATTTTAATGAACGTGCTGGACACAACTCTGACTTCCAGAAATGAGAAGGTAATTATGCTTTTCATTTTTTAAATAATTATCTATTTGTAGTATTTTAATTCACGTGTTATAGATACGCATACATATTAAACGATTTGTGCAAGAATTTATTGTATAAGAAGTAAATTGTTTGGTATTAAACTTCTGAAAACTTTGCATTTCCTTTGTCAAGAGGCTTAAAGTAGGGTAAAGATTACCTCAACAACATTGCAATATTATTATTCATAGTCATTTTGTATCAAGTCATCATGGTCTGTACATAGCCTGCTAAGAGCAAGGAGTGTAAAGGCTTACAACTTGTAATTATGTAGTTTAGGCTACTGAATTTTTTTAAAGAGAATTATTTCTTGTAAAGTATTTTAAGGAAAAACATGAAAATTTGTACATTTTCTACACATACATGTTAGATTCCAGTTTGTATGAAGATACTCAATAAAGTTTGATATAAGGTACTTTGTACAATTTGGAATTGTAAGTTTATTTCTTTTAGGTGGATTTCGCTTTCTCTTCTTCCTGCCTTTTTTTTGGAGGGGGGGGAAGGATTTTTTGGCGAGATCAGTCGTAACTTAGAATCCAAAAGGGGGACCACTGAAGACTTTGGAAGGATTCAGAGGGAGGACCACTCAAATTTGCTTGGATAATGAAGACATGGGGGGGTCGCGAAAGTCATCAAATGTTATTAGGGGGGATCACTTCAAAGGGGATTGGCTAAATTTCACCTTGTTTAGCCTCAAATTCTCCTCTCCTCCCCCCCCCCCTCCCCTCCACGCGAGAAATAATGATGATAAATAATGATAAATACTAGGCTTGATTTCGGTGGGAGTACGATCGTGAAATTATTTGAAAGAAAGTACTAGTGAGTAGTGGAACAAGACTTAAATTGGAATTTTCTGTTCAACTTAAGATGGTTTTTGTCCGGGGGGGAATTCCATATAAAAGAAACGGGAATGTTCGTCGGAAAATTAAAATTAAACCCCTCAGGGAGACCGATGTGGGTGTGGTTTAAGCTTAAACTGACCCCTAGTATGGGCAGCCCTAAGCGATACCTGAGTGATTTTCCGTCCCAAACACCCTAAGTGAGACCAAAACCAGCAATTTACACCCCTAAGCGAGACGACGAGCATCTCCGTCACTTCAAGTTTATATGGGAGTCCCCCCTGGGGGCTTTGTGCATCTGAATGAATCGTGTTCATTTGGGTGTGGTTAAAAAGATCTCTTCTCCCCGGTAGTGCAGCCAAAACTGGGGACGACACAAGCAGAGCAAGGGACATGGATAGGCCACACGGGTGATTATTAATAGGCAGATCAGGTGTGAATGGGTTTAAGATGAATTTTTCTGACCTTGAATTGACTCGGTCAGCAAAAATGGAGGAACGAAACGATGGAGAGTGATGAGGATTTTCTACCTTATTTAGCAGACGTTCATACAAAGAACAAAACTGCGCTAGAATTAATAATTTAACGTCAGTAAGGCCGCTGGGGAAACACCTACCTATGGGTAAATTCATATGGCAAAATCTTGCTTGTGCTACATCTTTAAAGTGCTTATATCTAGTTTTTTTTAGAGGCGATTTAGATAAAATTTTACAGAGACATTGTTAAAGGATGGAAGTTTAAGAGGGTTGCTTTTTATTTGGTAGAGCGCGCTTTACAGCGACACTTTAAGCCACTGTTGAACCAAATTGGGAAATCGTGATGTACATCGCTGTTCATATTCCTTGAAAAAATTCAAGAAATATAAAAGTCCGTTATTCTGTAATCGTTATTTCGGGTTACAGATTAAGACTGCTAGATTGATTTCCTTCAGCAATTTGGTTAGTTGGGTTGCCATATCCTCCACCACCAGGAGTCTGGACTCTAAGCCGATCCTGCAAGGAAATGAATCCAGAATTCTTTTAAGATCAGAATCACTGATACAAGTTGACCTCTCGCAAGCAAAAAGAGAGGAAATGTCGAGCCTAAAGAAGAGTCAAAGAAGAATGTAAATGACGCAAGAAATAATATTGATTTAGTTAAGCCTAAATTGGGTTTTTCCGTTAAATAACAACCACTTCCTTGAGACATCAATCGATTGAACAGGGATTTAGATCTGAAGTACTCCAGGAGCCTGTCTTCCATTACAAAGTCGAACTCGCGATTCGATGAAAATTATCAATTGGTCAGCAGATACATTAAAACGTACATGACCTCGACGAACCTAACTGAGCACAAGTAATACGGGCCAGCGGATACCTCATTTAGACAGCTGTCACTTGGAAGATTGATATGGATGGCGTATGCAAATTTTTGAAAGAAAGTCGGCATACTCGAAAATTGAGATCGTGCGGAAGTACAGTTACAAGTTAACCAAATTTTTTCGCCTGGAGTTTGTTCGCATGGCTTTAAAGAGGATTTACGGTAATTAAGTGATTTTATTGATGAGATAAAGTAAATCGTCTACATGTATGTCACTTAAATAGCTTCCCCTGCATTTCCTCATGGTACTTAAAGCCATGACGTGTTTGACTGTAATGCACCCCTTCGGACAGGGATTCACGCAGATGTTACTTCCTTACGGGCACATTCTCAACCCGAGAGCTCTTCTGCGCATGTTACGGGCAATAAGGTATGAAAGTATCCCCCCGCAACCCCCCCACTAAAAGCTCAGCGGGTTGCTATAAATTTAACATAAGAGGAAAGAGGCTGGGGATGAATTTGCGGGGACATAAGTGACACGTGACCCACAACTGGTCTAACCTTATTTAGTATCCTCAAAGGTTTTACTTTACTTTTAAAACAACATTACCCCTGCATTCACTGTGACGGTTGACTTGGATCCAAGGTTAATAACACGCCCAGTATTGTCTATTAGAAGGTTAACACCAACGGATCCCGGGTTGCCTCCTGCAAATTTCGTAAGAAGGAAATTGTTATTTGAAACTACTCAATTACCAATCCTTTCTAAGATTGATTTGCGTTGTTAGTGGAAATGTGTCTGTGAAAAGTAGTGGATGATATACTGATGGTAGACGGAGAATTCAGTGACAAGTGAAAAATCTGCTTTGCTACGACCAACATCTTTATAAATGCAGCTTTGCTGGAACTGTAAAGAAATAGGAAGTTTCAGGAGATAACTGCTGATAGACTTCCGATCAAACTTATCTAGTCCCTAGGCTTCATCATTGCGCGCAGCCGATGGGTCACGTGGTTCGTCTCGGATACGTCAGTGAAATGCAGTGACCGAGAAGTAAAGCCGGGGAATTCAGCCTCTGTCAGATATGCAACGTAGTTGAAACATTAGGGAGCAAGGGCCTTCAGTGCGGGAAGTTACGAGTTCGGTTCCCTGGTGAGACTTACCTTGTACTCCATAAGGTCTAAAAGCTGATCGCCTCTCTGTTAAAACTGACAAAACCTGGGTTTTTCTAAAAACCAACTCCCGAATCACCCCATCACCTCCCCTGTGAAAACCATCACCTCCAGTGCCGGGATTAAGGTGGAAACGAAGAAGGATGACTGGATACCTGAGGGAAAAAGGGAAATATCAGATAACTTGCTTGAAAATTTCTGACAGTTACACTAGTGAAACATCATTTACAGAGCTTATTTTTTTGAATAAAAGGGACTAGATTTTCAAAGTTCCACTTATTCCCAAGAATTTTCCAGAAGAAGGCTCGAAAAAAGTAGTATTTACATCCCAATAAGAATTTCCGGAATTTCTTGGTAAATCGAAAGCGCTCACAGACAAGTTTTAACATAACTACTCATTCACCTTCTTTCTAGAATCTCGGGATCTGTTATTCTTGTATTTGTCATGTGACTATGAACACCACTCCGACCTTCCCATGTTGGACCCTGAAAAAGCAATAAAGAAGCGACGAATTAACTCCATTAAAGTGCTAATTGAATTTACATCAACATTCCATGAAGTCTTATTGAATCTGGAAATTCGCGTGCGGATGTGCGGCCTGCACTTGAAGGGCTAACCATATTTCAGTTTAAAATATGTCTGAAAGAATGAAAGAATGAATGAATGAATGAATGACAAGGTACAACACTCGCGACTTACTGCTCCGGCGCCTCCAGCAACTGTTTCATAATAACCACAGCCTTCATCTCCGAAAGTTGTGTTATTCATACAGCCCTATAAAAACAATTAACAACGATTGGAGGAAGCTAAGTATTCGCCCTCCCCGACAGGAATATTTCCTCTCATTCCCCAAGAAAGCCGACTTCAATACTTGTTTCATTTTCGTTCGAAATATTTCCACATTCTTTGCATTTTTTACGCATTAACCGTAGAAGACTACGGATATTTTTGCAACCAGATGTGTCTTTATTTTTTCACGAATCGGCCTTTCGTCCCACGAATCCGCTCACCGGAACCGTAACATTTTAAAACCGACCTCCAGATTGGTTTAAGAGCCTGTCCACTCGAATCCCTGGGAAAAATATACATACATGCGGACAAACATTTTCGTCCGACTTTGTATTTCTCCCAGTGGGGGAGTACTCCTGGGAATTCTTGGTGGGGGTGTGCCGTCCGGTTCTCCAAATCCTGACCCTATTTCAGACCAAAAAATGTCATTTTCCACTCCCGTTTTCAGACCAGATCTCTAAAATCTATACCCATTTTCAGACCTGGGTTTTGGGTAGAAATTATGTCATCATTACTTAGATTTGAACGTAAACAAAAACATTTCGAATTCGCATACCGTAAAATTATTAATATAAGCCCCTCCATGTATAAGCCCCTCAAACCTGTAACGCAATGAACGCTCCGTTAAATCGCCCCTCCAAATATAAACCCCCCGGGGGCTTGTACTTGGAAAATTGCCCTCAAATATAAAGAAAAACAACGCAAAAACGGTATTTCTATTTCTTTCTTATTCATTTGGAATTGAAACGATAAACACGTTCATACGCTCCTTTAGTTCCCTCGAAAACCATACCCGATTCCAGACCAACATGGGCAAAGTGTATACCTGTTTTTAGACTGAGAAGTCCCACAAACCACACCCTTTGGGGCGGCACATAACTATATGGCTTATATAAGGGAGTAACCCCCCCGGGGGGTATTTGTCCTACACAACATGAGGTGGCTAAACGATCAAACATGAGTGAGTGAGTGAAAATTTTATTCACCAACGGTAGTTTTATCAAATAACTGTACAATAAGGTATCTTTTCTTCCGCCGCACACTACTTATATGCAATGTTGAGAGGCGTTGAACGGTAAAACATGCTCTTCAAACATAGTCTGCTATACAGCCGTTCTTAGTGTCGTCACGTAACGCTCCTGTGCTCCGTGATGACACTGAAAACCGCTGTACTGTGTAGCAGACTACTTCAAACACGATCTTGGAGGAAAATGTTTGATCGTTCAGGCGGGGCTTTACACAAAACTACAAAATTGCTCATGCAACATTAGTGAACATACATAATGAAATGGTGTGAAAGTTTGATCAATCCAGCGTAAGTTCTAATTTGGGATAGTGTTACATGAAGTACCTGAGAAGCAGCGCAGACTCCAAAAGCCTTAAGAACAACATCCACAATCCTTTGCGTGGTTAGTACGCTTCCCCCAACGACTGCAGCTGTTGGTGATGGATCCAGGAGGCTGCCAGAGGGGATTTGAACTGTAACCGGCACCATACAACCCTGTAGTAGTTATCATTTAAAAAACAACACTTCATTATTAATAATGATAAAATTCTTCTGTACACCTACGGGAATCAACACTAAATGGAAATGAGGACATGATCATTGTAGTTATTATAGCAATTTAGGCAATAGACCATTTTACAGTTGTGGATGGAAGCGAGGCTGAGGGTGACCTTGTTTTGATACAAACCTTCTTGCTTTATTATGTAAGTTATACAAGTTATTCTTCTGCTAACTAGTATTTTTCAAGAACAATTTCCATAACAAAGCAAAGAAGGTTTGTATCAAAACAAGGTCACCCTTAGCCTCGCTTCCATCCATAACTGTAAAATGGCCTACTGCAAAACAACCCGATAAAAAACTTCGAGGCTTCAACGGGATTGGAACGCATGGCCTCTAAGTTAAGGCTGCAGTACTCTACCAGCTGAGCTATGAACAGCCATACCATTGGGAGCAGACCAATTGATTGAGTTCATCTTAACACGTGAAAGGAAAGAAACATTGAATAAAGGTAGTGTGAACTGAGGAAAATACAAAATTTATCTTATATCTTCTTTTAAATTTGTATTTCTGACGTTCACATCATCTTCATTCTATGAAATGAACACCGTTAAACATATGGTTAGTGATAAAATTGAATTCAAGATAAAATTACGAAACTCCCTTATTAAGAAGGAAGCAATAAGGATTTTACAATTATTTTCAATCTCTATTAGCGCACTTTCATCTACTAAAAATCATAGCTATTCCAACAGTCCAACGACTTTCTTGAGGCATTAGAAATTTGGAATTCTTAATATATTACAGGTGCAATTTTTTAACATTTTAAAAAAGTTTCATTTATAATATGTCACGATGTTATTGCTGTTTTAGGTCAATCCTGTGCTGAAGTTGTTTTAAATTTGTGTCTTTAACCATACACAAATTTCATAAACAAACAGATTTCACAAGGCTGCACTAACCATAATTACGGGCGACAAGACGAGCCCGCAATCCTAATCTAAAGGTTGTTATTACGCATGCGTCGCGTGTATGTTACCAGCATTCGTTTGGACTTCCATTAAGAATGAATGGAATGCACAGAAGGCAATTTGATCATGCGCGTCTCGACCTTCTACCCTTCGTAATCTGATCACGCGTGTTTTGACCATCTGAGACGTGAAACTTATGTAAAGCATAGCGATGGAGCAAAAGCGTTTGGACCTCTAATCGTTGTCGCCCGCACTCCCTAACCTTTGGTTATTACTTGTAATATTTTTGGTGAGTTTCGCGGGCATTGCATTAAAACGTGAAAAAGTTGGCCCTTCAGTAACAAAACTGGGCCATTATTTTTGAAATTCAGTAGACGCGAGAAAAGTTTTAGCTTTTCAAGATAGCAAATAGAGTGATTTAGTCCCTTTAAATGCAATCTGTACCTCATTGAGAGGAATATCATATTTAACCATACTCCGCAGACAGTAGATGAGAGCTGACAGAGCCACTGCACGAGGGGCGTTACAGTTGCCATAAGATTCATATCCGCTTCCTGTAAAATCAAATACTGCATTCCCCTGTAAACATAGAACAGGGTATATACATTATGACGGTACGGTACAGGCCGGTTACTTTCTTATGACACAGGAAGCCCATGAGGCTAGTGTTAATCTTCTTTTTCTTTAACAAAATGAAACATAACATTCTCGTCCCCAGAGCTGCGATCATTTTGCCCAGCGCCACGGATCAAGTTCTCCGGTTGGTTCCGAAACAGGAAGTCACTAATCGCGGATTTCCGGCTTTCTGCGCAGCCTCAGGAATTTGAAACAATATCCCTTACCAAAGGTTACAAAAATGGCACAGCTGCTTATCCACGAACGGGAAACCAAAACTCTCGATCTATGGCGCTGACTTTAAGCTTCGAAGCTCTTAGAATAAGAATGGTAACTTAATGGGTATTAATGGGGTTTTGCTACTCAACCCCGGTTCAATTAACATCAATCCAGCTTTGATTTTTTGGCCCAGTCTTTAGAAAATCTAAATTGCTGCGACAAACGTTCCCCGCGCATGTGTAAACGTTTAATCTGACCACAGCGGTTAAACAAGCCTAATCGTTTACACTGTAAAACATCGGAATATAAAACTTGATGTGTATGACGAATAAACAACTTTATTCTAAATTACCTTGTCTTCATCAATGGAGACTGTGAGATTGATTGGAGTACCATCATCCATGTGATCCAGCGCTTGTAAGACTGACCTTCCTGTTCGTTCCTATCCACAGTGATCACAAAATATTATTTAAGAAAAGTATTAATAAGCAATTTTCTACCCCACGTGTCAAATAAGTGACTTTCAAAATGTGTCATCAAAACAGATGAAATAAGAAGTAAATTACAATGTTTATTGAGGTACTTGACTTGCAACAAATGTTCTTTCCTTACATTAGGCTATGTTGACGTTGTACGGTATAGCTTTTGCACCGGCACTAAAACCATACCGGACAGGGCCTCTGTTCATAGATAAGAACGGTGATTCCGGTGCGGATTTTTGTAACGAAGCGAAGCTGCGCCGCGCATATCTTCAGTCACATATCGGATATGGTGTTCATACTATACTGAATAGCTTTTCGTGCTGGCACAAAAGGCGATCCAGTGTAGTGTGAACATACAGCCTTAGCCTGGTTAACTTACTTTGCGAAAATGCCTTAGTTTCATTTGGTCTGTATGTATATAAACTACTTGAAAGCAATAGAGATTGATTCATATTTTGTCTTCATTTGAGCTGAGTTACTCGAGTAAAAATCCAACAATTTTTGTAATGAACCTCTTTAACTTGTCACGTGACGTTCTCAAGGCAATTTGCCTTGAGAAAAAAAAAGCCACACCGATAGGGGCTGCTGCTGTTTAGACATGAGAACGGAGATTTATGTTCGTCACATGTCGGATAGGTTTCTGCTACTCTTCGTCGCAGTGCGAACTGGTGTTAGGACCGAAGCGGAAGTAAATGAGTAGGATTGAGGCCTGGAATCTACTGAGACGGATGTAAATATGCAGAATTTAGTGCACCAAAACCTTGCCCAGTCCCTAGGCCTCGTTATTCCGCGCGGCCAAAGTGTTTCGGGTCACGTGGTCCAAGCGAAAATGTTTCCCGCCCGTTCGCCCCGGATACGTCACCGTGGTGAATTGACCGAGAGGGCCTGGTAAAATGCCGTACAGGGACTAGACAACACCAAACCCTCTTGGCCAACCGCTGCCTTGCGATGAAGGACTTGTTCCAGTTCTGTGCCGTTACCAATCATACTGTACTCCATAGCTTTTCATGTCGGCAAGAAAGCTATCCAGTACCGTGTAGCCATAGCCTTAGTCTTTTTATGAATTATGCGAACATATGCACATGATCATAACCAAAATTGAAAGAAACAGTTCTCTAGAGTAATATCTTACAAAAAAAAAAACATACAAGCGTTGGAGGTCGGTTATAATCGTCCAGGTCCCACTTGTTCAAAAGGTAAATAGCGGTATTCACCGAATAAATCTCTATCCACTGGATAACGCAACTGGTTCCCCTAATACTTATCCACTAGATAGTGATTTATCCGGTGGATACCACTATCCAGCTTTTGAACAACTGGAGCCAGGTATTATGGCCAACGAACTCATAATAAGCAGATCACAACATCAATCTAATGAAATAGTATGCCACCGGATTATACCCCACACCTTGGTCTTGTGGGCAATCTCCGTCAACATTTCCCTCACTGCAACTTCTGCATTTTGCTGAACAAAAACAAGAAATACGAATATCAACTAAAGAACGCAAACTGATTTGACATTTGAAGTTTGTATTGGGAAAGTATAAGCCCTCACCTTACCATTCTAAATGTGGAGAGGTAAAGGGTGCGTGCGATTAACAATATTATTCCCTTATAATCTTACAGCAGGAGCCCATCCCCCGGAGGAAGCAACTCCCACACTTGGCCAATGTCATGGGGTTTTCAGGGACCGGATTATATTTGGATGCATTCTAGAGCACTTTTTCCCGCGAAAATGTAAGCTCCACTCCGTCCATGAGCGAATCGAAATATAAGATGAGCAAAAGAAAAAAAAAGGTCAAAAATGGCATTTTGAGGTCTGCAGGTTTTGGTGACCAGTTTGTGAGACTTAAGGGATATTTTAAATTCCCGCGAAAATTGTTCTAAAACTAAACTGAAGGGTGAAAACGCTGTAACATGAGTACATGGAAGTAGCTCGCTCCTAGTTCTGAGCTCCTGGTTACCGACATTCTAACACCAATAAAATCTTAGTCTAATGTCAGTGTCAGTAACCTCAAAATTGGTCTTCTAGCTAATTTTCTCCTGCTTTTTTCATCTCTGGTATTGTTGATTTATATCCCAAAATTTTTGGAAAATTAAGGTCAAGTAACTGCGAGCTGCAAAGGGCCTTGAAAGCATACCTGGATATATTTCATATATGCTTGAACAACAGGCAGGCTATATTCGTCAATTAAGGAGTTAATAAGGTGAATTCCCTGGAGGGTTAAAGGAACACACATGGTTATTGCAAGTTCAGCATGGACAATACTGGCAATTGGAAACTGGCTGGACCTTTTAAGAGCAATAAAAAAAAATAAGAATTCGATTGGTTTTACACATAGAATCAAATGCGCGCGTGGCTTTGGTTGCTTTAGCAAAGACACAACGCATTCCCAGTTGAAAAGTTATATTCCATGACGTGGAGTGAAGGAAGCTGCCGAATGGACATTCGAACGACATTTTTCCCATATTTAGGTTTTCTTTTTCGACAAAAAGATGTGTCCATGTTTTGAGTTTGGATCTTTGCAACTACTGGCTTATAAAACAAATCACATGCAAACACTTGAGGAAGTCATTTCAAATGTAAGCCGCTCTATCTAAAACATAGTTAATACGACCAGATGTTCACAATCATTACGTGATTGCATTAACAAAGTTGCACTTTTCTTTACTGCTCTTCTTGTAGTAGTATACTAGGGATGTTTGGAGCCCTGTTTGAGGTGGATTCTCCTCAGGGCGAGTAAGAATAAATTAACCCTTTACTTCTGAGGTCGATACCAGAGCTACATATACTGTAGTTTTGACATTTGAAACTGTGGATGAAATACTATTGGGTGACCTTTTAAATGAAACCTCCCGCGCAGTACCTTCAAATGGTCCTAACTGTTTTTCACTTTTATGTAAATGGATCGGAGAATTTGTACTTTTGGGAACAGTAGCTAAGATAGAAAGGAAATGTGTGACGTCATGTTACCATGGTAGCAAAATTTCTGGTTCTCAACCATCGTTCTTGACAGAGACGGCCATTTTCATTGTCGAACGATGGAAGAAAAGAATGGACTACCGTTTTCATCCTGAGCGCAATCAAGCACAGGAAAGTCATACACACCAACTGTTCGTTTTTTTTCAATGTCGCATTTGTAGGACCACGGTTTGTTGAGATCCAAAAATTGTGTTACCATGGTAACATGGCAACGTGACGTAAAGACTTCTCCTCTTTAATGATCGGGAAGTCAATGCCACTGAAGTGATAGCCTCTCTCGCCAAACCCTTCTCATTTTTGACAGACAATGAATCTTCTACCTTGTGATTAGCAGCGACTTGTGCTTTGAGATCTGAGATGTTATCCTGAATGTTGCGACTTCCACTACAACCAGGGTACTCAGCAGGTTTCAGAAGCTTTTCTTTAAGAGCTAACATATAAATGAAAAACAAAACTTCACGTATCTATAATCACAACGGAAGAAAATCCCTCAAAGGGTGGGGAAAAGTCAAAAGCTAATTATACAAGAACCCGTCGTGTAAAACATTATTTTTATGACTAAATATACCTTCTTCCTGAAAAATCCCACCATCTACAAGTTTAAAAGACATAAAGACAGCTCCCTCGTCGAAGATAGTATGAGAATTTGGTGGCATCGAGCCTGGAAAATAAAAAAGTCATCTAGCTTTCCACTCTCATCTCTTTCAAAATGGCAATATATTTGTTGCCAAATTCTTTCAGTTAATGTTGAATGATAGACTTCACAGTTTTTCAACTTTTGACTGGAAATAGTCTGCAAAAATCAGTGAACACTGCTGGAGAGAAAGCATTAACATTACTGAGTAAAAACTTGCCAAGATTAAGAGTGATGTGTTGAGAACTAACAAAGATATAGCTCGAGAAAGTTCAGAAACTTGCGATATTTTACAGACTTTTGTATGGTGAGGGTCAAGTTCGTGCTGCCCACCATACATACGTCAATCAAATTTCGCTTGCTTTGGACGTATCGCAGCTATTTAAAGAACCTCTTTCCACCAATGCCTGTCGATGGATATTCGCTTACTGGTCTTTATTGGAAAAAACCGTGAAAGGGTCTTTTACCAGGGGCTATTCCTCCAACATCAGCATGGTGTCCTCTACTTGCTACAAAAAAGACAGGTTTTGGTTGACCAGGATAGAAAACCTACAACAACAACAAAATATATTTTAAGATAAAGAAAACGTCAAACATTGCCACCCAGAAGGCTGAAAGGACTATGCTTAACAAAAATTCTGATGTAGTATGCAGCAAGTGGATATGTTGCCACCTAGGTATGTATGGGACGCTATTAAGCTATTAGCAGGGTCATTTTCCTAAAAGGTATAGTTCCTAACACCCACTTACAAGGGTAAATTATCCTCTTTTTAAAACCTTGGCGGGGACAAGGAAAAGGTGGGAAAAAGTACGTTGCAAAAGGAAACAACACAGGGCCGATGCGTATATTAGAAGCTCGCGTGGAGTGTTAGGGGTTGAGAGGCCAAGTATCTAGTCCAAGGGGACAAAACAGTGACAATACACAGTCGACTCCCGATAACTCGAACCTCCTGGGGAAATATAAAAAGTTCGATTTATCGGGAGTTCGAAGCAAATAACCGGGAATATCGAAATAAGCGAATGAATTGGGAGGGAATGCAACTATCATGCACACTTCACTTCAAGGGTAGCAAGAGATGTAGATTAATATCTTGAAAAAGGAATGAAGCAGCAAAGCTAGATTAATACACTGAGATGGACACTGAATTTGAACTGGAGTGACAAAAAAATTAAAGACAAAGAATTGACTCGAAGAATTCTTGTTTTGATTTTTTTTCTTGTTTCGTTTTTTCAATGTTCAGACTTCAGTACACTGTTTTTTTTTTTCGACTTGTCACACGCTTAAAACATGGTTCGAGTTATCGAGGGTTCGACTTACCGAGAGTAAAAGTATGGTAAATGTATGAAGGAAATCAAGGGGAAATCGACTTAGGTTCGAGTTAGCAAGGGTTCGAGTTATCGGAAGTCAACTGTACTAATTTACACCAAGTTGCAGATAAACAAGAAACATCCTAGAAATCGCAACTAATACATGTATGACCAATGTTCGGCAGCTGGCTCAAACATAAATCAAAAGGGATTTCGTAGATCATAATGCTGGCTTTCACGAAGAGGATTTATAAGTGTTTAATAACGAGTTGACCAGATAGATGGTTTCAATGTGCAACAACGACCTTACCGGGGTAATGACAGTAAGATCCGGCAAATGTGTTCCTCCAGCACTTGGGTGATTACTCAGTATTACATCACCTTCTTTCAATCCGTCGCCTAACTGCTCAATCTACAAAAGAATTTTCATGCGCACCATAAGAACCTTAACTCGGTCTGTATTAAAATGCATGATAAACTAAATTAAAGTAAATTTCAAATTCATAGCATGTGCAAAATACAAACTAATTCTTACTTTCAAACGAGGCCAGAAAGACTAACTGTCATACATATAATAGAATATATTAATAGGTCACCATTATGAAAGAGGTCTACACCACAAGACTCGACTATGAAATTGACCCGGCAGGCGACAAGCAATTCCATTATTTTGGCCAAAGCGTGATCTAGTCTAAGTACGAACCAAGTCATCTATCAAATTCACCATCACATTTACATCACTGAGCATATGCAACCTAAAGACATTGCAGTCCCAGCAGTGTGCAGTGTATTTGTCACATGAACCTCGTTTATTTAATGGCCTTAGTTCGCACGAGTCTCCTGTAGAACAATGGTAGAGCATCTAGACTGGTAACAGGGAAACTATTGGATCGATTTCTTCCGATTCGCCAAACCAATATCAATACAATTCAATACAATAACAACAACAACAACAACAACAACAACTACTATTATAAAACAACTATAAACGATTTAACTGCGACGTTCTGCCAACCCACAAATGCCACACTAATTTGGGTGGAAATGTCTGAGAAATATGGACGTCCGAACAGTTAGGCAGTTCAATATATTATAATTAGCTTTCACGATAAACTACGACGTTCATCTCTAAATTTAGAACTAACTTAGGAATCAATCCTACCCCCATCGGCTGTTTATGGACTACAGAGGTAGAGGAGGAAAACTGAAAACCGCGAAAATGGACAGTTCTTATTCAGCCATTTTTCTTTTCATAAGGGATTATTGTAGCTGTGCATTCTTATCGAATTGTTCGTAATTCTTGTACAGTGGAACCTCTGTTCAGGGGACACTCTAGGGACCGAGGCAAGTGTCCCTTGAATAGAGGTGTCTCCTGAAATTGAATAGAGGTTGGGCTGGGGATTGTTAATAATTAACCAACAAAGACACTATAAAAATCGTCATTAACTTATCTCTGCAACATTATATATGTTGAATTCACGCAAGTGCTGTACATCGAATTAAGTGAGAAAGTTCAGGTGGTGAAAGCTGCCATTATTGTGATTGTGTACACTTAAGAATATGAATCCTTTTTGTGGTCAGTCACCTTTTGAATGTTAAGGTGTCCCCTGAATGGAGGGTGAACCCGAGTTTTGGGACCCAGAAAATGTGTCCCTTTCCCCTGAATAGAGGTGTCCCATCAATAGTGGTAACTAATACAAAGATTATGAGAGCGTTTTTCTGGGACCAAATTTTGTGTCTCCTGAATAGAGATGTCCCTTGGATAGAGGTGTCCCAAAGGAGAGGTTCCATTGTAGCAGATCTCAATCCTGTAAATGGAAACTTTTTGAGCTTCAGCCTGATAAGTGCTGGCCGTATCTTTCTTATTAAAGACCTTGATTCAAAACATGGCAGATACAGGAGCTAAACCATTAACTCCATGGAGAGCACTATGCATTGACGGCCCACTGACGAGGTCAAAAATAAGGGTTAGTAACGTACTTGATATTTGACTGTTTCCTGCATTGATCCAAGATGCATAGGCACATGTGGACCATTGGCAACAAGTCCACCAGTCGGACCAAACATTGCACAGGAGAAGTCTAGTCTTTCCTTCAGAAATAAAACTAAACATAAAACAAAAAATCTTCCACACTTTGAATGATGCTCCTAATAATAACAAAGTAGTGAAAAATTAAAACTGTATTATTTTTATTATTAAGTCCCGTTCTTTTATTGACTACTTGGCACGAATTTTTACAAAGTTAATCTCTTGTTTTTTTTTGTTTTTACATGGAGCACAAGAAATGTCCACCCAGCTGTTCTTTGTGAAACAGTGTAATGCCATGTGGTCGACAGAGAGCGCCAAAGGCATTTCAGAGTCTAAAAGGGCTTAATTTAACAGTTTTCTCTCAACACGGTATGAGCATTGAGCATCACAGGATCCGATTAAGAGGAGCCTTTTATGGGTGCATGATTATTTCGGTACCTGAGAAAGTTATAAGTAGGTTGAGAACGATCGTCCGGGTGAAAGTAGTCCTGAATAGAATAGGACGATCATGATCAACCTACTTATGAAATGGCTCCTGGGTTCAAACCTTTCACAGAAAGGTTTTTTGTACAGTTCAACTATATGAAAATTGGAGATATACATAAACTGTCCGAAGTTAAGAATTATGAGAAAGGTCGTGTTTGATTGTAATAAATGTATCAACGGTTCGATTGGCTAAGTAGTTGTATCTGACATTGTAGGTGACCTATCTGGTCAGTTAGGGAAGGAAAAGATGGGCTATGGTACGTTATGGTTACTCAGAAATTTGCAAGTTGGCTAGAGGCTTACAACAACACTGATCTTTGTTACAAGATGAAACTACTAGTGTCAAATGACCACCACCCACCAGAATTTTGTACGAACTTAAATCACATAATAGCAGATAGTGTCAAAATGATGCGTTATTATTATTATTATACGTGTATATACCTTGATGTTTGTTGAAATTGCTGTTCTTTGAAGAACCCTAAGGAAAAATAACGAGATTAAACAGGTGAATTTGCATAACCATGAAATAAAATTTACATTGCTGACACTCAAGCCGGACATTTGGAAGAAGACTGTCCATTCACAAAGTTTTCTGAAAACAAAAGATTCTCAAGTTTCTTTTTGCAAACGGACCAATAAAATTCAAGTTTCCAACTATACAGTTATTGAAAACTTTAAAACAATTTGCCCTTAGCTGACCTCCGGGGAAACAGCCGTCACATTAACGAGTTGTCATTGGTCCATTCGCAAAAGAACTTGAAAACCTTTTTTTCAGAAAACGTTGTAATAGGACAATATATTTCCAATTGTCTTGGTTGGAGTGTCCACACTGTAAACTCTTAAATTCCTTAGATGAAACCAACGTCAGCCTGTTAAAAGTTACCTGCCCATTTGATCTGTTATACTCATGAATCGATGAGAAAAAATGGAAAGCTGCAACATTAAGCAAAGTAAGATTGTTATAGAGACCAACATAAGCAAATCTCATCCCTCAAAAGATCACATACCGTATTTACTCGAACAAACGCCGCACCCAATCAGTGTTTATTAGAAGATTATACAAAAAAACTCGATGCAACTTACAATAACATTTCATAAATATTTCTGGTGTTCACGGTTTTGTGAGTTTTACAGTAAGACATCATTCTTTTTTACATAATATGAACCAATGATTTATCGTTATTGTCGTCAGTGATTTAAGAAATGTGATTTTGAAATAAACACCGCGGCATTTAATTTTAATGGAATAAATACAGTAACTGTTAACTTTAACACAATAGAGTGAATTGGGCTTCTCACTAACTTGTATGGCATCCAGATCTGTGGTAACATGTCTTTTGTTCTTGTTCTTTCCCACCTTCAAGAAATTAAATAGAGATTTCAAGAGGCTTCATCACGGGTGGCTAGTTTTTTTTTAATACCAGTTACATACCCTTATTCGCTATGGAACTTAAAAAATTACTTGTGAATGGCAAAATCAATCGTGTCAAACAAATACGTCTACTGAGCATATCAAACCAGAAACACAAATAATAGAAATGAACTTTGAAAAACTGTTAGGCTAAAAACCCACAACTGCAATCCGTTACAATCTTTTTCAAGTTTGTCCATCTGTGCCTTCTTTTGTATCTGCTGTGTTATTTATACCTTCTTTTAACGTTTTGGTTGTTATTTTTAAGTTTCACTCAATTTGCTAGCGGTTCCCATTGTTTGAATTTTGACAAATTTCGTGACACAACTCCTTTAGATCTGAATTAGACCTGGACACTGGGCAGGAACAGAGAATGATGTGTCGATACACCTACCTCAATTCTGACATCTCCAGAGTTCGTAATAGACGCTGAACACTGTGGTTCCACAACAATGGTACTGTTATTGCATTGAGATAAAATAGGTTGATTACATAAAGAGCAAGTCAAATAATACACGAGAACCTTTCGAAATGTATGTTTTTTAAAAGAAAAATTCTTATGCTTCATAGCAATGCACTAAGCATGTACGTGTTCTCGTTAGTCTGGGAAACTCGAGGCAGAAGTGGGAACAGTTACCCCACAGTAAGATGCAATAAATACCTTAAATCAGACTGAATTATTAACAACTTCTGATACAGACATTTTGATTCACACGAAACAACAATACTTGCGCTTCGTAACTTGAAGTTACAATCATGCTTGCCATACCTGTGTTGGTCTATAATAATAGCAGGTCCCTCTAGCACATGTCCTGCAGCTAAATTGTCCAGGAAGTATACATTTGTATCACGATACCCTCCTTCAAAGAAACACTTTGTTACCTGTTGAAACAAGAGACAAAATGACTACATTTACAGTTCTAAACTGAACGCTTCTCCCGGCTAAAAAGCCACGTCTTGAAACTTGGGTTTATTTTTTTTACTTCGTTTTACTTGATAACCTTCAGAATATAAATCATTTGGCAGAAAAACGAGGAAATAAAGCTGATGGATAGAGAAAGGACAGACGACAAAAAGTAATTTAGTCACGCCTGGCACGTACTGGCACGTAAACTTACTTTTTTAACTGGAGGTAGTTCACTTGACGCTGGAACACTGTGAGTTACTGACGTTTTAGAATGTCCACATCCCCGAATTCTAATATCATCGATCATAATGTTGCGGTTGGGAATAGAGAAGCCAAATTCTTGAAGGTACCTTTTAAAACCAACATAGTATTAGTCAACTAAACAGAGAGAAAGGTAAAGGGTTTCTGTAGAGAAGCCACGAGTATTGATATACCGGTCTGGGTTACATGCTTATCTATTAGAGGATACTGAACTGCAATATGAAATAATGAACATGTGAATTTCATACATTTGAACAGTGGAATTAAGAAATAAATGTTCGTAGTTGAGGACGCAACTTATGCAGTTGCGAAAAGAAAGCCGGAAAAAAACTCTGGCTTGCCTGCCGAAATGTTTGTGCAACATCATAAGTTGCGTCGTCAACTGGGATGATCTTTAAATTTATTTCTGTACTATTTTATTAGGGTTTCAGAAAGCACGAAGAAAAACGCAAGGGGAATTCAGGAGAAGCAGGGGGTGTTAGGCCCAGCAGAGATCAGAGTCAATGTGCATTCCCGTATGCCTTCGTGACAAGAAAAAGGCAAGCGATTCAAGGACTGTCGTTCAAGAACGTCGACCAAAGCTTTTTGAGCACTAACTTCAACGCTTTATCCTCCTGTGATAGAAAGTTTAGAACCGAAATATAGTTTATCTACAGTCAAACCCCGTTTATACAGACACTGAGGGGGCCTAGGAAGGGTCTGTTTTAACGGGGTGTCCGTATTAAGCGGGTTGAATTAAAGAGAAAATGTAAGGTCTTTCTTTCCTCAGGGACAAAGCAATCTATCCGTAGTAATGAGGTGTCCATATTAAGTGGGTGTCCGTAAAGAGGGGTTTGAGTGTATTTATTTGACATTACTCTCACATTCTCGAATAACTGCTTTTAAAATATTTCAGTTTATAATCAGGAAAAATAAGACACTAAATTAAAACTGTTGCAGTCACCTGTCCGTAAATACCTTTCCAAAATCACCACAGTTATAAGAGTTCATCCCTGCCTGGTCAGAAAAAAAAATGAAACTGAATTGCTTAAAGTAACAATTGTTTGAGAATGGTAGCATCAATTCAGTTTCCTGACAAAACTGAGAAGAAAGAAAAGTAACCAGAAAGTTTTAGAAGCATGGTACAGTCAAACCTCTTTAATACGGACACCGCGGGACAGAACCAAGTGTCCGCTTTACAGAGGTGTCCGTATTATAGAGGTAGGGAACGTGTGATTTTTGGCATTTCTGGGACCAAACGAACTGTCCGTAATAGAGAGGTGTCCGTATCATAGAGGTGTCCATAAGGAGAGGTTAGACTGTAGATGTACTGAATGGTAAAAAAGATCTTGCTTTACACAATACTGTCATTGAAGTAAAGGAAACCCCATGAACAGTGTGTAAATGAACTGGATGAAACTCCTACTTTTACTGTTTTATTATAATTGTTTTAGGGCAGCATAACGCAGCATAACTACAGTACGTTCTATTTACCGCTTTTCCCAAATCACGGGGGTTCATTTAAGTGAACTGGGACCTTACGACTAGACAACGGCGACGGCGACGGCGACGGCGACGGCAACGAGAAATGCAACGACGAAAACAGCAACGAGAAAAGCAATGTGTTAAATTAGCAAACACTAACCCTGCACGTACATCACTGTGACGCTGATTGTATATTTCTTTACCGTCACTGCACCACTACGATGTACAAAAGGCCTAATTTCACGTTTTAAAGTAATGTTAAAAAGACTATTCATAATAACGATTTTCAGCACAACAAAGCGTTGCAATGTTGGACCAATGTTACAACCACTGAAACAATGTCGTAACAATGCTCCCACGCTACGTTGCGCAAAAAAACGTCGTTGCGAATCGTTCCGTGTAACATCACCTCTGTGGAGGACATAAACAAGAGAAGACGAACTCCAGGAGAGTTCGCTTACATTTGACCCAGTTAAGTTAGTAGAAAAATCCGAGACATTTTCGCCGCCGTCTTCGGATCTTAAGGTCCCAAATGGGTAGGGTGGCAGACGATCTCTGTTTCACAGTCTGGCTGTTGGCTGCCTTATCGGCATACTGACGTAGCGAATGCAAAAATGCCACGAGTTATACGTCTTTTGTGAATCTATCAATGACACAAAATTGTCGCCGTTCAAGGAAAGCTACCAGGCACCGTCCTTTAGGCGTTGGACGAAACCCTAAAAGGGAAAAAGTTACTGAACAATGCGTTAATGTGCTTTTTGTTATTTTGGGAAGAACAAGAAACCTTTTGTTTTGACCTGCCTAAGATGTTGAACACTAAGCACTCCTCTGTCTAAAATCATCGCACAGGTGATGTTTGGTGCCGTAAACATCTTATTACTACTGTAACAAGCAACCATGTAATGGAATGACTGCAATGGGGACTGCTACAGAAAACAACTACCTTCTTGTAAGACTGGCAGGAAGAGACATCGCATATCAAGGCACAGTCAGTTCTGTCATATCTCATGTGTAGGAATGTTTGGGTAGATATCTGCTTGCTGTAAAAAATTCGACGATAACAAATATTATATAACGAATCAAATTTCAAACTATAATGTTTCTAAGAAAGAAAGTGGCGGTCCATTGCTCGTGGAATCCCTTTGTGCAAAGCTAACAGTCTGAAGATCATTTGGCTATTAATAAAAAATAGGGCATCTGCAGGTATCTCGTATGTACCTTTAAGACTTTGCAAGCTATGATTTACAGAACGTGATGCAAAATCCGGTTGGAAAGTGGATGGAACACGGCTTTTCGTGTCGCCTCCAGTGGAAAATTTTCGTTAGCAAAGGAACATATGAAAAGGTAGTCCCGTCTCACCGCAGAAAATGTTCCCATCGGAAATTCGTGTTTCATATTTTAAAAATCATCTTTTATGCCAGTTCCAAGCTTTCGCGACCGTTTTTCGGTAGCCAGTCCTGGATTTTTCTTACCATTTGTCCAAACCTTGAACCGACCGATTTGCCCATGTAAAAGGTAAACAAACTATGTCTTTGGTTTACGTCCGTTAAGAACAATTTCTTGCACAATGATTGACCAGGAAGTTAGGGTCCACTACGATAATCAACTACCAATGTTCAAAATGCCAAGTTCGCAGTGATATACTCACTCATCAAACCCTTGTCTTTTAAGTTCCTCTGTACACTGCTGGGTCAAAAAAACAATTCTATCTTCGAGATACTGGTACGAATCTAGAAACAAAGGATGTTAAAAAACAAATGAATAATATGAATGGGCTATTCAAATGATGATTAACTTTAAACCGCAGTTGAAGACAAATAACGCCTGGAATTCAACGATTGAGTTTTGAAATTTTTTAACGCCATCAACGGTGACCTCTGTCAAAACACCTTAACCTCCCCTGGAGTACTCCTTTATTTGGCCTAAACGCCGTGTATGTGTCGCTGAACAGGGTAAGCTTTTCAGAGTCTTGAGCCTTTTAGGGAAATATAAAGTTTCTTCCATGAAAATTGTTCTTTTCTATAACTTTCTTAAAATTACTTTCTGCATCCAACAGTTAAATAATATTGGAATTGACTCTTTTAGTTAGGACTACCACCTCCGAATAAGCGATGTACATAAACTCAAGTTTCTGCTGCGAATATAGCCACCTACCGTATTTCCTCGAATAATGTTAAATTTTAGTTCACGCCTCAAATGCGGCGCTTATTTGAGTTAATACGGCAATATCCTGGTCATAAGTTGGGGGATTTGTTTTGACCAAATATGGTCATTAAAGTTTCAACTATGTTTGCACCTCTGTTGTATACACAGGGTTCTTGAGATTCATGCACAACATCGGCCAGAGCCAATCCAAAGGCAGAAAGAATTCCTGAGTAACTAAAAAAAGATGATCATGTTATCAATTGCTTGGTAACCTGATAACAATAAAAAATAAGGTCTTGACAGAAGAGAATCGTAAAGAGCGATGTATAACAAATAAATTTATTTCTTGTATGAGAAATGCTTCTAGTTCACAGGGCTCAAAATAATATTTTGACTGCTGATGGTCGTGCTGACGGGCCAAATAAAATTTCAGCTCGGTTAAGTTTCCTTTTTGATTGCTCATGTCCAAAATATTAAAAATAATAGAATAATGATTTAATCCAGGAGCTTTAAACCTAACAGCTTATATTAACAGGCAAAAATATATTCTTCCTGTAGAAAAGGCGTACTTGAAACTTAGAACTTAGAATAAATACATTCATTTACAGTGTACGTGTCTGCTCAAAAAGAACGGCAAACTGAAAGTTTGTGCTGACAAATGGTCATCTCGGCCGGACGACGGGCCGTTATTTTGAGCCCTGAGTTAAATAAATGTATTATATTTCAATACTTGCCTTACTTAAAGACTCAAATTGTTGGGAGAACCATTGAACATCTTTATTCTAAAAGTGTTTCCTACACTCGAAGCCATTTAACTGCTGCCCTTCACTACCTGTAAGGTTTCTAACTGGCCATTTTACTGTCGTGTACTGTGTAACCTGGCCATGAGTGGAGGCGAGGGTTGATGTGACCTTGTTTTGATGAAGGCTTGGCTGCTTTTTAAATGTAAATTGTGTTGTTATCACTAGCCTCCCTTCCATTCAAAGGCTGGGTTGCTCTGCTCTACGGTTACCATGTGAGCAGAGGCCCTTCGACCTTCCTAGATAAGTCCTCTTCCCGACTTATCTAGAAAGATCGAAGGGCCTCTGCTCGCAGGGTACTCTACGGTAATATCTCGTTTCATTTAAAGCATTTATTTATTACCGGTGTATAAGCACTGTTGACATTCCTAATGACTGTGCAATGGAGCAAGCATGCTGGCCACCGGCTCCTCCAAAACAAGCCAGCACGTGATTGGCCGTGTTGTGTCCTCTGGCCTGGGTCAAGGTTCTTATTGGTCGGCACATGGTCTCATTAGCAACTGTTATAAAACCCATGGCAACGTCTTCAACACTTAATAGATCATGCTTGTTGTCAATACTTTGAGAGGATAGAAATCCATTTATCTAGAAATTGAACAGAAAATAAATGTTCAGTGATCGATATGAACAAATCACTAACGACGACGGTGCAATTACAGAGCGACTTCTCGAACCTGGGCATTTTGAAGAAGATTGTCCAATCACAACGATTTCTGAAAACAAAAGCTTGTCGAGCTGTTTTGCAAGCGGGACAATAAAATTCAAGATTCAACTATGCAACCGTTGAAAAATTTGACCTCTCAGGGAACAGCCCTCGAATTTAGGAATATTCTTGGTCCTTTTGCGAAAAAAATTGAGAATCTTTTGTTTTCAGAAATCACTGTGATTGGACAATCATCTTGCAAGTGCCCCGGTTCGAGTAGTTGCACTATAAAAGTCCTACCTAGCCTGATGACTGAAAACCAGCAATAAGCAATCAATAAAAAAAGAGACTATCGTGAAGCAAATAATAAACAAACTTACATGCTATAGGTGTTGAGAGCTGAATCAGAGGATTTAAAACCTGAATTTTACAAACTGTTAAATAACCTTGTGGATGGTGAATGTCTTTAAGTTAAATTTTAAATCAACTTACAACGATAAGAGTATTTCTACATGTAAGAGAAAAATCGAACTGAATAGCGTCTGCCCCATAACGCAAAAACGGGAATCACCTCTTCTGTAAGTTTTTCAAACGCATCTAACGTTCCCTGCTTGTCTAACGGAAGATCCTCGTTTTCTCCAAAGATCTTAGGAAAAAATCTGAAAATATGAAGAAGAGTTAAGTTGGAACATAGCGGAATCTCTTGTACACGACTGCAACGTTACACAAATTGTCAGGAGAGACTTGAGTTTACGCCATAGCATCTCATTAAAAGGACCACTGCCCACTTTAAAACTCGGACAATAAATGCCAAGGGCTAAATCGTGGATTGTTTTGTCATGAAAGATCCAGACAAGGATGTATTTCGCAGTCTCTTCGTAGCAGATTTTGACGACTGCAGAGAGAAACTGAAATCGTGAAAGTTTGTCTGATACAGTCGGGTATAAATTGAGTGAATCGGGCGGGGTGTTTCTAGTTTTGACATATCCCAGGTTTATGCAAGGGCCGGCGAACGTATCTCTCGGGGAAGTTAGCGATAGTTTCTACTTGCCTCGATCCTTCCCCCTTCGAACTCAAACGCCGTCTGAAGTTTTCGCGACACATGATCAAATATCGTATACAGTGACCTGCCATTGTAAACGCCCATACAGATTTTATCTAGTACTGTAGAACCTCGATATAACAAGCCTCTAAATAAAACTAGCTAGTAACAATACTCGGCCAGATAAATCCTCTTTCACTGACCAGAGGAACACAGTAACTTACTCGGGCATTATCCGTCCAAGAACCAAGTTTGCGTCAGTAAGTGCTAAAGGTCCCCCTGTAAAGATCAGTAAGAAATAAGATACGCTAGTGGAAGGATTAATTGCTACGTGCGCTCACTAGCCCAAAAGAAACGCAAATAAAGTAAAGAGAATAAAAGAGCACATTCAATTAATTGTCCACTCGCAGCTTTATCACGTCAGGTAATGAATTTGAAACTATATGAGACAGCAGTGTAAACCTTTCATCTGAAATACAGTTTGATCTTTACTTGCTTGAATTTTTTTCCATTCTTAAAAACTGTAACTAGCTACCAAGTTTCGTTTTGAAAAAGCTGCTTTTATAAAGGTACCAATTTTGAATGATGACTGGTAACAAGACATTTGCATCTTTTGTAACAAGATTAACAATGAACACTTCTTTACCTTTCCTGTAACATACAGGTCCTGGATGGGCGCCTGCGGACTCCGGTCCAACGACAAACAGCCCTGCCCTGAAAAACAGGCGTGATCCACCCCCTGCTGCTACAGTGTTGATATCTAGCTGCAAATCAAAATAACACTCTTAACAATACCGTGTCGTCTTTTCGCAGCCTTGCGGGGCGTTCAGACGGTAGAGAGTGCGAAATAGATAGCCTGCGAAAACAGCCCTTTCTCCCCGCTCCTCGCCGATTAGGACGTTTCTCCGGGAGAGACGTCCGGCAAGCGGCGAGGAGTAAAGAGGAGAAACGGCTGTTTTCGCAGGCTACGAAATGGAGGGCGGAGGAAAAAAAAGCTGAAGAAATGGAGAGGAAGAGAGAAGGAAACCTCCTTCCCTAACCCGCAACACACGCTGTTTTTCCCTGCTCACTTTTCTTTGCGCTGTCCCCACTATCTGAAGGCCGGGAACAGGCTACTGTAATTATAATAAGTAAACGACTGAAGACCCCCTAATAACCTCCCAAGGAGTAACATGTGACAGAGCGCTACGAACCTCTGTGCGGGAGGCTAAAGGTAATGTTACACGAGACGATTTGCAACGACGATTTTTAGTGCAATACAGCGATTCATCACTTTTGCGACATTGTTTCGAATAGTTGCAACATTGATCCAACATAGCAACGCTGTGTTACGCTAAAAATCGTCGTTACGAATCGTACAGTGCAACATTTCCTTTAGATTGGCAAAACAACAGCTCTACACGTGCATCACGCTTTTTTGTACATTTCTTTTCTGTCACTGCACGACTACAACGTGAAGATGTCTAATTTCACGTTTTATGGAGGAGGTGAACACAAGACAACGACTTTCTTTTTCTTCATCCTGAACTTTGATACAAGCTTTAGAATTCATCTCCAGAAAAAATTGCCAACATTTGACGAATTGAGCGAGATGGAATAAGGGCGATAAAGTTTGAAACAGCGCGACTTCACTTTTAAAGTGACGTTTTCGTAGCCGTCGCCGTCGTTGTTGCTTAAAGGTGATGTTACACGGGACGATTCACAACGACGATTCTCAACGACGATTCTTAGTGCAACACATTGTTGCAATGTTGGAACAATGTTGTAACCATTCGAAACAATGGCGCAGCAATGTTGCCACGCTGCATTGCGCTAAAAATCGTCGTTGCGAATCGTCTCGTGTAACATTACTTAAACCTCTCTAATGGATGAGGTGCTCTGTTGCCTCTTCTGCTTTTTTTGCCCGTTTGCATTGCTAAAATGAAACTTAAGTGGCCAAAACCATTCAAAACCTTGGGATTAGAGTGCAATCCCGTTTCATTCTTTTTACTAATTATTAGAGAAACTGCTGTAATACAGTCTGGGCACAATGGTGTGATCGGGACCTAAAAACGGAAAGGCCGTTGTAACTGAAAACTGGAATGCTTTATTTACAATAAGGCTAATCATTTTTTTCCATTTTCAAAGCTCCCTGAAGCTCTTTTGCCCTCCTCCCTAGACCTACGAAGATGTGTTACCTGTGGTGCTTGTATGGTGATTCCAGCTGTTGTTGTCTCAAACACGTGTTCGTACTGACCAGCAAAACGAGACACATCGGTAGACGTTCCTGCATTTAAATATATGATAGCTACGTAAGTGAACTGAAAAGACCCTTCGACGGTTTTTTCAACTTTTGACATGGACCAGTTGGGGAAAAGCCTTCGACAACACTGGAAAGAGGGCCTTAAAATTAATAAAATTGCCAAATTTGAAAGTGATACGTCTTAAGCGAGCGAAGATTTAGCACCGGAGAGTTGCGAAAGTTTACAGACGTTTGTATGGTGGGGGCAAGTCTGGATTTTCCCTAACTTATCCATATCAAAAGTTGAAAAAACGGTGGGAGAGTCTATTGGCAGCATACAACAGGGGGCAAAGTAATCTTGCTGACATAAACGTAGTGCGTTTGTATAGCAAAGTTTTAACTTCCAGTCATACAAGGTATGGTGTGGGTACAGACGAAACTCCACTAACGGCCACCCCGCTACAACGGCTATTTTTTTTTTGGCGGACAGTCCATACATTGACTCTTGTTTCAACCTCTCTACAATGGCCACTTTTTTCTGTCCCCAGGGTTACCGTTGTAGTGAGGTTCAACCGTACTTTTCTAAGCACTGCAGAGCCAATTGGGAAAAAGAATTGATAACGTTCCAAAATATTACTATGTCCCATGATAGAAGAGACTAGTAACTAGTTTATACATACCACCCATGTCAAAACCAATCACAGGCCGATCTGTTTCTTTATGGTACGCCGTCATGGCATAACCGACCTACAATTACAGAGCAGATAGAAAAAACGAACTTTGTAAGATATTTATTATTTTATGGGTGATATGAGAGCAGACAAAATGATTTATCATTGGCACGCTTATTTTCTTTGCGCATAAGCACAATTTAGCGCATGATTAAGACGACTGAGCAGACCGTGTACTGTGTGCCTTTTGCTTTCGCCAAGTGGTTCTTATTTGGAATCGGAAACGGGCTGTTAAACCAAAATGCCCATTGATTTATTTTCAAAAAAAGAAAAACGTTTGTTCTTGCTTACCACACCACCTGCGGGACCTGAAAGAATGGCATGACATCCAGAAAATCTAAAGAAGGTAAAGAAAATCAGACAATTGATCGATCAAGTCAGTCTGCAGGTAACTCTACTGTTATCTAAGCAGCAGAAGAAAGAGCCAAAAGTACTTGTCTTGTTATCTTCTTCGGGGACACACAGCTAGCAACATAGCCTATCGTGTGCGCTCAGGTAGCCAATCAGATCTTACCGCTCGGGGATTCAGCCATAAATAAATAGCTCATTTACCTATAAGAATTTTCCTTACCTTGAAACAGGAGTTAGGCCACCGTTTGACTGCATGAACAGAACTTTGTCCTTGATAAAGAATGAAATTGAACTGAATGTGAACTAAGATAGCGACTAAAATAACAACGACTACAAATGAGGCACACGCACTTCGATTAAATGTACCGTTTTTCAATTATAATATTTATTGCAGATTAGGTCAAGTTGTCTTTTTTCAGAGTTGGCAATTACGAATCATTGCCATGAGCTACGGAAAAAATAAGCATGATCCAGAGTTAAAATTGATTTAATCGTCCAGAAGCTCACAACACACTTGTCTACAGCCAGGATTCGATATGTTAAGACACCGATTATTTCTTCCAACCCAAGCTGAAATACAGTAAACACCCGCTAATAAGAACCTGTGGTTTAAGAACCTGCTGGCAGAAACTTGGCACTTTAATACCCAAAAATATAAGAATCTGTTTAGCAAAGTAAGATCAAGCAGGTTCTTATATGTGGGTTACAGGTAACTTAAGATAAACATTTTAACCAAGGAGTTTGACTTCAAGATTGCCAATTGATCTTACAAGAAGATACTGCACCAAACTGTAATTACAAATAGAGGTATTTCTTCCGGGGGGGGGGACTTAAGGAATTTCCGGGTGGGTATGTGCCGCTGGGACCCTGGAACCCTTAAGCTATACCAGAGCTAGTTCAGCTGAATTTTGCTACCCTATACTAGAGTAAACTCCCCAAATCCCCCCTATCCTAGGGTAGCACAGTCTAGCCAAAACAAAACCTTATACCACAATCCCTAGTGTAGATAATGATCTTCAACCAACTGATCAGTTTCCTAAAAAATAATACCCTATTCTAGACCCAAACGCTTTGATTTATATACCCTATCCTAGAGTAAACGGCTTGAAAATCATACCCTTCACAGCGGCACATACCTATATAGCCCATATATGGCAGTCCCCCGGGGTATTACTGGACTTACTGTAATTCCTACAACGAAAAAATCCTCTGGTATTATTCTAGTTAGAGTGGTTACAATCATCGCTCAGCTTACGAAGGATCCGCCAATATCAGGCTAACCTCGCAAGAAAGTATTACGTTGATACTTCGCGGTGATAATTTAGCGTGCTAGATTTACCTCGATTCCTCTTCTAAAGCCAGACATAAACCCACTGACGTATCTCTTGATGCATGGTGTTAAATAACCATCAGCGCAAGCTTAAAGAAGAAGTGAATAAGGAACATCAATTGTAATATAGTTGTCTTAGGTTTGTAGACAAAATCTGCTATTAAAAAAAATCTCTCCATGGAGACTATTTTAAAAAGAAACTTTGTTGGCCTTTGTGGAGAGTGGTCCTGGTCTCAAGCTTGGAACACTAGAGTTTGCATTAGGTGTTAGCTGTTTTTTGCGTTTTTCAGGCGAACAAGGAGCGTGAGACACATGCCCGCTTCGTGTTTTGTTTTCCCGAAAAAGGTGGGAAAAAAAACCGACTTTTCTGGAGGCTAGGGTGCATTTGATCTTAAAAGATCATTGGCATCACTAAAATAAGTTATTACTGTGGAACCCCGTTAATACGGTCACCAATAGGCCAAAAAACTTTGGCCGTAATAACGAGGTGACCGTATTAACGAGGGTTTCTTACAAGAAAATGTATGGTCGCTTTAACCGGGCGGCCAAAAAAAAGTTGCCGTAAAAACGAGGTGATCGTATTATCGAGGTGGCCGTAAGGCGGGGTTCCACTGTACGATAATCCATATCTGAACTACTCGGACTTTGCATGAGTTGAGGTTTCACGTTCCGTCTATAACCCGAATGAAAACGCGTGGAATTACGACGGGTTGGTGAAAACAATTAAAAACATTTGAGGTAGTATGTAACGCTTACTACCACGTCATAAGAGATGAGTGGTGGGTTGAGTTATCTATCGTAAGAAAGTAGAGCCTCATTTCTTTGTGGGTAAACGAACTCGATAAAACAAGACATAGCAATTTTTTGTTTCTTTTATACAGCGCTTCTTGAATCGTCTGTCTTGACATTCGCCACTTCATTCACTCACGCGCCTTGCACGCGATGGTCCTCTATACCGAAGACCCTTTGCAGCTATAGTCATTCACGTGATACAAACCCGCCATGTTGGAGAGCAAGGTACGCATTGGAACAAAACAAACAAAAAGCTGACATCATTTTAAATGGTAACTTCCTTTGTTTGTCTTCTCCAAGAACATCTCTTGCTCTCCAAAGTGATATATTTTTTTCCTTTTTCTTCTTTTCTTTTCTTTTCCTTTGTTTGCCGCTTGGTCTTCAATTCAGCCATTTCAGCTCTTGTTTTCCCTAAACACCTATCACTGTAGCCCGTGGTAACGCTCTAAGAGCGTCTTCATTATTACTGAACTTTTAATACACAATTTGTTACTTGTAGGCGAAATTTCAGGCAAAGTTAGGACCAATAATTTGTATGGAATGAAGACCATTATTCATTTCGGTGTTTCAGGTATTTTCCTTTTTTTGCTGAATCAAAGGATAAAGAAAGCTGGCGCTGAGGTTTAACATTACGTGATGATGAACGATATAAGAATAATTTGAATCCTAGTACCAAACCATGTTAGTGGATTGTGTGCCATTTTACCTTAACGGTATTGTGTCCTATAATAGTGCAGCTATGCATGGTGTCTAAGAACAAAATACCTGTGTATCCCCTGGGGACGATTTTGATCATAGGCATGACAGATGAGGAAAGCGACACCTGAGTAAAACCCATGACAAGAGCTATTTCACCAACTTCTTTCTCGTGAGCATCAAACCTTGTAGTAAGCAAAGCTTAGTTTTAGATCTACATCTAGATGAACTAACAATAAATATTGGGAAACTTATATGATGTGTTACTACTGTCTGATGCCCCATTTGTATGAGAAAAGTTGACCTGAAAAGGGGGGTTACCCTCTCCCGCTGCTCTCCGCCAAAGTCAACTTAAGCGAGCGTTTGTATGAGAAAAATTTGATGCCTGTCGAAGCCAACAGCGCTTTCTGATTGTCTCGCCACGATCGAGTTGACCGGCCGTGCAAGCCAAAGTGTTTATATGAAGAAAAGTTGGCTCGGCTTGGTTGGTGACCCTACAATCATAAAAGGCTGACACACCTCCAGCTAAGCCAACTTTTTGTTTCTCGTGTAAATGGTTCGCCATGTTTTGTAAGTAATTGTATGAAAAGCTCGATAGTCCAGAGTAGCGCGGTTGCGCTGGTGACGCTATACTACCCAGGACAAGTATTCTCTGCAAGGTCTGCAAGGTTTTGGGAGACATGTACTTCTAGTATGGCAGTATTACAGATCCCTGGAAAGATAGTCCTTAACCTGAATTTTCACCTTGCTCTCGTTCTCCCATAGTTAGTTACAGGATGAATGATGGAGTAGAACAGGTAGAAGTTGTAGATACTTACATGTAAGAATGTAAGAGCACTACAGCCAGGCTTTTAATTCCTTTATTCAATATTCTCTGCAATATTTAAAGACATAATAGAGGTTCAGCCAATATTAACTCTTAAAAGTAATATGAACAAAATATATTCTTTACACTGTTCTCCATACTTCATTAATTAGCCTCTTTGTGATGCTTTGAAAACTGCATTTTGGGTATTAAGAGGTTTGAAAGGCTAAGACTGTAGAGGTTTATATAGATGCCTTGATCCACACAGTTGGGAAAAAATAATATGACTGATTATAAATTCTTCAAACACCATGGTATTACGAATGGTTCCACTGTACGTATTCTGTTATAACTTTATCGTTTATCCTTTCAGTTCATGTAAGTGATGTGTGCATATGCAATTAATGTGCTTCAGTTTTAGTACTTATATTCATTTAAGGGCTCAACACAATGCTAGCTAGAATATTATTATAAAAATTAAATGAACATTGTTCTTTACAAACTAAAAGTTTAACGTCTTACATGAAGATCCCTTTTAAGTGAGATTTTATCCAAAGGCTGCCACACTATAAGCTAAAGAAAAGGAGATATAGAGAAATATTTTAAGTATGGTGTAACTGTGCACGTCTGGAATAAAAAAGAGTTAAAATTGACCTTTTGGTTTATCATATTCTTTAATATAGAGATTAAATGGAATTAACAATAGAAATCTGATGCTTGTAAATACATAGGAATCTCATAATCTCATCTGCAATTTAATGTAACAATTACATCAGGCCCTAAGCTAACAAACAGCTGAGAAGCTCTACAATCAACAGGAATAAGACCTATGGCATTTCTCCATGTATTCTCATTCCACAATGGACTCATTCCAATAAAATGCAACACAAAACTGCAAAGGATTTTAGTAACTACACAAACATTTACCCACGCAGGTTTAGGGTAGGGGTCTGAGGAGGCCAGCCCTGTCCCATGCCCTTACCATATTTTTAGGCCAAACTGAATCCCTAGGGGTTGAGAATTTTTTTTCAGCTTGCCCCCCCCACCTCCCCCTTTCATTAAGGGTCTGGATGAGATGCTTGAATCCACCACTGATTTATACTATTATTTTTAGGGGATACAGTTAAAATTATTGTTTATACTGTAAAACCTTCTCTCCTGTGCTTGCAGTAACTTCATAGCTGCCATCTGGGGTTTTAATTTCACTTTTTTCTTGTGCAAGAATGACTCGCTCTTTAGCTTCAATCACATTATCATATAAAACTTCTGGACATGTTGCTGTCTGTTGAATTACAAAACAAGCGATATTTTTATGGTAATTAAGAGCTTTCTACAATTTACATCAAAGTCTGGGAAGTAAGAAGAATACCACTGATTTGAAAATTAACATGCCAGCTCCTGTGCAGCTTAAGTGAGCTCATTGTTTTACTCGTAATAGAATAAAGACCTGTACCACTTCCTGAACAGAAAAAGGATATTACAACAGGTGCATGCAAGAGATACCTCAGACTGCAAGACAGCCTATATTTTCGTGTAGGTCAAGAAAGCGATAACGGTCAAGCAAGGGTTTAAACAACTGCATGTGATGCTGTGAGTTGTCCTAGATTAAGATATTTTCTAGAGCCACAATTTTTTTTGTTAAAGAAAGGGCAAGGGGTTTGTCAGGTAAAGCTACCAATAATAAAGCACAGATTATTTCACCAGATCAAAGAGATGTGGCCTAGTTTGATTTCCAATGTGGAGAAGATCATGAAATCCTTCAGTTATAACCAGCGCCATTCTTTCTCCTTTCCTTTCCAACAAAGCATTAGTGGCAACAGTTGTACCCATTCTGATCCAGTCAATGTATTTAGGATCTATTGGCTCGTCTGCCGGCATCTTTACTCCAGTCACCTGACACACAAAAGGATAAAAGTATTAGGTAATATTACAATAATGTTCTAAAAACTGTGGGTATCACCCAAAAATGATGTAGTCCTCCTTCGGTCGGTGACCATGGATGATGCATCCTAGTTGCCAAGGTTGTCTGCTCCACTGGAGCTGTACTCTTTTGTAGCTGTAGAGAACAATCTGAATGAAAAATGGTCTCCATTCTGGTAGAGTTGCTGTAACTCTTTTTGCATGCCCCCTTGTCTGCTGCTGTGTTCATCACGCTTCTCTTCTTCTGACTCAGGTATGGTTTAAAGTACTTCTCCACCTTGCACAGTCAGCTTCACAATGGCATGACTCCAAGTAAACATCCAATGCTCTTATATACCTCTTTTGAGTCATCCATGAAATTACATCTAAGAGACTTTCTAGCCAGTGTTCCTTTTCCCAGCTGACAGGTTGTCTTTTGTATTTATTACCACATTACCCCAGGGGTACTCCCTATAATGGCCTATACGGGGAGGCTCCACCCAACAGGGGTGCCTGTTTCAGATCTTTAGCATATGAAAAGGTTGGGGATTTCACTAGTTGATTGGGGAGGTAATTCTGTCATTTTGGTATGTAAAAAGGCAATTACACAATGTAAGGACTAGCAGATGCATTTTGTGGCTGTGAAAAAGTTGAGAAAACATCTAGTTTTTTCAATTATTTAAACTTCAAAGACTGTGCATTTACAGCAGTTTGAAGGAATGCCAAGTTCTAAACTAGGTATGTAAAAGGGGTACCATTTCTCAAAAGAAGGTATGAGGAAGGGGCTCCCTTTTCCACCTAAAATGGTTTATAAAATAACGAAGATAGTACGCGCGCTCTGATTGGCTGAGAGGAGTGTTTGCATGAGGGTATGTAAACATGGTTGTGGTGTCAAGATGTTTTGCTTTTCGCGCGCTAATCAGGCAAGCACGAATTTGAAAAAGTTTTTGAGTTCAAAACTCAACAAGTTTACTTTATTTACCCATTCCTTCATCAGCTGAAACTCGGAAAATCGTTACAAAGAAGGTGTGTCAATTTTTGTTCGCTTAAGCTGACATTTTAAGCGAGAAAAATCCCTAGTTTGCAAAGCATCTTTTTGCAAAACAAGAACTGATTACGCGCGCAAGACTTCGTGGACAAGATTTTGCGACTGGTAAGAATTTCTCTTTTAATCAGTGCCATACAATACTGGGGAAAGTTATTTTATAAAAGCAATGGAAAACTTCTTACCTGTGTTTGTATAGCCTGATATAAACACTCGAGGTATTGGAAGAATTCTTGACAGTTATGCAAACCCTCGACTTCGTCTCGGGTTTGCATAACTGTCTCGAATTCTCCCAACCCCTCTCTTGTTTACATCCTGCTATGCAAACACGGAAAACGTTTTCTATTGCTTAAATATAAAAGGGTAAAGGGGATGGACCTCAGGGTGAAGCCTCCCTGTGTAAAACTTTGTTGAGTACCTTCCCCTCCCCCCTCCTCTGGGCACATTTAACATGCAATGTACCATCAAATGGATTTAAGCCACTCTCAGGGAGGGGCAGGGGGTGACCCTCAAGGGAAGTTTGGTGAAGGTGTGCTTCTGAAGCCTTCAGCCTCTGAAACTGTTTTCATTTCATCATTATAAGCATCTTGAAAAGGGTTTCTTTTTGGACCAGAAGCCTTGAAGGAGGTTGAACGTTGGCGGTGTGTGGCCTGCATTAAAGAACTATCTGATTCTGTGATGTCAAATACTTTACTCGATTTGTATGCACAGTGAAATAAAACAGGGTCATGAAAAAGGGTCACTTGTCTTGAGCAAGTTAGCTAAAATTATGAGAGGTTTGTTTCTTACAAGGAGTGCCAGAGTTTGAAGAGTTTGAAGGCCTCAGTGAAACACTTTTACTTAGTACACAAACTTTCCATACGTGACCCCTCCCCCGGGTCCCAGGGACCAGAGAAAATGACCCGGGGGGACTCTCACATAAAAGTGGCGGGGATGCTCGTGGTCTCGCTAAGGGTGTAAATTAGGCTGTTTAGGACACAACGTCATTCAAGTGTCGCTTAGAGCTGTAAAAAAATGCCGTTATGTATGTTTTGGTATGGTCTCCTTTAGCGGTCAGTTTAAGCTTGAACCACACCCACATTAGTCTCCTTTAGGGGTTTGTTTTGAATTTCCGACGAGCATCCCTGTCACCCTTTCCAGGGGAAAATGCATTGTCCTACCTCTTCCAGAATTCTTCGTATACCCTCTCTTGGAGCATCAGGATAAGCAGCATCTACAGAAAGCAGCTTCATAACCCTGATTTCTCCGTTTGAACATTCTGAAAAAATGTCCGTGAACGTCCCTCCTCTATCGATCGCAAACCTAAATTTGAGGCAAGCCATTTTCGTGGAGACAGAAATTCACGGTTACATGAAGCGCAGATACAGCGACATGTCAGTGCTGCTGACTTGAATTTGCCGACGCATTGGCCATTCGGTGAGATTTACATTTCTCGCAAACTATAGAAATCTGTAAGCAGATCTAGACTATTGAGGAACACATCTTATTTTTATTGTTTCAGTTTATGATTTTCTGCGTGTCAGCTGCGAACAGTACTTGTTTTTGCGTAAAACCGGAAGTTCATTTTGGCATGCTCACTTCCGGTACTCTTAGGAAGGAAAGCGAGGCTGATTCAAATGCAAGAAGATCGTCAAGAAACATGGCTGCAAACGCGATGGCCAAGTTTTCTCGAATATTTGGTCGCAAATCCTCTGTCGTGATAGGAATGATTCACGTACAAGCACTACCAGGTGATATAGTTAAGACATTTGACGTTTATTAGGGACCCAATCACTGAAAACAACGTTCGCTATATATGCCCTATATATGTAAACTTACCTACACTGTATAAACAACACATGGCGTTTGTTTCACCAGCTGCAGGTTTTAACCTCCATTTGAATTAAAAACAGGAAGCGGCATGAAGTTTGGAAAAAAAGTCACAGGTTGCTGATCTCCTGCCTGGCATTTCCTTCTGTTAATACTTTGGTCTAAAGCGTGAATTCAGAACTGTATATTTTAAGCTTTTACCGTATATAAAATTGGCCTTTTCAAGACTTTTTATGCCATTCTATAGTTGGGAAATAAGATTAAGATCATAAAGGATATATTTCCTTTTTATAAATTCATTAAGGTTAACAGCAGACACTCTGAAACTCTTATTTTAGCAACGTTTAATTTTTGTTCTATGCTTTTCCCTTGCCTAATGTTTTGTAATGGTCTATTTAGGCACCCCAAGAAATCACCTTTCAATGACAGAAATAATAAACATGGCTTGCAAGGATGCAACTCATTACAAAAATGCTGGTGTGGTAAGAATTTGCCTTTGTGATCTTGCATGAACTGTTTGACTTTCATGGTAGTTTGGAACCAGGCTCCACAGTGGGAAAAATGACAAAAGAAAAATATCAAGCAAAGCGAACCGAGCGTTAGTCTGGGGAGGAGAGCGGGCAGCACCACCCTGCTTGTTGCTTTTGTTTTCTGTTCAGGTAAATCCGCGAAATCCTGTGAAATTCACAAAAACATGCAAAATACCGTGAAATTCAGTACAAATCTTATCAAAATTAATACATGTCTGTATAGCATATTTGAAACTTATCTCAGCTATTGGGGCTATTTAATTGCAGTAAACTTGCAAATTTTTCTTGAAACTTCGTCTCTGAAACATGCAAACAACGTCACCAAATTACCAGGCGTAGATTACGTTGCAAAAAACTGGGTACTAGCCATGATGTTTAAGGCTTTGCTATTGGTTCATTTCTGGAGCCTACTGTTGTTGAAAGAGCAAATTTTGACCTCTGTTAGAAAAACGTTAAAAACACTGGTCTGATCAGGGCAAAACTGATTGATTTCTAGCAAATTTGCCCTGAAAATAACCACAAAATTGGCAGTTTTTACTGATTGCTACTCGGCGAAGTTTGGCCCGAAAATTTCCGCGAAATTGGCCAATTTTTCCATGAATTTGTCCCTAAAATCCTGTGAAATTTGACTGTTTTTTCCACAACCCATCAGAAGCCCTGCGGTATTTAGGATTGACTGTATGGGCTGTTGCCAAATTTTCGTCAGACTGGATCACTTCAACCCTTGTAACCCTATACCCAAACTTTTGTCTTAAAAACGAGCCACAACAGTTGATCTGATCCAGTTCTCGTTGATGCCTGACTGTTTGTCTGTTATTTGAATAGGATGCCATAATGTTAGAGAATATGCATGACATCCCATATCTTAATCGACAAGTTGGATCAGAAATTGTGGCCTCCATGAGTGTTATATGTAATGAAGTCAAAAAAGAGGTGAAGAATTTGCCTTGTGGTGTGCAAATTTTAGCAGGAGCAAATAAGGAAGCACTTGCAGTGGCAAAAGCAGCTGGCTTGGATTTTATTCGTGCTGAAGGATTTGTATTCTCTCATATTGCTGATGAAGGAACAATGAACTCTGATGCTGGTGAAATTCTCAGATACAGGAAACAAATTGAGGCAGATGATGTTTTAGTGTTCACCGATATCAAGAAAAAGCACAGGTACATTTAAGAAGAGATTAGCCAGGCTATTTCTTTATCAATTAATTTTTATCGTTCTTGAGTCATCCAAGCTAGAAAAAATGTCCTCCAGGGTAGCTGTAACAACAATTAGGAGAAAAACACCTGTACAGTCGAACCTCCATGTGGAACCCAGCTAGTAAGCAACCACCTCCCGTAAGCGACAACTTATCCAAAACACCAAAATTTTCCCTGTGAAAACCTTATAGTTGGAACCTCTTGTAAACAACCACCTTTTGTAAGAGACTGGGACTACTTTTAAGGATGATGGTTTTAGAATTTGCTATTGCATTTAACCTCTTCTAAGTGACCACCTGATACAATAGTCTCATTTTTGTGTTCGGGGCATGACATTTGTGCTACACTACCCAGAGAAATGAGAAGAACTCTTAGAAACAACCTGGATTTACATGTGTTGTAAAATTTCCGAAAAAGTGGATGTGTCCGGACTTCTCCACCTCACATTGTTTTCAGAGTTCAAACATAACCTCTTTGTCTTCTGCTGGGCCATGTTTGTTCCTTACAATAATACTTATACTGCCTCCATAGCAAGATATCAAGTTGCAAGATAATAATAATTTATTAATAAAAATAATTTGTTATAATAATAACAATAAAATTGGTTTTTATTATAATTTTTTCACAGCTCACACTATCTTACTTCTGACATTAATATTATGGAGACAGCTCAGGCTGCTGAGTTTTTTCTTTCTGATGGAGTAGTCCTGACAGGGAAGACAACAGCGGAAGCCACAAGCTTAAAGGAAATGCAATGTGTTAAGGAGTCAGT